GACCCAGGCCCGGTCAGGTAAAACTTTTATTCATGGCCTCGACAAGGGAGGACGCCCCATCTGCAAGGTCCGGGTGCGTATGCACAGGCAAGGGGAGCAGTGCGAGGAGAGTCTTGAGAAGTATACTATCGCAGCGAATAAGAAAGGGAAGAAGGTGCCTTGCAGCCTGTGAGATATTAGAGGGGTTTTTTCGTTAAGAACGAGAAGAGTGAGAGAGAGAGCCAGAAAAAAAAAGATATTAAGATTAAGAAGATATACTGCCGCAGTAGAGTTGCATCTGGCAATCTCCGTCCCATCTGTGCATTTGCCTTTTGGCTCCCTCGATGTTTCTTGCAGAGAATGACGGATACGCTTGGACTGAACAACTGGCTTGAAAAGTAAAAGGCAGTCAAGAAGAGAGATGTTACCTTTTCCCTTCACAGGATCAACAGTCTGTGAATGAGGGGAAGAGAAGGGGGGCGAGCAGCTAACTTACCTAAGGTAGGTAGCCATGTATAGGTACGGTGCGCTTGTGGCTTTGCCGCCTTTGATTGGCCGAGGATTGCAGAGACCAACAACGACCGCTAGCTGCGCTCGCGAGTAGGTATCCTTACCGGTCTGTGTGTCTGTTTCTCGCTCCCGATGACAGACGCGCGAATGTACAAGTAGAGACGGCTGCAAAAGAAGGACCAATGACGGCTGCCAGACGTCTATCCAGAGGTTCCAGACATGGAGAGAGGTCCCGTGCAACGGCCCACATGCTGTCCGTGTGATACTGACGCCGCATCGCAGACTAGACAAAGAAAGGTTTAATGGCATGGCGTTGGTTCAGAGGGAGAGACATGGCGAGGTCAAAGTGGCCCGCCCCTTCTACAACACTACAGCACCAACAGGTGCGTGGCAGACAAGCGCCGTAGGCATCAGTTGCGCTCGGACAGCTTACCATTGAGGCTGAACACTCCTGCAGTCTACGGATACCTTGCTCCGTTTCCCTTGGTTTACCTTGTTGAGGTCATTCGCGTTGTCAGCAACGATCCTGAATATTGGTTCCCACCACGGAGCCGCAAGTGCTGTACTCCGTATGCATGGAAAGAAAAGGAGGGTGACCCCTCTTGTGTCCTAGCGGCATACTCCGTACCATAGCATAACAAGGTCCATTCGGGGGTTCGCTCGTAATTGCAGTGGAGTTGAACAGAGTGGGTGAGACCGTTGAAGAACGATGGGTCGAACGGCCGGGAACGGGGGGTGAGAACTGCGAGGGAGGGGAGCTGTGTTGCACAGCAATGGGACGTGGTTGGAATGCCAGCCGCGGGCACTTGCGCCGTTGGTATGGGACGGATATGCTTAGCATAAGTGATAAGCCAGACATCGTCATCTGTCAATCCAGGCTCATCCCATCCAGACTACCTAGCCAGCTAGCCAGGACCCAAATTTAACGTCACCTACCGTATACTACGTGCTGCGTGCGGATACCCGTCAGCAAGATCGGACTTGTCGAGGTTTTAATTATTTGTAAACATGCTGTGATCACTTGCGCAATGAGTTCATTACGATTAGAGTTGTTGGCGCAAGAAGGTATTGCCATAATCATACGGATAATGGAAAGGTGGAAAGGAGATTTGCAGCCGTGGGCAAAACGAAACCTCAGGCGAGCAAAAGTTGTGCCATCTACCCGTACCTTGCTAAGGTAAGCCCCTGGTGTAAGGATCACGTAAGTCGGCCAGCCGGCCAGCCGCACTGTGCCGATGCCATTCTAGACCCCCGATGCCAGAGACTCTATCCCCCCGGCACAGGTCATTTGCGCCTCCTGGCCCGGGCAATCAATCCCAGAAACCGCCAGCCAGGAATCTCTACGGTCTGTGTGTGTGCATCTCTCTTCTTCATACGGATACGTATTCGCCTCCCTGGGGAATCCGGCGAGAGGGAACGCAATCTCTCAGTCATCTGCCATTCTCCGCCGCTGGAATTGAAATTCTACCAGAGCCACGAGACCCTCACGGCACTCTCAGAGTCAGAGCGACAGAGCGACAGAGCGACAGAGTGACAGAATGACAGAGACAAGAGGGGTGGCGCATGCCTCTTCCTTTTCGTATCTGCGCGCTGAGACTGCGCATGCGCCCGTCTCCCGCATATCCGGACACCATTTTGGAAACTCTGCTTTCTTTTTATGCAACCTCGTTTGCAGACCGTTTTGTCTCTCCATCTGACCATTCGCATGACACCGGCGGCTGGCTTGTTTCTGTTCTCGCCTTCACACTCGCAGCAGTGGCAGCCAGGCTTGCTGTCTCTCAATTCACAAGTCTCCTACGAAGTCTCCTACGAACTGGGGGCTGCGAGTCAACTGGATCTCTTCACCGCCCGTCGGTCCAATGACGGCGCTTCGTTTCTCCTGGGATCTCGCATGATGGTCATGTACTGTGTATCCGTAAGGTAGTTAAGGTGCCCCAGCTCCTGGTCGGCCCCATATCCGATGATTTCCCACGTCTCCAGCCAATTACGCGCACACTCCGAACTACGAGGGCATCCGCTCGAGGGCTTGTCTGCCGACTATCAATCTCACTTGGGGTCCATGGGACAGAGCGGCTACACCGAACTGATGTTCATCCATTCCACTGGGCCACTGGGCTCATTGAAACCTCCCCTATTTTCCCCTTGTAGCCTTCTAGAAGGCTCATAATCTCATCTCTTGTCGCTTTCTCCTCTACAGCTTGACTTTGGATCTGCAGGGGCCCCCGAGTTCCACATCGTTCTTTACTCATAATTTCCGAAGAAATCTAGCGGCCGAGTATCAATGAAACAAAACACTGACAAGGCAGCAGCAGAAGCAGCAGCAGCAGGAGCAGCAGCAGCAGCAACCTGGCAAGCTTAGGAAGGATTGGAGGAAAGCGGAACGCACGGCCTACGCGATCTAGTCAGTGCCCGACGACCTTTGAAGTATCCCGGCCTGTTTCAAGTGAAGCACTACACACACAAACGCCCTCACGCCGACCCATTACAGAGCATCTTCTTAGGCCCCTTATACTCGCGTCACACTGTTTTCTGCATCCCGGGCATCCCTTGGTCTTCATCATCTGCACAAATCCGCTCTGTGTTCCCCTACAGAAATCTGTTACTGGCTCCTCCCCCTAATCTGCCTGCCACTGCATGGTTCTACCATAAGGTACCCCGTCACTTCAATATCTAATACATCGGCCCCATCATCTGCCGGCCGCCACTCATTCTCACAGCCCGCTTCCGCACGTCCCCCGGTCCATGACTGGCCCCTCCCACGTCGCCGGGATCATGTATCATACCGGCACCTCTGACCATCCGCAGCCAGCGCAACGCCAGCCGCTCCTGCGGAGGACCCGGTTTGTCTGCGTCTCTGACACCCACAACACCACCGTCAAACTGCCAAAGGGCGACGTGCTGATCCACGCGGGAGACCTGACCAACCAGGGCAGCTATTCCGAGGTACGTGCCCCGTTCGTGCTCTCTCTGGTTCGGAGAAAGAAGAGGGAGGTTCCTAGTTGTCGATTCAGGTCATTACCTGTTTGGGAGCCATGTGGGAGGCCTTCCGCAGAGACATGAGCTCCTGTCTCAGTCACTAGGTGTATCGTGGCGAATTTGTAAACAAAACATGGACTCGCCGAGTGGCGTCTGCTTGCTTGTTGATGGTCTTGGAATGTGTAACTGACGACATCATCAGTTGTCTCGGGCTGTCCAATGGCTTGAGAAGGCCGACTTTGAAACCAAAATTGTCGTCGCAGGTGCGGATTGTGTTCGTTTCCTCTGCTTTTTTACTCACCTTTTGTAGAGTACATGTTCATCCCTTCATGTCGGACACTGATTGAACCCGCACAGGGAACCATGACTTGACTCTGGATCCTGACTTCTACGCCCAACACGGAAGTCACTTCCACAACCAAACACCACAATCACCCCAAGACTGCAAAAGGCTCCTCACCAACTCGCCATCAATAACCTATCTCACTCACGAAACAGCAACGGTCCGTCTCTCCTCGCCCTCGGGACCACACACCTCCTTCACCGTCTTCGGATCCCCTTACTCACCGCGCAACGGCCTCTGGGCATTCGGCTATGACGCTCCGCAGCACGGCAGCGTCGGCGCCGTCGTGACAAATGACCTCCCCGCGCTCTGGGACGACATTCCGCTTGAAGTAGATGTCGTGGTGACGCACACACCGCCGCACACCCACTGCGACGAGTCCCGCGCCCGGCGCGCCGCCGGGTGCGAAGCCCTGAGGCGCGCTCTTTGGCGGGTTCGACCACGCCTCGCCGTCTGCGGACATGTCCATGAGGGCCGCGGCGTCGAGCGGGTGCGCTGGGACCTTGGGTGCGGCGGTTCGGCCTTCAGGGAGGACGGCGTGGAGCGCTGGAGCGACCCGGGGCAGGGAAACAAGCAGTCTCTTGTGAACTTGTCGGTCAAGGGGGGTAATCCTCTGCGCAACGACGGGTCACATCCAGAGAATGGTTCATCCGACAGGGTTGTAGGAAATACACCATCCGGTCCCTCCGCCTCCGCCTCCGCCTCCGGAGAAACGATGTCGTTGGAGACCGCCGCAAAACCGGGGCTCGGCACCCGCGGCCTCGGCGGAGATCCAACGTCAGCCCGCACCGACGCCGCCGCACTCGCAGGGCGCCTGGGCCGACGCGAGACGTGTGTCGTCAACTGCGCCGTCATGGCCAAGAGTTACCCCCACGTCGGCGGCAAAACGGTCAACAAACCCATCGTCGTGGACCTGGATCTGCCCGTGTGGGAGTGGACTCGCGACGGCATGCCGCGGGTCGCGTATGTGGAGTGAAGTAGTTTCCAACGGGGTGGCTAGGCAGGTAGACGCCTTGCTTGCTTGGGGGCTTTACATGTAGCAAGAAAACAGTGATGTGCACTGGCGACGAGGCAGACCAGACATTCAGGCAAGTGAACTTGGTTTGCTGTCGACGAGGCAACCGCATGGTGTTGCTTTTCGGTGAAGGTATGCGTTCCCGTTTGACCCAGTTTCAGGGAGCATGCGCCATCTGCTGCTAGAAGGCAGGTCGTTCGAGGCAGCAGGCATCCAGACTTGATCGGGCCATTCTATGTCTGCCTCCCCGCGGCATCTGCTCTAACGCGCAAATATTCGGTAACGTCGATACTCATCATTCGTGGCATAATGGGGCTTTGCGACGGCTCTTCAACTTGCATCAATTCAGCGTTCTTCGCCCGGCTAAGGTTCGAATATGACGAGGCTCCGATCGAGCTCTGCTACATGCTACTCTATACTGTTGAAAAGAGAGTGCCTGGGCACGCACTCTCCCCCCCCCCCCCCCCCCCACCCCCCCCCACCAACACCAACCCGGCGTGGACAAACAGAGACAGAGATAGTGACCATCAGCCGGGGACGAGGGAGACTGCGGCCCACCCGCATCCAGCGAGCCGCCCCCCGCCCACCCCCCCCCCCCCCCCCCATCTGAGCCCTTAACAAACATCCATGGAGGGTGGAAAAAGAAGATGAGAATGAGGCTCTGGAAGCTGGGAAGGGAGGTGACGTCCAATCACTGAGGTCAAGGCAAACTTCCACATCAATCCTTCAAACGAGTATGGTTTGCAATGGCCACTTGCCCCCATGGGAACGCTTGCGTCCTGTTTCGGAATGCTTGGTCTTCGCAGAGGATGTGGTTTTTCGTCAAAGCCGTCCAAGTCTTTACGATGATACTCGTCACTCTGTATCTACTGCCACCACACCAAGAGACGATGATGAGGAGGGCTTTGCAGGGTATAATACAGTCGTAGTTAGGGGATGGGGGGGGCAAGGCGAGTATGCAAAAATACGGCAAAAGCAAAGAGCCTCACGCTCCGAAGCCATTTACTCCGTTAGCACTTCAAATTCGCAACATGTGCCCATGTGAATACACACTCACTCATACTGCCAATACACCTCTCAGAGACAAGAGGCCTGCCTTATCACGCCCGCCGCCCTTGCAGCCTCGCCGTTAATGTTTGACTACCCATCCATCCCCCGAGAGCCACCCCATCTCTCACATGCCAAGATACGCATGAACCGTAGCCACAGGAAACGAGAAAAAGTGCCTTCACACGGGAACATCCACCGACCAGACCGAGCCTGCTTCCCAAGATCGACTTCATTTCTACCTACTCCATCCGTTTCCCCAGCCGCCTCGTAGCCTACCTACTTCTTGCCCACGTCCCCACCCCCCCTGAACAGTCACAAGCCTCGCCTGCGGCATACCCAAACCACAACTCGTCGTACCTCTCCATCCTCAGAACTATCAACACCAACCAAGAAGAAAAAGCCCAAGTAAGAGCCGCACTTTTTCAGCAAAGCCTCGCCTACAACCCAGCAGCACCATACGCAAGCCCCCCCCCCACCTCTACGCCTCGAATCGACATTCAAGGCCGTCGATCCAGCAAAGTTCACTGCCAGAGACATGTGAAAATGGCAATCGACAGCAATCTAAAACAGAAAAGGCAGCCTCACAAGAAGGTAGCCTCGCGTCGACGGTAGAACAGGTCTTCACCCATCCGACGCACCTATCTATGAACTTTTGCACATTGCTTCACGCGCTGACAATCAGGCACCAAAAATACCACGCCCATCTCCCCGCCTAATCCTCAGCCCCCAAATACAGACAAGCATACAAGCCTCTCCTCAACGAGGCGGGATTCCAAAAGGGTGGGTTGGGCCGGGATCAAGTCTGACCCCGCCTCAGCACCATTCCTGCACATTGCTGTCCCCCCCGGTTCCCCCGGCAGATACAGACACGACCGCAAGGCTGCATCAACATCTGCATCTTTGACGAGGGCGATATCCCATTCCCCGTGTATTTTCATCCGACAAACCTCTTCGCCATGATCTTTCTCTTCCTCTTGAGAAGGACCACAAGACTAGGTATACCACCTAATCCGTTCCAACAGGCACACTCGCACCAAGCACCTCGGCCAGTCCGATCAAGAGCATCAAATACGGCCCAATGACCTGACCCAAAATAACCACCCCGGGACCCCTCTTCGCTGATGTAAGAAAAACCTACTTGCGTAACCAATCCATTCCATCTCCCCCCACGACACAACCCTCGAAATCTCCCTGTAGACAATCGCCTCCCCGAGCTGATGTAAGACGGCCCCAGCCTTGCCCCCGATAGAAAAGGCAAGCAAGACAAGCAGATATCCTCCCTCCCATCCTCCCATTCGCACAAGACCGTACCAGATATCGGGGTCTTCGAGATAGATCCCAAGCAACCAAAGTCTCCCTCAGCTTACTTACCCAATTCGACATACCGACCTACACCTAACTAACCCCAGGCCTCATCCAATCCCGACGCCATCCGCTCTGTTGCCCGCCAATCGATACATGCAATTGCCAATTTAGCTCTCCCATTGGGTTAGGAATCGACAATCATGTCTGGGTGCCTCACACACAAGACCACAGTGGATGTCACCAAAAAAAAAAGAAAGAGAGGCATTCTGAAGAGGACAATGAGGGGCGGAATGGGGAAGGGGCCTGGCTGCCTGGCCGCCCGCGCCCCAGACCTACATATCGATTCTGTACTCTGCGGCGCGGGTACACCTCCTTTCGCCTCGTGCTTCTTGCTTCGTGCTTTCGTGCTCCATCTTCCCTTCCTTCCACCTGCCTCTCCGCCCTACGCGCTACGTCGTGTGCTTACACGTTGCAACGGGTACCGTCCTTATCAGATTAGGCTTGTGCAGTAGGTGGTCACCAAGACGGTCTCCGCGACCAGGGCCCCTCGTGTCACCACACTCACGCACACACATCAGCGGCCGCGAAGGAGTGACAGACCCCTGACGGCCGCCAATACCATCGACCGTCGTCAAACCCAAGAGGTAGGAAGAATATGAAATGCCCCGGGACTTTGTGCATTCTCACCTGATGGGCCGCCCCGTCTGGCCATCTACCCGGCTCAGGATGCCTGATACCGCATGTCCATCCCGTGCCGTCAACCAATGGCCCGAATCCAGAGACTGCGGCGTGCCAAATTTCCCAGGCACGCATGCCGTTTATTTTCTCCTGCAAGACTTCCCTTTGGAGGAAAACCTCGCGTCGTTGGGATAGGATCAGAGCTCAACTATACCCCCGGGCATAGATCAGCATACACTTGTACGGATGCTACGTTAAAAAAAGGCCCCTCGGATATGCCTTCTCTGTATTGTCAGCCATACAGCACGCGGTGAGAAGCCGGTTGGCTGGGAGTATGCAACCGCCGCGTTTGGATAGGAGGAGGGGGCAAGTCCTCCAAGTCTTTGGTCAATTTTGCTCGCGAGGCACTTCGTCCATCATCCATCCCGAGACCCATTGGAGGGAGATGCATGCGCGCGGTATGGAAGCAGGCTATAAGGCAGCAATAAGAAAGAATAAGGTAGGCATTCCGGTCTCTCAGTCCGGGCAGACGGGCTCGCGTGCGGGAATGGACATGCTGATCCAGAGAGGGAGTGAAGACGTGCAGCTCGGCGCTTGTCAAGCACCCAATAAACGCAGCGGTGGGGACTTCTCCCAAACAACAGGCGCTCACGCACTCTGAAAAGGAGGGGAAGGGGCGTGAGGGTTGGGGGTTGGGGGTTGGGGGTTGGAATGGGCGGGAGAATGTGAGCCCAGAATCAGATGCGGCGGCTGTGCGGAAGTGGGATGGGATGGGATGATGTGTGATGTGATGGGATCGGAATCGCGGGGTTCGATTCGCTCAGTGGGGGTTGCTCGCGCCTGAGACCCTCAATTCCCCTCTCTCAACTCTTTTACGTCCCTTCGAGATGGGTCACCTGGAAAGATGATGGTGTTGCCATCGAGATTTCGAATTGATGAAGTCTGGATGCGTCTGTGAAACTCTGTCACAGCGAGTCACAGCGAGAGAGGCTTGCAACTCTCAAGTTGCCGAAAATTTCCCCAATTGAACAGCCCTAGGCTAGGATGGAAGCTGTAGCGAAGAAACAGAGAGCTACCCCAGTCAGCGTCGATGAGAAGCACTTCACCGCCACCAAAGGCAGCGATGTCCCAGCAAAAAAAGGACCTTAAGTATGGCCCAGGCTTCGTGAGGACCGCAGACTAGCTGGCTAGCGATAGACCGGCTTCAGTCCATGCAGTACCTGTGCCCTATGCCCGACGAAAATGCCTCTTTTCTCGACGCCTTTTCCTTGGACGATCGCCAGCTGGGCTTTGCAAGATGCAGCACCCTTATCCACCGAAGAGGATGCTTGTGGCTAGCAAAGTCGTTGACTGCATTAAAGTTCCTGGATTCTGCTACCAAAAGATGGGATGGCATCCCTTGCCTTGAGGGTGGTAACCGGCGGTTGGCATTGGAGACGTGGATGGGAATCTGTTGGCGCGGTATCCGCTTTGTCCATGGTCAGAAACGAGAAAATTCCCTCCCTCCAACTGACCCGGCAGTCACTTTGCGAATCTTATCGTTGATAGGCTATCGGCCGGGTCCCTGGAGTAAGGTGTCACCGGCACGCAGAGCGTTTGCTGGGAGCTCCCGGTTGTCGTGGCGCAAGTTGAGCGGTTTTCTCCTGAAGATTTTCACGGGAGCGTTGGAGGGCTTTCCCTGGAGAGTTTCGGCAATGGCGAAGCGGACGGGTTTGTCTCTGCTCAGAGCTGTGGTGACCCAGCGCAGACACGCATCGGTATCGCCCATAGCTCGAAGCTGTTGGCCGCTCACTTCTCAGTCTCACCTCACTCACTCAGCGACAGTCTGACTGACTGCTCATGGTAGCTCCAAAGGCGAACAGGCTGCTGCATGCCTGACGGCCGATGTCTGCCCCGCACCAATCCGATCGAGCTGCAACCCATACCGAGGAGGGTTGAAAGCGTTGTGATCGACCAAAGGCTGAGGGCAGCTTTTGGTGCTGCCATGCTGGAGACGGGGACTGACTGCTCAACAAGAGGATAGTCATGCCGAAGCCTTGCAAGCAAATGCCTGAGCACAGTGAGCAGAAGCTGTTAAACTTGGCCGGATATCCACACCAATGCGGCACCAGCCAGCTGATCATCCGCGATGGAGAAGACGGACCTGGGCCCGCTCGCGCACGAGACAGGACGAGACGGGACGATTCGATTCCTCTCGAACCATTGGCCCAGACGGCGCTGACCGCTAAAACGTGAAACCCCTTCACCACCGGCTGGCTGTCGAGGACCAGTGATAGACAGTAAAAGCCAAGCTTGGGTGATGATACTGAGGGGTAAGAACTATGAAGCCACTCAGTCCCCCTTGTGCTTGGGACATCACTGCAGTTCCCGAATAACAAGGCCGAAGAGTTGCTCGAGATACTCGTCCGTCGAAAGTCATGCCTCCACCCAGGATATCTCGACCAACATGATTCGAGCACCGCATCTCTCTCAATGCGGCATCTGCTCCAGGAAAATCTCCTGCCGACGGGTTCCTACTCGTCGCGACTTAGCTGCAGCTAAGCCTCTGTCTGACTGGTCGAGAAGGCGTTCCATTTTTCGTCTGATTTTGTTGTCGCGGGAGACTTTTCCTGTCTTCTTCTTCGTGGGTTTCCTAGACCAATGACGGGCGGATCCGGACCCCCTCCTCGTGTAGTAGAAGCGCAAGCAGAAGGTGTATTTCACGTGGAAGAAGACAAAAAATTGCGAGCTGACTTTTTGCACATGTAGTCGCCCTTGCCACCCACACCCGCAAGGTGTCCAGAAGGGGGCCAGGGGAACGCCTCTGTCACTAGAGTTCGTACCTGCTTCCGATCTTCCTGATGGTCACCAACACGCGACCTCGCGGAGCAACGATGATCTCATCACGAGTAGGAAAGGCGTGGGATGCGACGTCGCTGAGTAGGGAAGATGGCATGTTAAGACACATGTCCTGAGAGTCGAATGGTTTTGGAAAGTCGTGTGGTTTGTGATATTGTGTGATGGGGGATGCAGCGAGCCCGAGTGGGAACTGTGGGTGGTGTTATGCACACACTTTGCGGTGGTCACCGTTATTGGTCGACTGCGACCCTGAAAGCCCGCCGGCCTCTGTCTCTGTCGTAGACATTGGATGACACGACGAGCTAGAGGGCGAATTCGGAGACATTGCAGATATGGATATGCCGGCCTTGGGTAGCGGGCAAAGCACCCAGCGACTGCAACGACCCCACAGTCGGTGCCAAAACTCTGGCGGCCTCCATTGGCCATGGACGAATATTATGCTCAAACTGCGAGTAAGTCGCCAGGTTGTGAGCTTCCATCGTTGCCGAAAGATGCAGGGCAGAAGTAATGCGTATACGACTATGGATGCGCCTGCAAACGACGCATGTTTGAATAATGACCGACGAAAGCCTGTGAAAGGACTTTCCGAGGCAAGTCTTTGAGACAGAGCCGACGCCAGATGCGAGTGGGTGTGTAAGTCTGTCTCCCCAAACGTGACAGATCCTTCGTAGGGCTATGGTTGACGATGTTCAAGCTAGTTGCGATCTTCCTGTTCTCCAGGATGACGTTGCTCCATGTCGATGGGAGCCAGAGAGCTGATGGCTGAACAAGTCTGCTGTCGTCCCGTCTCGCGTGCCACTTTCTAGGCCTGCAGCTAGAAGACGAAGCGGGCACGGTGGAATGGCTGTCGTTGGTTAGCCGTCGGGGTCGCGAGACGACCAACGACCATGTGGCGCCGTATGTTCTGTGGTTTGCGGCCTGTCTCTGTCTTTGCGCGTTCCCGGCGGAAAGCTAGAATAATAGCTGATGGGCACAGGCAAAAGTTGGCTAGCCTCGTATGGCATATCGATCCGGGGTACGGCGCACCCATGACTTTGCTGGCGACGTCTCTTTGGCTGCGGACGGGTAGGTCTGATATCATGGCCAGGCCAGGCCAGGCCACAAAAACTGTTAGTGTTGATCTGTGCTACTTGGTCGCCATCATCGTCGTATCGCCGTTGGGCTCAAAGACGTGGTATTTTCTTCCGTTCCTGGGCTTCCATAGGGTTGGGCATCGAATTGAACGAGTGTCATGAGAAAATCGATGGGAAAACGGGTTGGGTTGGAGAGACCTAGCGGAGGGAGGGGTGGTTGGGCTAGCGGGAAGACGGTTCGCTCCTGGTCTGACGGTGACAGCTCCCGTCAACTTTGCTACGCTTGTTCTGCTCCCTGGAGTCCCTGCTAGGAAGGTCCTCGCCTCGTAGGCCTTGGGCATCTCCTGAAGGCACCCACTTGTCTTAGGTAAGCATACGATGTACTCCCGTACCTTCCTTCGAGGTACCCAGCACAGGGGAAAGGGGTCAGAGTCGCGAGTCGACCGACAGGAGAAGGCACGGCACCGGAGGACGGGGCTCCACTGCCCGAATGGCCCGCTTTTATCGCAAACGGTGGTCAAACGAGGTTTTTGTTCACCGCCAGATGGCCCCGGACAATGGCCGCGGTGCTTGTCATCAAGATCAAGCCGAATGGGAGGTGCCGACGGAGTCAACCAGAGGTCTGAAGCCTTGCTAGGTCTGGGCATTACCTCAGCAACGTCTGACAGATGCGTTTGAAATCATGATGTCCATGATGCCAAATATGGCTCAGGTGGCTCTATCAGCCTCCAATCGATAGAGCACCCAGAAACCCGCCGAGGAGGAACAGTTACAGAGGGTCAGACAATGGTTTGATGCAACGCAGCTTGTGGTTCCCAAGTACTCCGGCTTGGAGGTTCGCGTTCGCCGAGCAGACCAGATAGCACTGCCTGCAGTTCACAGAACGATGGATTACACTATCAGCCAAGGTCCCTTTAGACTCGGGCAGATGATTGCTTAGTGTGTGCGCTACCTTAAAGAGCCGTTTTGTTAAGCACCAACGGCAGCCCCGAATTGCTAATTGAGTTGTCAGGCTTTGTGCGCTATCCTCGGGAATCGGGACGTTTTGGCGTTCCCCTCAACCAAATGGAAGGTTGCTGCTTGGAAACGGACGAACGTTTCAAAGGCGCTGCGAGCTGCAGCGTTGGAGGCTGAACGAATACCAACCTTAGGTACCAGGTGCCACCTTGTGTTCGCAGGCTGCGCTGTCGCCACTGGAGGGAGGAGCAGACGAACGGCGCGACAAACGGTGACTGTGAGGAAGCTAAGGTTCGATGTACCTACTCTTGTCGACGGTACGTGGCAGTCGCCCCCCGACCCCTCACGACGCAAAGTACCCACGACTTTACGTACGAGCCACCGCCGGCTTCCAATTGTCCACTGCCACATCCTTCCTCCTCCGCTGTTGCTTTGCAGTTGCGGTGCTTTCCTCCCTGGTGCTGGTGCTGCTGTTTCCGCTGTTGGTGTTGCCGCTGCCCAATCGACGAGGCGAACAAGCGTTGACGGTGCCACGCCATGCTATCCCTAACTGACCACTTCCCATCCAACGGGATCCCCAGCTTCTCGCCGGTAACCACAGCATTACACTCGGCTTTCATGATATCAGCGAATAACAGACGAAGAACGCGGCAAATAGCGAAACCCGCACTCCCATTTTTGCCCCCCCGAAAAGGAAGAGATTTCTTCTCGTCGTCGAGAAGTTCCCCGCTGTCTCCGAGAGGCGCTGAGGGCTGGAATAAGTCAGGTTGATTCATCCATCATCATCTTTGCCCCATACTCCAGTTCCTCCAGTCGAGACGCAGCATGGAAGTTGTCGTCGGCAGCTTCGTCTACGTCGCGCGATGGCCCCCTCGGATCTTGGAAGGTATCCTGGCACGATACAGCACTTGGCGGACTGAAGTTGTATCCTTTACACCGCAAGTAGCAAGGCGAGGTACATACCGTACATTGTCGCTTCCATCCTTTGGGTTCGATCTTGCCCCCAACCACCCCACTGCTCTCCTTCACCGTATCCATGGCCGCCGCGAGCGATCGACTTTTACGGCGGGAGCCCATGTGCCGTCCCTGTCGCTCATCGCCTGAAGGGTTCGGTTTATAGCCGACCTCTTTCAGTGCCCTTGTCTGCCAGCTAAACATGTCCCCACGACAACGCGAGACGTCTGTCAGTAAAAGGCACAAAAGAAACTGAGGCGGCCCCAGAAGCGACCGATACGGGCAGGTCCCAGGGGTCCCGCATACGTCAGGCGTTGCGTATCATGGCTCAGCTCTGCCGGGGGGTTCAGCCTTTTGCTGTCCAATCCGCCCGCGGCCGCCTACCACCGCTGCAGCAAGCCACCGCAAGCTGCTGTACTCTGCCCGTTTGGGCGATGGACGACGCGGGTCGGACAGAGAGGGAAGCAGGGCCTGTCCGCGGCCGAGGAAACAGAGAGAAGGGTACAGACAAGACACCGGTCGACGCCAGTCTCAAGACAGGCAGGGCGGGACGGACTTTGAGCGGCGGGTTGCGCAGAGGACGAAGAGACCGATGACAAGCCGGGTACAACGGTGCTCCGACTGACAGACTCGGACTTTACCTCTCTGTGCGCTTGTCCGTCCGGGGATAAGGATAGGCGGTTGAACAGAACAGACGCAAGCTGCGGTCCGTGGAAACGCAAAAAGACGGACGATGTCTGGGGTTTGACGACAACTCTGTCCAAGGACAGAGTTGTCGCACCGACGGCGGGCAAGCAATTAAGTCGCGGTGGTCGTCCATTCCCAAGAAGCCTTACCCGCTAGGCACGCCGCACATCACACCCACTCCAGCCCCTCCAAAAATCCAGTCCCCCCCTCCACAAGACCAAGACGTGGGATCCCTTCTCAACCAGGGGACAGTGGAGCATCATCAGCCAAGGCCAGAACCGTCTCACCTGGCTACAAGCCCCATTCGCTCGCCCCCGTTTGTGCTGTACCGCATGCAAAGACGTATCAGTATCTGTTTATACCGTCTGGGTGCAACGGCCCTGGCACTCTGCTCACCGGTGGCTGACCACACTTCTTGAAGAGGAAAGAATGGCTGGTTGATAGTCTCAAAGCAGTCAGTCGCCCATCCATCATTTTGAAAGTGACTCGTCAGCCCAAGTGGTGACGGAAGAGCCAAAAGGGCGTCTGGGTGTGGAGGTTGGGTGAGAGGAAGGGGGCCGGCGACCTTGCCCAGACGTGTACCTTCCGTTCAGATTCTCACGCTGCATCTGGTGCATCTTGTGCATCTGGACAGGCCAAGACAGAGAGGAGGGAGGTTCCCTGGAGCTCCGTTTCGTCAGATTGAAACGGAGAGCCACCAGACTGAGGCTGACCCGCAGGTCGGTTTGCGCTAGTCGCTGTCAGCCGGTTTTGACTGGTCAACGCTCCGCTTCAGATCGTGCCCTTTTCGTCCAATCAGTAATGGCCCAGACCCAGCCATCGGCCTCCGTCCTGTCCAGTCATCGTCTGCTCTCCCCCTCCTTTTCGTCAGGAAGCCCGTGACCTCATCGTCAATCAAGTGCAACTGCGAATTGGTCGCACCAAATACTTGGCTACCTTAGCCCCCGTGCCCCCGTGCTGTCAATGGAAGTCACGTCTTCCATCCGCCATCCTCGCACCTCTGCAGTACGTACCGTGGATTCCATACTACAATGTAGGTAAGTTCCGACTCGCCGAGAATACCGGAGGTGAGGTGCACGAGCGGACCGGGAAACACACCAGAATCCATCTTCGCAGCTCTCGCCCAGTATGGCCAATTCAAAATCAGAATCAGAATCAGAACCAAAAAAGAAGGGCAAGCAATGGGGCATCTGCCTGGGCGCTGTACACTTTGGGCACCCGATTCCGTCAGAACATCCCTTCCCGTCCTGACCAAGCCGTATCTGTGTCCGTACTGGAGGGTGAGGTAAGGGCACTTTACTCGGTACGTACACGTACAGATACATAGATCATGTACCGAGGTACATGAGGCGAGGTGCCTTACTGTCGACCCCAGGCTCTGCGACCCACCGCCCATGGGCCTGTCTCCACCTTGGCCCACCCACGTCTTCCACGTCCCACGCTTGCACCGGCTCGCTCTCGACTGACAGGACGGAAACGACCTGGTCTGTCCATCCATCGGCCGTCGATGCATCAATCATCCACCCGCGTCAATCCACAATCCACAACCACAACCACAACCCACAAGCCATCCCATCAACCATCCACCATCCACCACCCGCCCACCCATCTGGGGACCCTCTCGCATGGTGCGTAGAAAGTCACTTTTTTCCTTTCCAATCCTCAGTCATTCAGCATCCTAAAGTCTCTCCGCTCTTCCAGTCACCAGTCATCACTCCTCTCGACTCCTAGCAAGCACCCAGCGAGCGAGCACCTGGGAGTGTCAAAGTCACTCCGGTCCGCTGTCCATATCCGCCTCCGTTTCCTCGTCTTCCTAGATCGTCCCGTTATTTGGCACGTTTCCCTCTCCTCCCCTTCTCGTCTTCGCTTGAGCTGCCCGTCCAACGCAACTTGCGAATATCAACCCACGCAGACAACTCCACTTGCGTACTGGACACTGGCTGCGCTGCCGCACCTCGAGGGGAAAGCCCATAGATAGGAGCCACGAACCACGATCGACCGCTGTCCGACCTCTGGCCCTCGCCCTCGCCCTCACCCTCGCCATACGCATCCGGCTGCTTCTCTCGCCCTCTTTTGCCATCCACATCCGCATCTGCATCTGCATCTTTTGCCTCTGCTCTCCTCTGTTTGCCTATCTCCCTCCCTCTCTCTCTCTCTCACTCGGTTCACCCGTTTCCAACTCTTACCACAACATCATCACCTCACCTGAACGATCCTCAACGTTTCGCCTTTACCTTATTCTCCTTTTTACCTCATCCCTCGCAGTACATCATTTTGCGCGACTTCACTTCAGTCTACATACTACCTTGCTACTACTTCTTCTACTACCTTACTTCCTTGACCTTTCCGCTCCCTCTACATTCCATTCCACGGATACCCTCCCACTCCGGATTAACATCCTCGCGCCGGGCTTCGCGTACCCGATTCCACCAAAACACTCCTGCTTTAATTACAACAGCAACCCACCCAGCCACGAGCGCCTAATCACCACCGCCTCAATGCAACAATAGTCTCCTAGTCCGCCCAAAGACCGACGCGACCCGGACCGCAAGCAACGTCTTGCAGTCTGACTACCATCACTCCAGTCCTTGTTTGATCAGTCACTCTCTGACCACCGTCGAACTGGATTCACGAGCCCCCAAAACAAAATCACACCGCCGTCAGACATCTCCATCATGTCCGCGTTGCCACCCGACCCGTACAAGATTTTAGGCGTTTCCAAAGATGCACAAGTCACAGATATTCGAAGTGCTTACCGAAAGCTCGTCCTCAAATGCCACCCCGACAAGGTCCAGGACCCGACGCTCAAGGCCCAAAAGCAAGATGAGTTCCAAAAGGTCCAGCAGGCCTACGAGATTTTGAGCGACGAAAACGAGCGAGGCAAGTACGATGACAACGTCAGACTGGCCGAGCTCCGCAAGGAGATAGGCAAGGGCATGTCCGCCAACACCTCTGCTCCCAGAGCGCCTGCCGCCAGATCCTACGAAGTCCGCACCGCCGAGCCCCGATCGGATACCTACAAGACCACGTACCGTGGATCCCCTGGCGGCAAACCAATGTACTCTACTGGGTACAACTCTCGATCTTGGGACGAAGAAATTCACAGCAGATCAAATTCCATCTTTGACGAACCCCGGGCTCGCCGGGCCGCAAGTTACGAGAAACCGTCCCGCCAAGACGACGAACGAGAGCGGGAGCGGGAGCGGGACCGCAGACGTAGGGAAGAGAGGGACAGAGAACGCGAGGACCTCGCGCGTGCTGCAGACCGCAAAGAAAGGGAGCGCCAAGACAGAGAACGCCAAGAAAGGAAGGCGTACGAAAAGGCCGCCAAGAGGGCTGTCGAGAAGGCCGCGGCGGAGAAGGACGAGCGTCGTCAAGAACGCAAGCGCCTAGAGAAGGCCGAAAAGGAGAGAGAAAAGGACCGCAAACGCGATGCTGAGGAGAAATTGCGGAGACACAAGCCTGCCTACATTGAAGAAGACGAGTCGACCTACTTTGCCAAGTCCGACAAGAAGAAATCAAGTAGCACCAAAGAGAAGGAGAAGGACAAGCGGTCCCGCTCGATCCCGCGTGACGGCGTTCCTCTCCGGGAAGAGCCGCCAGCACCGCCAATGCCCCCTGTCCCGGCTGATGCCAAAGCTTCCAAATACAACGACACCATGCTCTACGCAGCCTCCTACATGGATCAATCACGCAAGGCAGTTCACCCGGGTCTGAGCCGTGCCCAGACGGCGTACGAGGTTCGGTATTCGCCCCCTGCCGCGGTTCCGACGCCGCCAGCCGCGGCTCCTTTTCCTCCTCCTCCCCCTCCTCCTATGCCTACTGTTGAGGAGGATTCTAGTCGCAGATCAAAGTCGAGGCGCTCATCTGAAACCAAGACTCGGGACAAGTCGAGCCACAAGAAATCGTCTCCTACGAAGGAGGCGCCAGTGCCCGTTCCGCCGTCGCCCAATGTTGTCGATGCCTCTCCTAGCACTCGTCACATGGCTCAGTTCGCCTCCGCAACGTCCTCGCCGACCTCCACCTCGCCGCCCAAGCACTTGGGTAGATCGGCCACCTTCAACGATGGGTACAACCGTCCGCCTCCTGGTCCTGTCAGAGCACAAACCTTTTCTCATGTGCCTGCCGAGTCTGCCGACACCCGGGGTCGTGGCCGCTCAAGGCTGCAGCCGCAGATTCTGAGCGAGGACTCTGATTCGGAAGAAGACCGTCATTACCAAAGGAGTCATCGACATAGGACTCAGTCTCCTGAGGCAATGTCGCATGAGATTGGCCAACGAACTCGGTACATGGTTAACGCTGGTAGAACAGTCCCAGTCGCTGCTGAGGCCGCGTACCCTGCCATGTATCGCGGAGACTCTCCCCCAAGGAAGCACAGCAAGCCTACCACCTATTACGATGTCCGCCCTTCAATGCCGTCTCGAGAGGGAAGCTATTCCAGCTCCAGTCCCTTTTTCCCCAAGGTGAAGACGGCGAGATACGATACCGTTCAGTACTCCGACATCCCGCATCGTTCTCGCAATGAGTACACTCAAGCCTACTAGTACGCTTAGCGGCGGAAATATGGCAGGCCTCAACCACGTCTAGGTCTCATAATGGTCATGCCGCCGTCTTCGAGATGAGAGATATGTCGCTCTGCTGGAATGCGTCGATGTTCATCCCCCTTCCGTCGTATTTGGCGCGGCTGATTTCCATTTCCCACTTTTTGTTAGCCTCATGTTTTCATCTCTGGTTCTTTTTCTTTGGTTCGTGCTGGTATGAGGGGGACAATATGAAAGACGCAAAAACATACAGTAACGAGTACCGATCTGTCTTATTTGATATCAATCTGAAAGGGCTGCGATTGACGAGCCCGAAATGGCGCTGGGGGGTATTTGAGGGACTGAGGCCGCTTGACACGGCTATTGATTGGCATTTATGGAGCGAGACGTGCTGGGCGGCGACGGATGCCTGGTCTGATGGGGCCATGGACAAAGTGGCGGTCGGGTGGGGGACCATGGAAGGTTCTCGAGTCGGGTCACGCGCCTAGTGATGAGGCGTTCACGATTAAGAAGCCTAACCGTCTCCCCCTTCCCTATGACCAGACTGAACCCCATGTCTACTCCTGGCAGCCGGCGTCGTCTACGCAACGGGGACATTTGGGACGTCCTGGGTTTCTCACAGAAGTTGTTGTACGCTGGAGTCTGACGATACACACATACATGCATTGGGATGGCGACATATATTTACCTATTTATTGGCTTTTCAGATCTCAAACGAACTCGAGGCATATTTTTCATCACTGTCAAATCGTTTTTAGTCATTCGCTACTGGAGTTCTAAAGCGGAGGGAATATAGCACACTCATTATTTCGAACGAGTTGCAGCAGAAGGGCTCGGAGATTTGGGGAAACATGGAAAGAGGAGGAGATATTATATTATCTTGGCAGGATCTGCCTGTGAGGGAAAGATGATCACCACGAGGGATGTCCTGGGAGGGCGGCTATAGTTGGGTTCTCGTTGAATGGAATGCATTCTTGACACGTTGATCTGGGTGATTCTCGCTTCCGGTGACGTTGATGGTTCGTGGTTTGTGGTCTGATGCGACACGAACAAGGGTGGCAAGTGCGAGTGAATTGAATGCATGTCGAGTTGAGGTCAGCACCCTAGGCCTCGGCGATTGTGGGTTAGTCGAGTACTCCCGACTTCATTGGAGGCTGTTCTTGGGGAAGCCAGGCCAGAAGAAGGGTTTTTCCACATGCTATGCTGAGGCTGTGTTTTTGTATAATCAACCTGGTGACCTTTTTCTTCTTTTTTTTTTTTTTTTGATTCTCGGTGAGGGTGGTGTGTTACACGCTGATCAGACTGTCGGCGGGATGAGAGAAGGCTGTGAGATTAGGCGACGTGGAGTGGTTCACTGTTGTCTGGAAGAAGAAGAGTTCTCGCGAGCCTGGAGTTTTGATGAATTGGTATTTGAAAGGCACTGGCTTGTGTGTTCTCTTGTGGGAAGGGATTCTTCCCATTGACGGCCGGTATAAAAGCGACATAAAGCTCTTGAGGCATTGGGTTGACATGCCACCTCCGATGGGCTTCAAGATTTTATTTTATTTTTTGGGGGGGAGGGGAGGGTCTCGGGATCAATGAAGACGAAGGTGTTGCTGGATATGTTGTGAGGCTCACAGGGCGCTATGTGAAGAGCGGTGAGGGAGTTTATGCCTTGGCGCTGCCCGAGTTGGCTGGTCATTTGTTTCTTGGGTGTATGTGCTCATGTTTACGGTGCTAGAAGGGGAAAGAAAGGTACATGTATGATACGTTTTCTATAGTCAGCCGGGGGCATGTTCTAGCGGCATGGAGTGGGCAGGAAGATGGTGTAGCATTGCTACTGCCGCTTAGTATGATGGGAGCGTGCAGCTTTATTGTTGTTTGTTCGGGGAACCTAGAGACGCGATGTCCCGGCTTTCTTGGTGACATTTGACGTTGCGATCTGGATGTCATTATAGACGCTTTTGGGGCGTGATTTTTATGAATATGACAGGATGGACGACGGACGACGGACGACCTCAAGTGAACTGAGCCGCTCTTTCCCACTCCCCAATTAACGATCGAGAAAATAGACATGACATGAGGCATTCATTCACCACGACCATGCCATCTAGGTTCGAGACACAGCTGCGGGTTCGGACTTTTGAGGCCCCGGGGTCAAGAACACTACAGCGGAAAGTTGGGCATAGAACTGGTCCCTGATAGAAGCCTATGTGCTGACTTGTGATTACTGTAAGGTCTATGTCATACTACTCAATAGACGTGGCCATGCTTTGATTCTTAGTATAGTCCTTCTCATCTTACTTATCTCGCGGTGAGATGATAGAGCGTATAGTTGTCTGGCTTTTTATGCAAGGCTGAGACAAGTCTAGTGGAATCAGATCCCTTTTCAACGTTTTCCCGAGCGTTTGTGGATCACTGGATTACGTTAACTTACAGCCAAGTGATACCACATACGGTGTGGCGTGCCTAAGATAGTCTAGCAAACTATAAGTATTCTCTATGAAATATGTAACAAATAATAGCGGACGTAGCTGGCTACGTAATAAGTTTTATTATGCTGCGCTTGGGTATATTAAAGTCTAACACGACAACGTGAGAACTTGCCCACCTCTAGGTGGCCAAGAAGTGACTCTCATACCAACGCCGTGCGCCAGTCGAATCAACTTCAGTTTGCCTTCGGTCAAAACGGTTTGCTGGGCATTGCCAGGAGCAGTTTTATACTTGCTCTTCAGATGTACCATAATGACTGGGCATCATACTCCCAGCAACGGCGCTCTTACGTCTAGACGATTCTAGGTCTTGCAGTTACCATGATGTTTGTCGCGGGCAGGCGAAGAGGTTCTTGTGGTTGAGGCGTACGGAAGAGTAGTATTATGCCTCGCTTTCTGGGATGTTGACTGCCAATCTTAGGCTGATAAATGGATTCTAGCCCTTCTTCTCCGCTTTCCCTGCAAGTCAAAGAGGCTGTATCGGCAGACTCTCACTCATGAGAGGGCTGGCGTTAAGACTGTAAGATGCGCTGTGTGAGTCGCGCGGTGCAGCCCACCCGGCCCATTGGTAAGTTGTCGGCTACCTGTGGGTCAATGGGTAGAGGATATGTTTAGGCAGCGCTTGTGGGAAAGGCCCATGGGTAGTTTGGGCTACCCAAGTATATGGGTCGCTGACCCATGGGTAATATCGGTATATTGGATTGGTTTTTGGGCAGCCCAAATTACCCATCCCAAAAACATGGGTGCCCATGGGGGCCCAATTTTACAAGTCTGGCGCGGTGTGAGTTCTGGTATTGAACCATTGAAGGTAGGTAGGCAGTACAATCAGGTTGTTTCTTTGCGAGAAGTATTTGGCCTTAGTCCACCGATGTGTCTCGTTATCACGGCAGAGGAATAGCCTTTCTACCACTCCATGTGTTTCATTGCTGCATACCTTGAAGGTGAGTCCGGATGAGAGACTTCTACAGAACAGCGGGTTGACTTTGATTTCCTAAAGCAGGAGACATTTAGAGCTCTTGGCGTGTGTAGGTGATGTTTCCTCTTTGCAGAAATAAGTACAACAGGCAATCCTCGCGCTCATCCTCGGCTTTTTTAAGTACTTTGGTGTTACGTCTTTCCAGACCTTGCTTATGATCTGACGGCATTTGGCGTGAGGCAGATAGGTGTAGAGATGTATCTCGGTGAAACCCTTCTGCCTACAGGCTACATTACGTCTCCCATTTTTTCCCGGTCATGTGTGATAGAGCAGGACTACGGGCGGTGGCGAATACGAGGATGGAGAAACGTTTCACTGAAGGTTTTCGAGGTCGGCAGACATAGACCCAGACTTTGCTCGCCGTATGCTCGCCTAAATATTTCTCACGTCGCTCTCCCTCACAAGCGCACATGTCTCTTCCGAACTCTGCGCTGCAATCACGCAGGCGGTCAGCTTGCCCGTTGGCAGGTCCCCGGGCAGGTATTCGCCATGATTGCTCGGTAAAACTTAACGGTGATGGAGGACTACAGGACTCAGCCCAGCTGACGGCACGGCCGATGTATCATATGCAGATGTCCTTCATGTTTCCACCTGGGCAACTTCCCAACACACTGAACCCAGGATACAGGTACGTAGGGTGGTACGTAAGCCCATGAGGAAATAGAGGAACACGAAAAGGGTTGTTTGGTAAACAAAATGCAGCCAAAGCATTGAAAATAGATTCAAATTGAGCTTTCTGCCTTGGTTGTGTGTCTTCAACTGATGAGGTAATTGTAACTAAGATTACGTGTTTGGGTACTTTATGTGACGATAGCCTCATGGTAGTGATAAGCTCTACTGACTAGCCCCATCACGTGCGGCGTATAGGTATTAGTTTCGTAATCAATAGAGGAGGCTCTGCCTACTTTTTCTTCCCCCCCTAGAAGTAAAATGGAAGCAGCTTGCTCCCTGTCTTCTACGCTCTGCTATACGCTTCATTTTGCGATATTTTCATTGCTTTTGTGATCTACCATTCCACCAGGCCAAGCTCGTATGCAGTCACCCATATAAGAAGGCGTAGTCTTCGAAAGTTTCTGTCAACCCACCAACATCGAATGAAGACAACGGGGGTATACCGACCTCCCCCCCGCCTAGTCACTTCGACGAAGAGACAGCCTGTTTCATAGTCTCCGCTAATAACCAAGGACCATGCGGGATAGGCTTGTCTATAGCACGGCCTGAGAGCAACGCGGAGATCTCTTCCAAGACCCATATCGAACTCGCGAGCCACACTTTTCTAAGGTCTCGCAGAAATGCTGAGCATACTGCAACTTGGCGTCCCACATGGCTACAGCCCGCTGTTCTCCTAGCTTTTGTTTTCTTCGCCCTTAACTCTGCCCTTGCCCTTACTACCATGTTGCACATCTCTAAGCAAAACATCGGACTGGTGGAAACTCAGCAGAGCCTAGTTTATCTATGGTGCTTTGGCCCAACAGCCGGTAAGATGACGCAATTCTCCCTTGGAAGACCAGCGAAATGCTCCAAGAACGTAGCCAAGAGCATGCTGTGACGCTATTATCCATTTGCTGGCCGAGGGTAGAGATTCAAGCCCAAAGATATGGATTGCCTATTATCCATGGAAATCCCTCGGAAAGGAATACCGACGACTAAGAACTTGACTACACAGCAATGCTATCGCTAAAGGTTCCGATTCAGTCCTTGAGACGAAAACACTATCTGGTCTTGCTAGTCGATGTTATATCCATGATTCTTAGAATACAGATTGTTGTTGCCCCTGATTTGTACGTTTTGAGGTTCGTTACGTAGGGGGCCTTGGAGGAATGGAAATATGTGTTTCTTATCGTGATGTGAGCTTGCAAAGTTTTGAGGATATTATTTCGGTGGATGTCGTTTCGTCTTCTTAAGATGGCAAAATGCTGACCAATTTGCTCCGACACCCATATAAAAAACCCCTTACGCATTTTGCGCTCTCGTTGCCCATCTCATTTTACCTCACAAGACCTTCTCGGGGACGAGTGCCTGGAAAAAGCGAGGCTCACAACGCATTTTCAATGAAAGCTAGCCTGGCGAATAAGCCATCATGCCAGCGTGAAACCTGCAGTCACCATTTCAACCGCTTGCTGGTCTGAATGCACGGTAGCAAGCCGTCAAGTCTCGCAGGGGATTGATAGGCAGATTTATCACGGTGTAGTCTTTGCCCATCGGGCATGCAAATAAGGGGGTATAGTATGACCTGTCTAGAAAAACGCCAAGGAAATGATTGTGTGTGCCTGTCTTGGGGGACGCCGCCCCGTGGAAGATGCCGTTTAATGATACAGAGTTGCTTTGGTAATAATACAGTGAGTCCAAGTCAAGGTCATCTACACCATCTTCTTGAAAGATAGCTGCAAGCACAGGACCTTCCTTTGAGCAATGCGAGGAATGAGGTGGCCGTCCGTGACTCGAAAGTGGAAAACCGCGATGCGGATCGACGTGATGAAGGAGATCCTAGACCAAGACGTAAAGGGCACAAATCTGCCAGGGGTTAGCTACCGTCACAATTTGAAAAGAAACCATACAACTCACCATACTCAGCCCCATGACCATGGAGCACCAAAAGCACACGTTATTGAGCGTCTCTTTACCACGCACCCACTTCGTACGTTGCAGCACCACGATGGGAAGCTGCAGCATCTGGCAGACGAAGCCGTAGCCGCGAAGCTTCTTCGTGATGCAGGCCATGACGATCTCGTGCCCAATGGCGGATATCAGAAAAGTGATGACGGTGGCTGGGAGGCGGCCGACGTACGGACGGCTGGCGCTGTAGACGTGGCGGCGCAGGAAGCTGTAGACGGGTATGTTCCACTCGCGGGAGAACTCCATCCAGTCGGTCGAGTTCCACCAGTCGGAGTAAAAGTGGCGATCGGCAAAGTGCGTAATTTCGGCAAAGGCGCCGAGGGCGTACTCAAAGATGACGAGGAAGACGAGCAAGAAGGTCAGCATGAAGGGGAAGAGGAGCCAGGAGACGCTTTCTGCTAGGATGAGGAGTGCCTCGGAGATGGGGGGAGGCGGGACCGTGTTTAGACGGAGGGAGGCGTCGCTGAGGATGGGCAAGATGAACTCCTCGGAAATGACGGTCAAGAGGGAGATGCAGCCAAAGACGGCGACAATCTTGGAAATGAGGTTCTGCCAGTCGATGCGGGCTGTCCGCGGGTATTCGAGCTCGTAGCACAGCGTGGGGCACATGAGGTAGTCAAAGTAGTTGGACCACGTCAGGTTGCGAGGATATGCTAGGTTCCCCATGGGCGAGGTGAGCTCCTGGGCCAGGTCCTCGCGGAGCTGCTCGATCTCTTCCGAGGTCGAGTCCGTATCCGACGTCCCCTTGGCCTCCGACTTGGCCTTGAAGTCACGGGTCTTGGGGCTGCTTACGGTTCCCATTGGGTTATCGGGTGTCGGGTACAGGTAGACTGGAGCTTTCGAGGCTGTTGAGGGATTGTCGAGAGCGTAAAGACGTTTCTCCGTCTCGCTAAGATGGCCGTTGTAAAACGCCCAGCTGTGCGTCTTCATGAGCAGGACCATGGTGTGCAGCAGCAGGAAGACCTGCGCGGTCCATGTCCACTCGAGCACAAAGGGGATGGCAATCCAGAAGGCAAGCCATGCGGCTTGGTAGATGCTCTGAACAGCCATGCCGCCCTTCTTCCATGTCAACGCTCCGTCGGCGGGGGCAGAACGCCAGATGCGATGGAGGGGTAAGGACACTAGCGTGCTGGCGACCAGGAGGAGGTCTGCAATGGCCAAATGCCAAATCTTAATTGTGAAGAGGGTCCAGATCTGGACTCGCATGGGGTATCCGGTGTCTTTGATGTTGCGCAACATGGTGGTGATGGCCATGATGGCGAGGCCGATCCAGAAGAGGTTGAAGAAGCCATGGAAGTCGCGGTAGTCGGAGTTGGGATCGAGGTGGGAAACGCGGCTCGCGAACTCGATCGTGGGGAATATACGGCGGCGTTGTTCGGCGCGGGCTTGCTTCTTCGCCGTGGACATGCTCTTGACGGAGGGGAGCGCATCGTGAGGGACGGGTGTCGAGCGGCCACTGTGACGACATTGACGTTAGCGCCGCAAAGTGACGAAAGTGGTGAGCTTGCTTGGAGAGGACAAGTATGTACCTGGTAGTGCCGCTCGTCTGGCCAGTCTCTGATAGAGGTGTCAGGCCATTCATCTCGCCGACGGAAGAGTTACTCTGTGTCCTCGCCAACTGGGAATGCTGCGGCTTCCTCGGCCTCGGCCGCAGGACATTGTCGTGAGCCCCGCCGTTAGGGGCGGCAGCCGTGGATGCCATGATCTCGAGAGATTCGTGGGGAAGAAGTGCCACTCGTCGAGCCTGCGGCGTCAATGTCGGTGTTTGCTAGATGACCGATCAATCTATCGGTTTGGTGGTGGGCGTACGGTGGTGGGCGTTGGTGTTCACAGAGGCATTCGCCGCGCAGTGCGGATGGATGTAGCTGCGGATGCAAGCGGCGACTGTGTCCAACGGGATCGCATCCGGATCAGACGGGTAGCGACAAGTTGTTGGTTTTAATGGCGACTCGGGGGGGGGAACAGGAGGTAGTATTCAGGGTCGCAGATCAGGGGTCCCCATTGCTCGAATCTCGGGTAGCGTTCGCGTATTTGGGATGCGAATTCGGGACCTGGTACGGAGTCGAATGGGATGACAGGCGACGGGGCTGCGCTGTGAAGCGCTGAGCAAGGAGCTCTAGATGGTACTACGCGTCGCCCTCCCCTCTCTCCACTTTGCACCTTGAGGTGGCCCGCGGGTGGCCGTTGGGGCACCTCGGCCACTTTAAGAGGTACGTACCCACCAACACAGCGCAGTCAGGCGCCGACCGGCGACCTGCCACACCTGTCTCTTTCCAGATTGATTGTCTGCGCGCTGCACCTCAGTCAACACTTCCCCCGACAGTGACACTCACCTCAGGAATTTGGGGTTGTGACTTACGTCAACCCCACGTGACGGTTGGGGTCACAGGCCGAGGTGGGGGCGAACTCTGATTGACCCAATGGCAACTCGCGGTTGCCTCTCCAAAAAATCCCGGAGGAAGAGCTCCCCCGACGGATCTGGCTGGGCAAGGGGTGGGGCGCCCGGATTCCCGCCCGTCTGCCCATCCGCCGCGACCTTGCGACTCCCCCGGGGTTTGGATGCCAACGTCACCTCAGGCGAACTCCAAGACGAAGCCTAGACTGCCACGACTGCTTGAAATGTGCCGAGACTACGGCTGTCGTTGCATTGGCTGCCATCCAAGATCCATTGCCCCGGTTGGGATCTGGAGAACCCCCGGCTCCGGTGGATGATCGGCCGGCATATTAACCAGTGACTGAGAAAGAACCATAGGGATCCTGGCTTGTAATTGACGCCTTATGAGGCTTGGACCTGCACAGCCGAGCAGATGCAATGCAAGGTGTTTCCCAGAGAGCCCTCCACCGCCTCGACTTCATCTTGTTGACACACTGGCGATCACCGCCAGCAATGCGGGCAAGTGTGGCTTTCAGCAGACAAGTTGCGCCACATCGTTGCACCGCCACACACAACATGCAGCACTATAGGTCAATAACACATGCCGAGCGTGTCGCGGCTCGAGCGTGTGCCCGGCTCCGTCATTGAACAGGTTCGGGAGACAGATAGACTAGATGAGGTAGCAAGACTTTCGGAGTTTGCCGCTGTTCTAGTGAAATAGCAAAGTCAGGTTCGGGCAAGCCTAATCTCACTCACAAACGGACCCGTTGGTTGAAGTCGAGGCCGGCGGTTGGAATTTGACGTGTTCTCTTCCTTCGATATTGATTTCCATGTGCTTACCTGGTGTGCTATACAGACCAAATAGAGGCCGAACCTCTTTGCTAACCGAGATGGGAAGAAAGCAGCATGGGCCCCGTCCTCTGAGCCTAGCACGCCGCAATTTTCAGGAATAGCTAGCCACCCTTACTCTTCGGTTTTTAAGAGCCTCAAACATGGTTTGACAACGAAGCAATCTATACCCAAGTCCAAGAAGAGGCTAATCAGCCAGATCATGTCTGCTGCGAAAGCCATGAGTAACGTTACTAGGACGAAAAGACTACCGCGCTGTTCGGGAAAACGGCAAAAAATTCATCGCGTATGTCGCTTCCACACGCGCATGCTACCCTACCTTGCCTTACGGAGTATGCGAACATCTCGATGACCCCCCCTTTGGGCACCAATTCTAATTGGCTCCAAGGATTATGACGTCCCGTCGGCCTGCCCCATCTCAGACAAAACTTGCACTCAGGCGATTCTTTTTTTCCCTGGCTCCGGTAGAGATAAGAGATTTATCTGTTATTGATTCAGTCTCTCACTCTCTCTGTCTCTTTTCGCTGCGACGTGGTCCGCGATTCTCTCCTCTTTCCCTTTTTCAAACTGTTCAAAGACGGAATGCTTCCTTGCTAGCAATAACGACGCTGGAGGCGTCGAACTTCATGAGAAGAAGTTTTTCTACACTTCATCAATTCATTTGAGGGCTAAATCCCGACCGCACACGCGACGGACCGAACTCCAACAAAACTTGTAGGTTCAATTAGCGATAAGCAACGTTAGTTGTGTTATTCTCCCACCGTACCGCCCGATGGCCGCTCCACAACAAACCACAACACCACTCTCAGCACCCGAAGTCATTCCGGGCACGCGACGTCTCTACGATGAGAACGGCAACAACTTACCGGGCGACGCCTCGCTCCTGAAGCATGGCGATATCGTCCTCGTCCCCCAGCCCACCGAGAGCCCCAACGACCCCCTGCGGTGGTCGCTGGCCCGCAAGATCTGGCACTCGTTTCTGGTGCTCTACACTGTCGGCCTCACCGCCGCCACCTCCAACAACGCCGGCTCCGGCGCCGACGGCGTGAATGAGGAATACGGCATCAGCTACGACGCCTTCAACACCGGCGCCGGCGTGCTTTTCATTGCGATTGGGTACTGGACCCTGCTGAGCTCGCCGCTGGTGCACTTGTACGGGCGCCGGCTGGGGTATCTCATATCCATGGTTGTCAACATCGGTGGTCTCATCTGGTATGCTCGCATCACCAATGTTGGCGGCGTGGTTTGGTCGCAGCTTTTTGTTGGTGCTGCTGAGTCTGTTGGTGAGGCGACTGTGCAGTTGTCGCTTCTCGATATCTGGTTTGAGCACCAGACGGGTAGTGTGCTCGGTATTTACACCTTTGCCACTGCCATTGGAACATACCTTGGGTGAGTTTGTCTCCTGAACAGTGAGAACAGTGAGAGAGAGATTTTGTGGTTTCTAAAACGCGTGCAGGCCCCTCATTGGCGCATATGTGTCAAGCGGTCTGGGCTGGCGATGGATCGGCTACGTGGGCGCCCTCATCTGCGGCGGCAGTCTCATTGTCATCTTTTTTGGTCTCGAGGAGACGGAGTTCAACCGCGACCGCTACCTCACCGGCAACGGCGAACGCTATCCCGTAGATGACGGAACCTCAGCAGCCGCCGCCGCCGCGATGCCAGAGAAGACCTCGGCACGGGCATCGGCCAGAAATTCCGCCAGCATCGAAAGAGACCCCAACTCGGACCAGAACGCCGGCTCCGTCGCCAGCGCCGAGAAGCAGCAGCAGGGCCCCCATCTCGCCGAGACGATGACGGGCACCGACCACGGATCCATGGTTTCGAGCACCGCGCGCGATCGCGCGGCCTTCTCCTACTCCCGCCGCAAGACGTACTGGGATCGTATCCGCATCATCACGCCGGCGCCGAACCTCCGCGGCACGGGCTTCAAGCAGTACCTTTTCCGCCTCTGGCACACCCTCCGCGTCTTCACCTTTCCGGCGGTATGGTACGCGGGGCTCCAATGGGGTCTCCAGAACATTTGCCTGACGTTCTACCTGACCGTGCAGGAGGACTCGTGGTACGGCCCGCCTTGGAACTACTCCCAGGCCGCCGTGGGTAACATGAACCTGCCGACACTGATTGGGAGTCTGATTGGGTGCATCTACGGCGGGTACGGGAGCGACCAGTTCATGTTGTGGATGATCAAGCGGAACAAGGGCGTCATGGAATCCGAGTTCCGGTTGTATTTGATGGCGCTGTGCACACTGGTTTTCCCGACGGGTATGTGGCTCTTTGGGATCGGGAGCGCGCGGGGCTGGGACTGGCCCGTTCCGTACGTCGGGTTGGGCTTCATCGGGTTCGGGTACGGTTGTGCAGGAGACCTGAGCTTGGCTTATCTCGCCGATTCTTTCCCGTAAGTTTGGGTTTCCACCTCGGAGTTGGGCTTCGACTGGATCCTCTCCGTGTCTCCCTCCTGTAGATGATGGGAAGAGCATTAGCTAACAGGGCCTCATAGTGAGATGGTATTGGAAGGCATGGTCGGCGTTGCCGTCATCAACAATACGATTGCCATGCTCTTCACCTTTGTGGCGAGCTACTGGCTCGATTCCGGCATGGAGAACTGCTTCATCGCCCTCGGGGTCCTTAGCTTCGTCATTATGGGGCTGAGCCTGCCGATGATCATGTTCGGCAAGAGGTCGCGTCGTTGGGCCAAGGATAGATACATGCGGTTCATTGACATCCGTGACGGATTTTCCAAGTAAAGAAAACATGTCTCTTCAAGTACTCTTTGGAGGGTATGGGGGCAATGGTGAGATAGATGACCCAGTACCTTAAGTGTACAACTCTGGCGAAGACGTCATGTTCATGAGGAACTGAGGAACTTGCGTTGCATGAGTAGCAGCCAAGGACGGATTTCATAGACTCAGTCTCTTTACTCGATACGAAGATACCTTTTCCACAAAAAAATTAAAGATAACCTGGATCGCGAACATGGTCAAATTCCACAAAGATGACACGGTGAAAAGCCCGGGTGCACATGCCATGGGCTCAACCGGGCAAGGGCTCACACGATGGACAGAACGGCATCCACGTGCCTTTACTTCCTTCCTCTTTCCGCCATTCCATTGTGAGAGCATTATGCCCTCGGCATGTACCTTGCCTGGGTACTTTAGGCAGGTGCTTGTTTTCAATGCTCCTTCCCCCAGAGCAGTCGTTGAAACGCCATCCAAGCCCAACAGTTTGCTTACCTGATCGCCTTCTCGACGTCTACGTTGCTGTCCCGTCGTCACTCCTCCAACCCCTCCAACCTCATCTAACCTCGTCCAACATCATTGACTGTACCGACGACATATCGACCCCTACACCACGTTTTCTTCGCCTCTTCCCGGCTTCTTTCCGCCTGACATACCTGGGCTTGGCTTGCAAAGGGATCCATGAGCTGACCATATACATCAAGATCAGACTCCATACATCCATTCGCGGAACCTTTGGCCCTGCGCTTACCATGTACCGCCGTCACCGTTTTGGATGCCCGCTCATTGCGTCCCGTTCGTTGATAGCCACGCAACCGCGGAGCAAAGAGCCCAATCTGGAGTCGTCGAAACTCTCCCGAACCAATGACTGCCTAGTACTGTTAACAAAAACAAAAACGACAAGGCATATAGTCTGAATCGGGGCAGCCTTGCTCTTTTGGTATAGAGATGTGCAGACGACGCAAGATTATGGTCCACTACACGCAGCGTCGTCAGAAGTGGATGGTGATCTCAACAGCAGCAAGCTCGGCTTGACCCAGCCTCGGTAACAACAGGCGAGATTCAACTCTATGGTTCTGGAAATCTCAACACAGACTGCGGCGCCACCTCGCTGAGTATCTTTGCGACTTTGGATCATCGGGTCAGGTCAAATACTTCGCCCTATCCCTATCGGTGTCAACTGACTCCAATATCACGTTGCTTCTCTTCTCCATACTTTGGACCAGCAGTAACGTGCATTGGCCGTCCGCATCGGCTAACCAGGAACCCAAATCCTATGCCTTAGCTGCAGCAGATAAATATGATCGACAGTCACAACGACATCCACGCATACTCGTTGTCTACGGCGGCGTTTAGGGCCATGCGAATACGGATGCTGTCGTGGTTCGTTGACATGGAGTAAGCCTGAGGTTGCCTTGCGTCGTTCCGTCTTGCATCCTTCTATTGACTGCTTACACCAGCCCCGCGGCTCCGTTTATTCGTCAAAGGGGGCCTCATATCTCGCTCTCTCTCTCTCTCTCTCTCTCCCTCTCTCTCTCTACCGACGTAGACGCCATGTTTCAAGTCATCTCGATAAGCTTCATTGCAACGGAATTGCATTTACGAGCTTAACGAAATGTCATATCAACTCACGTCGAGGTTGCCGGCAATCTCGGTGAGTGAGTATCCGTGGTGCACAGCACAACCCGCTCGTTCGGTTAGCATAGGCCTCTGGCACCAACAGCTACGGATACTTGACCGAAGTATCCGTCCCCCGGTCGACCTTCCCAAAGCAAACAAGGTGGAACTTTGTCCTTCCTTATCGACCACACGACCAGGACCCAAGTATTTGGAAAAAGGTTCGCATTTGCAAATCCCGACTTATCATGGCACAGCACAGCTATCATTCACCGGCCAGCAGTGTGAGCTGAGCTGATTCGATAATATCGAAAGATAACCCAATGTGTTTTCTCGCCTGATGGCTGCCACACCCACATCCTGAAATCCGCATTCAAATCGATCCAAGGCGCGTCATCGACAGCTCAGGGCAGGTCTTGACTGTCCTATCCAAGATCTTACAATTGAGTCCCAAGCTGTCAAGTATCCTCATTCGGAAATCAATCGGTCTCTTCCGAGGAGTGGATGACTCCTCTGGCGATCACGAATCCTCAGAGCCACTCGGCTCGCATGCCCCGGGGGATGAACCCAGTCATGGCCGATTCCAGGGTAGATCTTTGCTTGAGCACGACTTGCAGCACGACTTTGGACTCCAGAAGTCGTGCTTTGCCTCGCGTCACTTTACGTTAACATTGCCGACTCCTCGGGCCTACTTGATTGAGTGCTCTGATGCGTGGGCCCGTCAGCCTCTGTTCGCCTTGCCGTCAGGACCCACGTGAAGAGAGAGAATGTTGCTTAGCGTCAGATTTTGCCGACCTTCTCTCTCTTGAACTGCCCGACGAGCGTTGTGCTATTTTACACCACCTTTGACGAGCCCAGCCAGGTCCAAGACCAGGCACCTTTCGCTGTAGTCAAAGCCCGCAGCATGGGGAAGAATCTACTAGTGCGTCTTGACCGAGGAGAATTCATTTCAGGGCACTTTCATTTCAATTTTTAGGTCAGCAAGGAGCCCGTCGCCAGCTGTTTGTGCTAGTGAGACGCACTGCAGGGATTTCCTTGGCTGCGCGGATATTGGGGTCGAAAATTCGAGAACATTAGCCGGCACCTCATGTCTCTTGTCTGAATTTCGGCATCTCGCGACTGGTGGTTCAGTATCTCGGTGCTCGGGCTGTCACCCACTCAGCGTTCATTAGCCAGCTGGCATGCTGTATTACTCCCGCTGTTTTCGGCGGTTTTTCTGTGGCCTGCAGAGAGGCTGAAGACGCCTAACGCTCTGCCCAGGAAGATGGACGAGAATGAGAGTAGCCATCAAAGTCAGCTATTGGCCACGCCTCGGCTTCGGTAGGACAGCACGGACGAGCCTGCGGTGCAACCGGCCGAAAGCATGATGGCCGCCGCTCGGCAGTGCCCACAGGAGCCACCCAATACCATGGCGACTTCCAATTAAAAGCTGGCCCTTGAGTCTGAATCGTGGCGTACTTAGACAGAGATCTGCTTTGTCTTGCGGCCAGCCCGCGGAAACTCGCCCCCAAGCCGGTTCTTGATCCAGTCCCGCCGCCGGCCCATTGAAGGTAGCTGAAATGGTTAACCCGCGATCACGGCCTCCTTGAGACTAGATGGGTTAGTTTGGAGCGGCGCATGTCCGGATGTGTCTCTGACAGCACCTTGACCAGTGGCCGTGCTCACCAAAATTGGCTTATCGGATGGAACCAGGTTGGCTTGGTGGAAGGCCGTTGGAACATGCACCATGCTTCTACGGCGTTAGTTCACCGCCCGCGACACCTCCCCCAGCTTTTCCTTCCCAGACGAATGGCTTGGTTGCTTGGCTAACGAGGGCCAAAAGCGAGCAACAAGCCATACATCCTCCATGATGGTCGACGGCGGACAGCGGCGCCCTTTGAACCTCAGCAGCGATGTGGACCTGGACCGAGGGACATGTCGGAAGGTTGTCCGGGTGCGAGCGAGGCCCAGTTGGAACCTGATGCTTGGCTGGTGACAGTTCGCGACCTCTCTCTCCCACCACGGCCTTTCCGAAAAGGGGGAGGGCCTAGTTGATAGGATACTCACAGACAGGCACATTGATTGGTGGTCTGAGTCAGGACTCGGTCGTTGGCGTCTTTTAGGCCGGCCAGGACACTCTTTCACCTTCTTAATCTAGAACAGTGGTGGCACCATGAAGCCTACTCCCCGCCTCCCGGCCACCCTGGAAATTGGAATTGGTCGCCTACCCGTCGACCACTTTCTCACAGGCCCATGGTAGCAATGTCGACATGTCGGGCACATTGGACGAAATCCCAGGGCCCTCCTGGACGCGGAGGCTGGAGAGAGGCACACACGCAGTAGAGTGCGCATGTACCCACAAAGTCAACCAAAGGACGAACCGCCTTGCCCCCCAGCTTCGATAGCAATGGCAGGCCCCCCATCCGCCATCGATGGTTCCCCCCAACTCGTCTTGCTTCTCTCGGTCGAATTGGTAGACAGCGCCCGCTCCGACCAGCAAAAGGCGTTGTGAATGGTTCCCCATTCGTTTAGCAGACGCCCGGACTGCCAGACCATCTGAACAGCCATTGGCCATGTAACGCTTCTTTACCCCCTCCCTTCCACGGACCCAGCTACGGTTCTGGCTGCTAGGAGGCCCTCTTATCACTGGAAAAGAGAGTCCCGAAGGGACGGGATACGGGCTTGTTTTACCCATGTGCCACGCTCGCTTTCCTTGTTGAGGAAATTACGCGAAGGAACTTTTGCCTGCAGCTTTCACCACACGGAGGAACTTGGCGACGGCCGACCAATGCCAGTTCAACATCGGAAAGTGGTCTTCGTCTCTATTGACGAAGAGAGAGAGAAAGAGAGAGCGAGGGAGGGAGGGAGCGGGGGCCCTACCACTTTACCGGCCCAAACTGAAAGGACGAAGTGGCCTGGAGCAACGGCTCCTCCATCCCCCATTCCCCCATATCTCTCTCTGCCACACAAGACAACATTGCTTGTCGTGCCGCCAGTTCAGTTCCATCTGTGGCTTCCGTCCTATCCTAATCCGACCTGTCTGTTCCTGACCCGTCCTGACCTGTGTCAACTGTCGGGGACCCTTCAGTCAGTCTTTAATCTTTTCGAACCCTTTCGTTACCCATACCGGACCATGACGCTTTCTACTCTGCCGCTCTATTTTTAACTTGGCAACCAGAGAGACCGAGACCTTCTCTTTTATGTGGCGACGATCATGGGCACTTTTGTCTGGTCTCCTCCCACGCTCTCGTCTTTCATTTGAAGGCCCAGTGGCACCCCCTCCATTTGACGGGCAATTGATGCTTGCCACCAGGGCAGCGCGCTGGGCTTCTTGGATGAATCGCATTCGACGACGACACGAGGCACTTGTCCTACCGAGGAGCTTTGACTCGTCCCGAGTCTTGACATCTTTTTAGCCAGCGGTCCGAACCTCTGCTCCACGGGGGACGCGGGACGCGGCCGAGATGTTCAATCATTCTGGGGACAAACCACCCCGCGGTTTTCCCTCTGGATCAGACTATGGAGGCAGTCACCATGGTCGCCTTGCCCTCAACACATCCGGTCAACCATATTCCAGGTTTGGTGTTCCGCTCAATTTTGGCGGTCCGTCGACATGTCCGCCACCGCAACAAGAGCCCGTCCGGAGGGACTTCGACTCATCGATGGACTGGACCTCACCAAGCGCGCAGCAGCACGCGCGCTTCGACATCGGGACTTCGATGAACAACGTGCCGCAGCAAGACGAGGGGATGGAACTCGATGAATTTAGTTCTCCCGCTGGAGTGTCCAACCTGATTGCGCGCTTTGAGGGGATTCGCGCCGCACCGCCAAGCAGTAGTAGGGTCATGAGTCCAGCCAGTTCAATGGCAAGCCCATCAATTGCGAGCCCGTCGTCAGCACATTTTAGCAACATGCACGGCAGCACGGCAAACATGAGTTCTTCAGGAATGAGTAGAATCACAAGTCCGGTCGCTCACAGCCCAGCCACGCCCAATTTCTTCCGAGCTCCGGAATCACATCGTCCTCCAGTGCCCAGGCATACGAAGCCAGTGTTGGATCGCGCACCCTCTAATATTCCATTGTTCACCCCGGATGCAAGATTTGGTGATGGAAACAGTCGTATCACTACAGCTGCCGGTCCCTCAAACCCCGCGCCTCCTCCTCAAGTCCATCATCATCAGGCTCAGCAGTATCAACACCAACAGCCACAACAGCAACAACAGCAACAACCTGCTGACTTTAGTCAACTGGATCCCTTTATCAACTCATCGAACAAGGGGTTTACGTCTCAGTCAAATGCCTTCAACTTGCCGATGAATGATTTCAACAATACAACAACCAAGCACTTCGCAACCCAAGCAACCCAAGCAAGCAATTTCAGCAACTTCAGTCCCCAAACAAACACATTCAGCGCAGCGTCCAAATCCTTCGCTTCTCAATCCAATGCTTTCAGTCAGTCAGCAACGACTTTCAGTCCTACTCACACCTTTAGCTCCCCTGCAAACGCCTTCAGCTCTCTACCAACCACGAACACCTTCAGTCCACCTCCGAATACCAACGCCTTCAGCCCGCCACCTGCTGCCTTTAGTCCTGCTCCCACACCCTTTAGCCCAGCAACGTCGACGTTCAGCCCAGCGCCGACGCCGGCACCGAGCCTCATCCCCGGTACTCCGAGTGGGATGCAAACACCTTTCGGCCCTCCGCCTCCCACATCATTCCCGGTAGGCTCTTTCCTGGTCTTGAAAAAAAGGTTCCATCTAATCATCTTGCAGGGTCACGCCCGAGCACCCAGTATTGCCCCCACGCCAAAACCCGTGACGGGTAGTCGGCCATCACGGGAGCAGGTTCCTGCTGAGGCATGGGAGTCTTTCAAGACGACCATCAAACATCTGTATCTGGAAGAGCGTCGTCCTCTAAAGGAGGTCATGCAGATCATGGCGGACCAGTATGGCTTCCAAGCAACGTGAGTTTCTATTCCGGATCAACACCCCCTTATCTTATCTCACTGTCGTAGGCCGAAAATGTACAAAACTAGATTCTCTCAATGGGGCTTTGTGAAGAACAACACCGAGGACGAAGTGAAGAGGCTACTTTCTATGAAGTTCCAACGCGACGCCGAGGGCAAAGTATCCGAATTCGTACGCAACGGCAGGGTGGTCAACCTGGGCACGTATCTCAAGAGGAAAGGAGTGACGGAGTACGATCTTGTCGACTTTGAAACGCCAGCTCAGCTCCCGTCATATGTGCGATGTCGTACACCGACACCGCCGCCCGCTCCGGGCTATCTGCGATCACCAGACCTGCTCCGAGCGCAGGAGACGATTGTTGGGAATATGCGGAAAGCATTTTTGCATTGCCGCCAGTTCGAGGTCGAAATTGACAAGCAGGTCGGGTGGACATCGATCATGCTATGGGGCGCTGGGTCGAGTGACATGTTTGCTGACGCGAACAAGAAATTCGAAATGGGCGAACACGATGCAGGCGGTCATCAACTAATGAAGGCTTTTAAACGACTAGAGATGGATCTCAAACAGCTATCGCCACAAGGCATCAAGGAACTTCTTCTGGGAATGGTGCATCGCGATGCGGGCATGATGACTGCCCTTTGCAAATATCTGGCAGCATATTCTTCGACGAACTTTGAACGCTCGCATCCTCTACGACAGACGTTTTCTACCCTGTACGAAGTGCAACAGAAACACGGGCCGATCACGCTATCGGAGCTTGTCTGGGGCTGCATTCCCACCATCGCCGAAGAACTCGAAGCCATCTACGGACGGCGTCACCCTTATGTAGCCAGGACGTGGATCGACCTGGCCATCTTTTATAATCACGCCAATCCCGAGAGGCTTGAGAAACTTCTCTCGGAACTTCAGCCGCTACGGAGGCAAATCGCAGGCCGCCACGGGCAGGCCAGTGGGGAGGCTCTGGCCCTGCGATACGCTGTTGTTCAGCTGATGCAGGCAGCCTGGCCTAATGCCGACAACACGAGGCTGGAAGCCCTGGAACTGTGGACGGCGATCAAGGAGGGCGGCCTCGTCTTTCCAGTGCGGGGCGCCGAACACAATACCTTTTGTTACCACAGCCCCCTCAAGATCGATCCGTGGGAAAGACGATGCAGGGAGCGGTACGACATCGGGACTCAATTCTTCCAGCAACACTGCGGCATCAAGGTGCTGCCTTACTTCGAGGAAGATATGCACTACACCGAGCATGCCCCCGACTCGCATTCGGCCCTAGCAGCAGCCTTGGGGCACATGCCTGCTTCCAAGTTTTCGCTCATTTAATCGAGCGGGCAAAGTGTTGCGTAGCAGGGACTTTGACCGACTAGGCAACTTTCTTTGGCGAAGCGCATCGACCTGTTTGATAGAGACCGCTTCAGCCGTTAGTCGAGCCACGGACAAGTGGCACTCCTTACTTTTCATAATATTTTTTTATTTATTGATTCGAGAAGAGGACGCTACGATGCGACGGCCGCAAAAACAAAAAAAACGCCCCTTCGAGCAGGCAAACGAAGGCGATTACCACGGGTTGTCAGGATTGGGATCAATGATACCTCAGAGGCCACACACAGAGCAGGGATTTTTGGATTAATTACTTGGAGTATTTGGGTCAGGGCATGACACCATGGATGATATGTCATGGCCGGCGTCTGGGAGGGGCTTTCCGATTCCAACACACAGCGAGCAGACGTTTTTTTACGGAATGACAGAATTGTACAATAGCATTTGACGCACGAAGAAAGGAGCAGGCAGAGGACGAACCCCGATACCATGAGACGCGCGAAGAGAGGCGGAGATTAGTTCCAGCGACGAATGGAGAGACGAAAGATGAAACGATTTCAAAAGCGTGATGGAATTTCCCCGAGAAAGTTGATGACGACTGAGTTTCTTCCGAATAAGATGGCCTGGAGGTTACGGTAGACTGGTGACAGGGTGGTTGAAGTAAGATGAAGGGACTGAGCGAGTGTGGACAGACGAGCGGCGCGCCAAACCGAAACGGGGGAAATTGAGAGCCCAACCAACCGAGCCGAGTGCCCTGAACGGGCTGATCTACACGACTTTCGAGCACGGGTACGGAGCCGAGCTCGACGAGGAGGAGGGGGGGCAGCGTTTCCGAGGCTCTGGGGCGGCGGGCATTACGCGATAAGAGAATTCCCACTTTTGCCCATTTGCGCCCATTTGCGGATTCCCATCACAGATATCTCAGGCAGTGTGGCGGTTCCCCCGCCGGAGGACATGCAGCTGCATGCAGGAAGCCCAGCCATGCCCTTGCAGATGGAGTGATGAGGTGGGTTTTCATGTCGAGCCTGAATCGGATTCGCCTGCCCAGGAGGTTCTCTCTTGCGTCTCGCCTACCTAGTCTTGGCCGCTTGGCCGTCAGGTCGGTTTCGGTATGCTCCGGGACGGCGGCTGTGAAGAGCCCGGTTGGGTCGGGAGGTGTTGATGATAGTCCGGCACTCCTGGTCCTGAGTTCGTAGCCACATTGAATCGGAGCGACATTACCGCCTATTCGCAAATTCTTCGGAATAGGTACTAGGCAAGTTTGTTGTCGGTCGACATTTCGTGAGAGTCATGATCGCGGTCGGCAAAGCAAATTCATGGAGACCGACCGAGATAGCCGGGGTTGTGTGCTGCGGAGACATGCCCGTCCTTTCTTTTTTCTCCGTCGATTCTCTGCCAAGCCGGGATTTCCGTCCAATGTCTTCCTCACCTTCACCAATCCCTGCTCTGGCCGAGTCTCTCCAGCCGCCGGCATCTGCGAGGCAACGGAGAGGGCCCGAACCCGCACTGTCCCACACCCACCACCAGTGTTTGTCCGTGTCGAGGGCTGGGAGTCGGGACGAAGGGGGGAAGGGGGTCTAGAATTGGGAAGGGATAGATAGCCTCCACTAAACAAACAAATACTACGGATAGAACCAGACCTGTTGGAATCAGAAAGTGTGTGTGCCAGCCTGTATCCTGACCGGGGTGGAGGGGGGAGAGGTCTTGCAAGAAGTTGCTGCGGGTGTGCGATTCAGGCTTTGAGCATTTGCCGTGCACTTGCCAAGTGCTTTTGCTCTGCTTTGTCCTTTGGTCTGTCTGTTGCAAGTCGCAAGTCGCATGTCTGCTTGCCTTTTTTGTTGGTTCATTGTTCGTTTTGTCCACAGAGCCCCTTGCGTGGTTTCCGCTCTTCGCACTATCTTTCTTTGTTGGTTCATCTGCCGCGATCGATATTTTCTTTGTTTGTTGGGTGGTTTCTCCGAGTTCTCCCCACCCCCCCCCCCCCTTCCCTTTCCTCTCCTACCCATGTACTAAATGTTTGCTTGCCTGCCGGAACAGACAACTGTTGACAAGTAGGGGTGACCGTTGTTGGAGGATTTTGATTCCTACGTTTGGGATACCTTGTCGAATGAATGCTTGATTTGAGAGAGCTAACACTTTCCGAACGGATACCTACCTGGAGGATGTATCATGTAGGGTCATCCCGTCCCACATACACCCCGTTTGATGTTGGGTGTGCATGAGATGACAAGCTTTTGATGGGCATTTACTCGATTTAGAGGGTTGCGTCTCGAGGTGAACACGTTTGCTGGAGTCGCGGAATGGTAGGTGCTTTGATGAAGCTTTTTGGGTTCGTCTGATGATCTCGTTTATCAAGAGTTCTTCTTTTTTGATGTTTTTGAAATTTTGTTTTTTTTATATCAGGCGCAGTAGGTGAGCCATGCTTCTGGCCCTTCTTACCGATTTATGAAATCCATGTCCGCCCCGCCGACTGTTTCAGTTATTTTTTGGGCCAGGTCAGAATCTGATAGGGAATTACCCAAGGTACGAATACTTTGGTATAGTTTTCCTCTTCGACCCGGCGGGAAAGGGTGGTTTTTCCAGATATGGATGCTGGCGATCGATCAAAGATGGCGGGGCGCGAGTATCTTAAGAGATGTAATTCATACTCATTAGATGTAGGTGAAATAGAGATAACGTTCTCGCCATTGTTGCATGTGACATGGTGAACTTGCTTTTCTGACTGATGCGTCCGTGTTTCCGACTCGCGCTTATCATGTCTACTCTATCTCATTGGTGCTTTTCTTGCTGGGATTTGGGTCAAGATGCGGAGAGGGAGGATACGCGGGTCATTATTATGAGTGTTGAATTACTACAAAGTTGACTGTGGTACTGCATGTGATCCTTTTCGAAGTTTCGGTTCTTGTCGCGTGAAGGCTGGAAACCTGATATAATAATAAGAGGAGCCCGCCCACTGGCAGTGGCAGCTGAGTTCCACCCCTGGCGAGTGAATGTGCTTTTCTTTGGATCAGGGTCTGGTCAGCCTCTCTCGGATCCTTCCGCGCTTAGCGAGCGCGGCTTGGGGGTTTGGATTGATACATGTAGCTAATCATTGGTTGAGGGAGCATGAAGATGGAGGGGGGGGAGATATTCTTGGAGAGTTTTAGTCTGAGGTTGTCATCTGCTAGGGCTGAGAGGGTTGTGTCGGCTTCAAGTTGGGCCGAGTTGGGCTGGGATGATTAGCAAAAGACTTGGGATACACGTCGCATGAGAAACCCGTAAACGTGGTTTGGGTTTGGATGATGCACGTTGTCGATCACGTCTGTGGGTTTTTTTTCCATGTGAGAGCGGTTCGCGGGCGATGTCCAGGGGCTTTCCGGTGCCTGCTGTTTTGGCGGGTGCTAGTAAGAGAGCCGTTTTTTGCGGCAAGGTAGAAGAGGTTCATGATACTTGTTCAATGTATCGACGAAGAGTGCCGGGATAAGTTTCCCGAATCGTATATATTTTCGAGCACAGCACCCTGGGGCGTTTTTGGATGTGGGGGCTAGTGTTGAGGTGCCAGGCATTCGTTCAAGACTTCCAATTCGGGTTATCGATCCTGGTAATGGCGTGGTGCCTTTCACTTTTAGCAAAGTGCCGGACGCAGAATGAAACGTTTATAGTCTATCGTCCAGATTATACTTGATACCCAAATGTCAAGCCAGAAAGACTACGGTCTTTATGTCTCGTTGAATTTCCTCGAGGTCTATGGTCGTTTGATTATGACCGTTAACGCCAAGTCACTTTCAGTCATGCAGTCGCAGTGTCTATAGCCTAGAAAATCATATTTCCATGCCGTCTGAGCGAAGCGATGAGTTCCTCAATGCGAACTTGATCCAAGTAGAATGTGTATGACCATACTGATTGCGTTTCAAAGTCTTAGATGAGTGTGGTTGAACATCTCTGCATCTCTCAAGAGAACAATGTTAAGAAGCAACTACACGTTTTTTACCTAGACAGTGGTAACTATTTGTATTCTGAGCATTACGACTCCTTCCTACGTAAAATAACATTCTCCAAGCCTTGACTTTTGACATCTTGCCTCTGACTTAATCGTCCACTACGACTCGGTATGTTAGTTCCCAGCTACAGATACTACAGGAGTATGTCATCCATACACGATTGATGCTGGCGTTGCGCCGCAGGTATCCCATTGAGCCGCGCCGCTTGTGTTGTTGTAGCGGCAGATGAGGCACTTTGCCGTGGTGGTGGCTTTATGGGATGAAGATGAGTGATGGAGTTTCAGCATTGGACCCCTACGTGAGGGAGCCAAGGTGGATAACGTGAGGTAGGCCGAGTCATCAGAAGCAACGATATTCAGCAAAGTGCGGGGTACGGTGACTGTACACGAGAAGAAATATTGCGGTGATGTCAGCTTACAGCCAGTGCCTTGGCTCCGACAAGAGCTTCACGAAGTGACTAAGTACATATCTGGCTTACCAACATTGATATGCAACCCACTTCCAGACGATGCAGCTAGCTGTAACTTTGAACATGGGATACCGCAAAGCCCGGCAGTGTTATAGTGTTGATGAATGGGGACTCGCTGCAATACAACCACTTTGTTCTGTTTAGAAACATGGTCTTGATCTTTCATTTTGAGTTGTATAAACTCATTCTTCATGTCTTGGGAGATGAGACTTCAAGCATCGTGTTCGCTTCCGATGGGGCCGTCGATAAGCTTAGACGTAATTACCGTTAATCGACATGCGTATGCATACCAAAGATGTCACCGCCAGACAGCTTCCGATTCGAATCAACTCGTATTATTGAAATTGGTAGCAACCCAGCAGAGGACGTGGTGGTCAGGCACACATCAAAACTTTAGTGATCCTTCACATGCTAGCCGGCGGTTGTCCGTCTTCCTCACTCCTGGGGCGGATCACCAAGCATTCGCATGCACGTCTTCAAATGTTTCGCACTTCCCATGTCCATGTGGCCCTCAGCAACCTCCTCCATAAGGCCATCAAAACGGGAAGATCGCTGAACAAAACAACTCCCAGCTTACCTGGATCAAAATACAAGATGACCCTCAAAACCTGAATTATGAGCTCCTCGCCATGTCCAGCATCCCCATACCCACCACAACATACATACTTGAAGGTTTCCAGTACCTAAAGCAGCAGCTGTACATATATAAATGTTTCATTCATCAAATGGGACCCTGGTGATAATAAAAAGACAAAAGAAATGCGCCGAGGGGGAATCGAACCCCCGGCTCCCCGACGCTGCTGGATGGCAACGGAGAATTTTACCACTAAACCATCGGCGCTTGTTGTTGCTGTTTCCTGTGATGCTGGAACAACTTGGTTGGGGACGAGAGCAACGAAGAGGACTCTTGTTGCTTGTGCGTGGGGTCGTTGTGGAGGGCGAGGGTCTCGTGAGATTTGAGTCGCGTGGGGCAGGAAGACGTGCAGAGATGGGGTGGGCACTGGGCAAGAGACGGGACTCTAAGCAGTGGGGCAGGGACTTGGGGATGATGAGCTTTGGAAAGTTGCAGCATTCCAGTTGCTGGCTCGATGGCCTTTTCCAGGGCTTTCATCGTTTTTTCTCCGCCGAGCACTCGTGGCAATTTGGGGTGATCTTTGAGGATTTGGCAAAGCCGCAAATTAAGTGATTCCGGTAGGAGGCTACTTGAAGGGATCCTGTATCATTCAAGATGCTTTTCGTATTCCGAATGCAAGTGTCATTGGGTGAGACAGGCTGCAGCTTTGGATAGGGGCAGATATAAGTGGCCGAGAAGTCATGTCCTCACAGTCATTTCAGATATGCAAGAAAAGAGCGAGTGTTTTGAGCGGAGAATTTTCTTCGTTTATGCGAAAAGCTACGCTACCTCGATTCGAGGAATCTATGACTATCTAAAATCCAAATGCTAACGAAACCATGCCGCTGGGTAGCAGGAGCAAGAGACTACTGAGCAACTTCGCCTCCCAGAAAGGAGGCCGGCTTGCTTCTCAGACTCTCCCTCTCCAACTTGACTCCACCCGTCCCGAAAATGTAATATCAAGCAAAGCAAAGTCAAATAACTGCAAAAGAGAAAAGACGAAAAGCAAAGCAAACCACATCTGCCGCGTACTTAGGTGCCTCCTCCAAATGCTCCGCGTGCCAATCAATCCTTGTGTTCATCAGGCTCTGTCTTGGGAACAATCGTATCGCGCGCCTTTGCCTCAGCAATCTCATCCTCCTTGGCAAACTCGTCAATCTCATCATCGTCGTGGTCATCAAAAACGACCAATGGTGCAGCCTGAGGAAGCCGCGATTGTACCGAATGCCATTCCTTTCGCCAGAGGCTAATAAGATCGACAAGCCTTTTCTCGGTCTCCTCGTTGCTGCTATTGTCCTCGTTCTTCATGGTTCTCTTGGCGCAGAGACGAGTAGCGATGCGCTTGAACTCCTTCCGCATCATAGCGCCGCATCCGTCCTTGGGATCATCCCAATGACCCTTGGTGGCGAGAACCACCTCGTGTACTTCGTGCCTCAGTTTCCTTTCTAGGTCGTCGCGCACTGTCTCAAACATGGCTAGGCCCACGTTAGTTGCGTGTTTGGAAATCTCTTCCGACTGCTTCTTCATGATTCCTTTGCCTACTTGAGAGTCAGTGTCCATGTCTCTTCGAATGGTTCATGGGAAAACGAGACCATACCCTTCTTCTTGAACGCCGCTTCGAAACCCGGCTTCATTTCCTTAGCCAGCGTGCTCAGAACGTCAATTTTAGACATTCTCGAAGCCCTGTGGCGAAGGGTGTTCATGCTGGTCAAGATTTTGTCCGTGAATAATAGGAAGATGTTTTCCATCTTGTAAGAGTTTTTCCTGACCATGTGCAGGAATGGGGTTGGAAGCTCCTCGCTGCTCTCGAAAAGCTTGATCCATTTATCAAATTCCCCGTGCACCGTTCCCCTAACCTTGTTCTTGATCGTAGGAAAGACTCGTGAGAACGCGGTTTGCCACTTTTCATGATGACCTCGCCAAAATGATGTGTGCCTGTTCCCAAATTAGCTCTCGATGAAAATCAAGGGCAGTGCGTGGGAAGCACCTACACATCTGCCATCCAGTTGATGTTCCGTCGCGCGACACCCCTCTTCGGAACAGGCCTATAGAGACTGCCGCATCTCTTGGTACAAGCCTTGTAGGTGGTCCAGTGCAACTTCTCGTCTTTACCCGCGGAAGAAGCATGTCCTTTCGGGTTCTTCTTCTCCCACCCCTTGACGGAATGCGCGAGGTTTTTGAATGATCTTTCCAATTGAGCTTCTCCAGTTTCATCGGTCTTGATTTGAGCCGAATTTCTGAGATTCTTCTTACGCAATGGCTTCATGCAGATCAGCTGGCTTTGTATCTTTCTTCTCAGGTCCTTTGTAATGTGCTGTGATAGATTAGCAACGCTATTTTGTTCTCGTGACAGGAGTAAACCTACCTTGAAACTATCGCTGATATCTTGAACGGCTTGTCGAATTTTCTTTATCTCATCTGTAGTTAGAGTGGGCAGAGTATTGAAATCATCATGCGTCCATCCATACGCTGCATCGAAGAGCACCTGGATATGGTGGATATCGTTATCCACCCATTCCTCCCTGATGGGTAGAGATATATCGCCAAGCCAGGAACCCAAAGCTGGAATACCTGTAGAGTCGGTGTCCGGGAAACCCTTGAATTCTCTGCCATTCTTGATCTCATTATAGGCGTGACTGCTTACCGGGAAGACCGCGGGTATCGATGAGGCAATAGCCTCAGACGATGAGTGCTTCTCTGCGGCCTTCAGCAGGCTTCCAGCAACGTTCTGGACCATTCTGCGGTTCCGTTCTTGAATGCAAAGATAGGTCAGCAGAGATTCATCCTCTTCCATTGCCTCTTTTCCTGCTTTCTGCGCCTCACTCCGCCCAGTCGTCGTGCGGGGCTCATCAGCCTCATGTGAGTCATTTTTCTGTCTCTTGACATTCTTTGAAGTAGCGGAAGTAGACTTGCGCTTATTGCTGCTGTGATTGAAATGCACTCGAGTATAGTCTTCGGGATCGGAGCCAAACTCCTCATCTTCAGACTCCTCGGGTGGAGGACCTCTCAGACGGGCGTGCAGCTCTATAATCTCCTCAGTGGGAAACTCTTCAGTGGCATTTCTGGTATTGATGTCATCGATCCTGGTAATCACCACACAGAGGGAGTTGGACTTGAACTTGTTGTCTAGATGAAACTTCATCAAGTCATTCTCCGTGAAGATGAGGTCTGCAGCTGCCTTGTTGTCTCCTGCGCGGGATGCCGGAGTGACAAAAATTTGCTTCATCAGCCGATCCTGAAACGTCTCTGCGATTTCTGCCCGGAAAGCTAGAGCATCCTGAGTACCCGGGAGATCCACAAGTTTGATTCCATGACGGAGAATCGGAGCCTTCAAGTAGACCTCAACCTGTTCCACCAAAGGCCAGTACTGAGTCTGGTGTGATCTGAGATTTGAGCTTTCTGCGTACAGCTTAAGAATCTTCTTGAACTGGTTGCCATTTGGAGCCGTGATGGTCTTCTCGCAAGTTTTCTCGTCGCTGGTCCATCGAGTTCCTCGGCCGCGAATCTTGTTGAAGTTACCCTTCTGCATGATCTCAATTGATGATAGTCTTTGGATATCTTCTCCATTCAGACCAGACCAAGCGCAAACCATGTGGATGTGCTGATCGATGTAGTAATTATAACCTCCGTCATAGTCTGGATCGTCGTCTTGAGCTTCATGATGATTGTCGGAGTCTAAAAGCTCTTCCTTAAGGCCATCTAGTTCAGCTTCCACAGTGGCCCAACTCTTGAACGTGATCCTAGCCATATAGCGCTTGTTTCCACCAACTTCATGGTTGTATCTGTAGATACATGCGGCTGCTGTGCAAGCCTCCTCTTGGGACGTGGGGACAATATCACACCGGAGAAGCTCGTTAAGCAGTGAGCTCTTCCCAAGGCCTGTTTCGCCTTGGATACCGACGAGGATTTCTCGAGACTGAGATGTACGCTTCAAGTTCTCTGGCAAAAGAGTCAGCAAGCCCTGGAAGAAGGTGCGAGTAAGCCTTACGGAGGTTAGTTTCCCAGTCTTTCACATCTTGCTTGTGATTGCGGTTCGAAATGGGTTGGAGAACTTTTGGTATCTCCTGAAGTAGGGCAAGACCGACATCGCGAGCTTTCTCCTTCACCCTGACTCGATCACCGATGTTGGTGAGGACAGATCCATTAGTGGTATCCGTCAGCTCGGAAATGTCCGCCATCTTGAAGTAAGATGTCTGTTGTCTCGCTGTGAAATGCTTGAGGTTGAACAATAGGCGCAAAGAGGGACTGGAAAAAGTTTGAGTAGAACTTGTCTGAGTAAAGAGAGTGAGTGGCGACTTTGGAAAATGATCTTGATATCTTTGGTGTTTGAAAGTGTGAAGATTGGAAGTAAAGAAGATTGATGAAGCGTGCAAGCGTAGGGTTTGTTGATGAAGATGTAAAGTTGAAGCTGCGTGAGGCAGTATGGGGGTTTTTATAGGATCAATACGGAGCTGGGTTATGAGGCAAGCAGGAACGAGGCATGCCGCACGAGATAGAACGGGAAGGCGATACCACAGCCATGTATGAAGACCCGAGGCAAGAAGGCCAGAAAAGCCGCTTCCTCCTGTCGCTTCGCTCTCGGTGTCCTTGAAGATATCGTCCGTGGAAGTCGTCCTCCGCTTGGCTGTGATGTTCCACCGCGGTCATTAAGACAAATGAGAAAGGGTCAAAAAGACTGATAGTGTCCTGGTCTAGCAGCTTTTACTCATATATCATGTTGACTTGATGTTGGAACATCTCAAGGTCACTCGGACCAAGGAACACGCTGAAGTGGTCTCGACACCACCTTCCTGTCACACAATTGATGATATTCTTGATTATAATGCTGATTGGGGTATTTCCTACAATTCGAGACGTCAAGGAAGCGCCTCCCGTCTTGGGTATATGGTTCCAGTTCAAGTTCTCAACTCTGATCACACCTTCTTAGATGGGAACGATAGCCCGTTCCCTTTGCTACTGCCCTCTATCCTACATTGGCCGCTGACCCCTTCCTTATTTCCCAAAATGACTCCCGTTGGTCTCCTCGCGACCTGCCTGGATGGGAGAGCAAATCGTTCGTGTCTACCACAATGGCTTCATTAGCTTCACCTTTGACTTTGGGGCTTCGGCTACGGGTTGCGCTGCGATTTTGGCATCCGCGTTGGTTATGGTACTGGCTGTGTTGCTGGCAGGTTTGGGTATTGATTCGAGTTTAGATTTGGCCGAAAACTGTGTAGTTGAACCGGCCTGGTTGATGGCCTTGGCGGTAGCTTTGGGTTTGATAGCGGAGCTGCCCCAAGGTTGAGGTGGAGATCCGGCCTTAGTTATGGCCGTGGTTTGCGAGTCGACATTGGCCTTTTTACTGAGCTTCCTGGGGGCTATGGATTTGATGACGGAGTTGCACCAAGACTTTGGTGTAGATTCGGCTTGAGGTTTCGCCATAAGCTGGACGGTGAAGTCGGCTTTGGTCATGGGTGTGGCTGTAGCTGTGGGCATAATTATGCTTCTGGTCGCAGACTTGACTTTGCGCTTTGCCTTTGGTGTTTTGCCCTTGGGCTTGTCGAAGTCGCGCATCTCCTGTTCGATTCTTTGTTTGATAATCTGTTCCCGCTCGGCCTTGGCCCGCAAGTAGTCCTCTCTGGTCTCATCCTCCAGCTTGATCTGCTCCTGTTCGAGCTTCTCCCGGCGCTCGGCCTCTACCCTCTCTCTGTCTGCTTTCTGCTTACTCTCAGCCTTCTCGGCGAGTTCCTTTGCGGAGGGGTGCTCAGCTATGTACGCCTCTAGCTTCCACAGATACAGCTGCAGCGGGATCGACCGCTTCTTCTTGACGACGAACAGCGACCCGTCGCGGAACATGGGTATCTCCATCAGCTTCGCAAAGTAGTCCACACCCAAGAGCCGCCTGAGATCGTAGATGGGCAGGCTTTTTTCGTACTTTGCGTCTGGGACGTCATAAGTGGCGAACGGCTTCACCCGCTCCTCCCACGCGGAACTGTCTGTTCCCTGATGCCACAGCAGGCAGCTCCGCTTCTCCGACTCGTGCACGTCTTGCCATGTCTTGAGGGGCTCGATGTACGACCGTTTCTGCTCGTCCATCTCGACGTAGTAGGTGATGTACTTCATGATGTTCTTGCGCATGTTCTCGAGAACGAAGTCGCCCATATCCTCGCGCCAGACCAGACGCCTGGGGACGTCGGAGTTCATGACATTTTGGTTCCTGCCCAGGAGCGTCCTCCACTGGTCTCCGAAGGGCGTCTTGCCGCGCTTCCCTGACATGGAATCGATGATGGGTTTCCTGGATACTACGTAGCCGGACGGGGCTTTTTGGAAGAGCCGTTCCGTTTCTCTTTGTGCTGAGAGAGGGTCCACGAGTGGGTTTTCTGGACGTGTTGTTTCTGACGCTGTAACGCTGCCCTCCTCCTCTTCGTCATGCTTCTTGGATCCGTTCTCCTCCTCGTGATGCTTCCTTGACCCATCCTCCACATTACCAGGCTTCTTAGACGCCTCCATGGCCTGTTTCTGTGTCCACAAGACTTCTACGTCGCCCGGCATCCACCAGTGGTCCTTTGTCTCGGGGTTCGTAACGGCCTTGAAGTTCTGGAGGAAGTATTTCGGCAGAACGGCCGCCGTGACGGGGCAGAAGCGGACGGGCGAGGCGAGAGCATGGGCTATGGGGCAGTTCCTATCAGGATCTGCTCGAAATTCTTAGTGCGAAGGGAGCCGCTACTGACCGTACGGATTTTGTTCTAATTTAACGCGAAATCTTCCTCCATTCGGCTGGCTTTTGTGGACTCTGATCTTCGTCTTTCTGGCTTTGGGGTCCCAGTATAATGTCGTCGAGTATTTCTTCACCGGCCTCGCCTCCGTGTAGTTGTTGGTGCCTCTGGGATTGGGTTTAGTGTTCGATTTAGGCTTCGGCTTGGGTATCCTGTATTTCGTCCGGGCTCTCATCCACTCGGGGTCCATGATGGGCGAGATGGGCAGCTCGCCGGCGGACGTCCTGACCGTCTTCTTCTTCTTATAGACTTTGACATCTCTTCCGACTGCGTCACGTCCCAGTCCCTCTTCAATCCTGTCCTTGAACCGCGGCCGTTTTCTTTCCGCCTTGCCCCTTGGGACCCCAACCTCCTGCGCCTCTCTCTCTTGGGCCTCTCCTCTTTCAGCCTCCTTTGACTTGGTTGGGGGACGGAGCACGGCTCTGACCGGTGCGGCTGGGACACGGTGACGATGTGCAATTGAGACCACTTTTTGGACACCCGTGAATTTTTTCATCGCGGAAACGGGGAGGACCCCGGCGGAGAAAAGCGACAGTCGCGACTCTGGACGATCGTTCTCGAAAGAAGTGTTTTGCTGATTGGGTTGTGCAACAGACGTTGGACAGTCGCCCAGCTACGGCGCAAGTAAAAAAGAGCTTTACGCGCCTCGGGGCAATTTTTAGACGAGGACGCGTGGGGGAGCTCGGAGCTCGGGGGGCCCATGGGATTTCGGGGGGCGGCCCAGACAGCATCCTAGCGGGCTGTGAGGTCTCTGCACGTCACTCTACTACCCTGGTGCCGTCGATTGCCGCTTTTCGCAATCTTTCCACGCTCCCCGACTTCGACACTGCAACACCACGCGACCTGCACTTCGCCGCAGCCATGAACAGTCAAAGGACGTTATTCCGAGCCTTGAGGGCTGTCCCGCGGCGGCACGTCAGGACCTTTTCAAACTTCCCCACGTTCCCTCCCGTCGCAGGAGGCGGCAGCCCGCTCGTCGGAAACATCCCTCTGCCCTACATCACCGAGGTTTCGGTTCGTCACTCATGACCCTTTCAACATAATCAGGTCACCAGAGCTAATTGATCAGTCCAATGGTTGGAGGACATGTTAGTACCGCGATCGCTTCTGCAATTGGAGCCGCCCCTGCTGACATCGTAGGAAGACGACATCTTCTCCAAGTTGCTCCAGGTTCGATCCCATGAATATCCCGAGTTGTCGCGCACACTGAGCTGACGAAAATAGGAACGCATTGTCTGCCTCAATGGCGCGATTGACGATACTGTTTCCGCATCAATAGTAGCACAGCTCCTGTGGCTCGAGTCCGATAGCCCCGACAAAGCAATCACGATGTACATCAACTCCCCAGGCGGCTCAGTATCATCAGGTTCGCATACACACACAATTTGAAGGTCGCGGGCGCAATAAGCGGGGGCATAATGCTGACGAAAACATGAAGGACTGGCCATCTACGATACAATGACATATATCAAGTCGCCGGTATCAACAGTATGCCTCGGCGCCGCCTCCTCCATGGCGGCGCTGCTCTTGACGGGAGGCGAGGCCGGAAAGAGGTACGCCCTGCCGCACAGCTCCGTCATGATCCACCAGCCGCTCGGCGGGACGCAGGGCCAGGCGTCCGACATCCTCATCTACGCCAACCAGATACAGCGCATCCGCAAGCAGATCAACGATATCATGAAGCGCCACATTAACAAGTCGTTCGGCCACGAAAAGTACAGTCTGGAGGAGATCCACGACCTGATGGAGCGCGACAACTACCTGTCGGCGGAGGAGGCCAAGAGCATGGGCGTCATTGACGAGATTTTGACACGGAGGGAGGAGAAGGACCTGAAGGAGAAGGACTCGACGGAAGAGCAGAAGACGAAGCCCTAAGCCTAAGGGATGTCTATCTGATTGGTATGCAGAAAACCGTGATCGGCAACATCCTGTCTTGTAAAGCCATCGATGGAGCTGAGCTGCGATTGTAGGAGAGAGGAATATGGAGGCATCACACGCGTTGCCGGGTAGCCGTGGCCCACTTCCGGCGGATTCGGTCTGAAAAGAACGGGGCTCGTCCGGGACCGGAAGCGTTCCGGGCTTTTCGGAAATAAGCACGAGGTAATCTTAAGAGGTAAAGTTGAGAGCAAAGTCATAGCAACTCAATGTTCCTCACGGGCTTGGAAATAGCCTCAATAGAACCAATTGCGACTCTAGGCAAATTCAATCGCAGATGAAATACACCAATAACTCTTGCACTCAAGCTACCATACTGCGGTCGTGGTGCGACTCCTGACATCGCACACCGTGGCTGACCTTGCTGACCTTGCACCCGACTCCGGTGGCTCACCTCAACCTGGGGGGCGGAACCATAGCTGTGGCCAATCAGCGGCAAGGTATTTCAATGCGGGGAGCACTCGGCGGGGAGCTCCAGAATTTTTGCGAGCCGACATCGCCCAAATGTTTCCCCCCCGGTCTGCTAGCGGCTGCTCCAAAAAAACCATCGCTCGCAACGCTTCGTCGCCGTGTCCCTGTGACTGTCCCTGTGATCTCGGGTCTTTCTTACACCGCACGTCTGTTTTCGTGACTCACCTTGCATCAATATTTAAGGAAGAAACGGGCAAGAATTTGGAAACGAGATCAATTGGACCTCAATTGAACAAGTCAACTCCCTCTTATACACCCTCCCGCATCTCCATCTCCCTCCCCCCCGTTCCGTTCTGCAGCGTTGTCTCCTGGGGCTTCCCGGCGATACCCTCGACGAAATGCTCTCCCGGTCCATCGCCCGCCAGTCACAAGCTCTCAGAGCTGCGACAAGGCGTCCTACCTTTGCCAGCCATGCGTACGACCCCAATTGAGCCCCGTCAATAGCAGAAATCCCAATGGCTAACCTGGCTCGAGCAGACGTCTCCTCTCCACCACCGCGCCCCGACGCGCCGACGACAACCTGAACAAGGTGTCCGCCAATATCACCCAGCCCAAGTCCCAGGGCGCCTCGCAGGCTATGCTGTACGCCACCGGTCTCACCGAGGAGGACATGAACAAGGCCCAGGTCGGCATCTCGTCCGTCTGGTACGAGGGCAACCCCTGCAACATGCACCTGCTCGACCTGTCCAACATTGTCCGCCAGTCCGTCAAGGACGCCGGCCTCATCCCCTACCAATTCAACACCATTGGCGTCTCTGACGGCATTTCTATGGGCACAAAGGGCATGCGCTACTCACTGCAGTCGCGTGAGATCATCGCCGACTCCATCGAGACCGTCATGAACGGCCAGTGGTATGACGGAAATATCTCCCTGCCCGGCTGCGACAAGAACATGCCCGGAGTTGCCATCGCTATGGGCCGTGTCAACCGTCCCAGCATCATGGTCTACGGCGGCACCATCAAGCCCGGCTGCAGCAAGAGCGGCGAGTCTATCGACATCGTCTCCGCCTTCCAGGCCTATGGACAGTACATCACCGGTGAGATCACAGAGGAGGAGCGCTTCGACATCATCCGCAACGCCTGCCCCGGCAGCGGCGCCTGCGGAGGCATGTACACGGCCAACACCATGGCCACCGCCATCGAGACCCTCGGTCTGACCATGCCGCACAGCAGCAGCAGCCCCGCCGAGGACCCGGCCAAGAAGGCAGAGTGCGAGAACATTGGCGCGGCCATCAAGAACCTTCTCAAGGAGGACATTCGCCCGCGCGATATCATGACCCGCCAAGCGTTTGAGAACGCCATGGTCGTCGTCAACATCCTCGGCGGCAGCACAAATGCCGTCCTCCACCTGCTCGCCATCGCCGACTCGGTCGGCATCAAGCTGACTGTCGACGACTTCCAGGCCGTCTCCGACCGCACGCCCTTCCTGGCCGACCTGAAGCCCTCTGGAAAGTACGTCATGGCCGATATGCACCGCATCGGCGGCACCCCCGGCCTGCTCAAGTTCCTCCTCAAGGAGGGTCTTATCGACGGCTCGGGCATTACCGTCACTGGAAAGACGATGAAGGAGAATGTGGCGAGCACACCCGACTTCCCCGAGGACCAGCCCATCATCCGCCCCTTTAGCAACCCTATCAAGCCCACGGGCCACATCCAGATCCTGCGCGGACAGCTCGCACCCGGCGGCTCCGTCGGCAAGATCACGGGTAAGGAGGGTCTCGTCTTCACGGGCAAGGCGCGCGTGTTTGACGAGGAGGACGGCTTCATTACTGCGCTGGAGGCGGGCGAGATCAAGCAGGGCGAGAAGACTGTCGTCATCATCCGCTACGAGGGACCCAAGGGCGGTCCCGGCATGCCGGAGATGCTGAAGCCCAGTTCCGCCATCATGGGTGCTGGGTTGGGCAAGGACGTGGCGCTGTTGACGGACGGACGGTTCTCTGGCGGCAGCCACGGTTTCTTGATTGGCCACATTGTGCCTGAGGCCATGGAGGGCGGACCGATTGGTCTGGTGAATGATGGCGACGTGATTACGATTGACGCGGAGAAGAGGGTCATTGACACGAACGTCTCGGACGCGGAGATGGCGGAGCGGAGGGCCAAGTGGACGGCGCCGCCGCCCAAGTATACCAAGGGTACGCTGAAGAAGTACTCTGCCCTCGTCAGCGACGCTAGCTCTGGATGTGTGACGGACGGCAACATCTAACGAGTAGTTGAAGAGAAGAAGAGAAGTTCCTTCTTTTGTCATTTTCTTTGGCGGATTCAAAAGGGAGCGGCGGGATTTTTTATTTACTAGAGTCTTCTACACTGTTATACCATCATCTTCTTGTACGGCTTCGGAAAAGGTAGTCCAAAATTGGAGTTTTATTTACGTGGTTAATCGTACAAACGGTCCCCAATAGACTTGGCAACATGTGTTGGTGTAAAAGTAAGAGAGGCATTCAGATACATGGGCAGACGAGTTTGAAATTTGTGGTATACGCAGTTTCAAAAACACACTACAAAACGTTCCACAGTGGATTATCTTTACACAGCGGCCTCACTAAACAGACGCGGCTCGTGCCTGCTTTCCTTTTTTCCTTCCTTCGTTTTGCCGTTTAAACGATTTGGAAACATCGCACAACAAAGCGCCTCCGAAGCTCCTAGCTATGCAATAACACCCAGCTAAAACGTAAAAGCACGACAGCCACCAAAGTTGCCAAAACCACCATCCCTTTTCCCTTCGCTTCCCTGCTTTCTCCGGATGATGGCGGCGGGGGGGCTTGCTTCGAGTGCTCACTTCCGCCCGTTCCACGCCTCGATAAAGGCAGACTTATCCCGCAGCGTCAGACCGACACGCTTATTCCGACACAACCTGGCCAGAGCCTCGCCGACCTTGTCCAGCACCCGTTGTTCCTCGATCGACAGCGCCACCGGCGCATCGCCCCCTGCCCCGAGTCGTCGTTGCGCGGAGGAGCCGGTCTCGGCGGCAACGGAGGACGAGACGCCGTTCGTCTGGGCGGCCGAGGAGTTGAGGATGCTTTCGGCGACGCGGACGCGGATGCAGGTCGTCGGGCGGGAGAGGAGGTCCCAGAGGAACTTGAACCAGCGGCCGGGGACGGGGGTCGTTACGTCGGCGGGGGTGTAGCGGATGCTGACGGGGAAGATGTGGACTTCGGGGCTGACGGCGAGGAGGGATGGCGTGAAGGGGAGGACGCCCTTGCCGTTTGTGGTGCCTCCTTCGGGGAAGACGGCGACGACGCGGTCCGGGTAGCGCTCGAGGAGGGCGGCGAGGTCGGTGAGCTTTGCGCCCCGGGTTGCTGGCGGGGGCGCGAAGCGGACGGGGGAGAGGGCGTAGAAGACGGCGCGGAGGAGGGAGATCCGCTCGACGGATCTGGTGTTTGGGTAGGAGATTGTAAAGATTGGGTCAAAGATGGCGGCGAGATAGACGGCGTCGATCGGGGAGGTGAAGTTTGCGGCGATGACAGAGCCGGGGTGGGGGAAGCGCTGCGGGGGTTGGTCGGCGAGGGTGCCGCGGCGGACGCCGTCGAGCTGGAGGTCGACCCACCATATTCCCGGGATGCCCATCATGCCCCAGAGGAGGACTTTGCGGACGGCGACGGGGAGGAAGGGGCAGAGGTGTTGGAGGAATAGGAAATAGGTTGCCGCGTAAGTAAGGAAGATGGGGAGGCGGACGAAGAAGAGCAAGGTGTGGAAGACGGAGGAGAGGGGAGAAAGGGTCGTCTTGACGGGGATGAAGGGCGAGATGCCCGAGCCTGGTGGGATGTTAGTCGACGATCTTCTTCTCCCGTTAGCATCTTGGACTAGGTTGGGTGTCTTTACCTTTGTCGCGGAACTGGCTAAACTTCTCCATTGTTGGAGGCGGTGGAGTTGTAACAGTAAGATGTGAAGTGAAGTTCGTGTAAGTCCCAGTAGACCAGGGGGGCGGGGAGTAGCGGGTTGATCACCGCGACATGAGGTTTCGGATCGCAACGGTTGCGAGTGTTTGGTGGGCGTCCTAAGGGCGGGATACGGATCGACGCAAGTACGTTGGGAAACAACCAACAAGCTAGAGAAGAGAGAGGGGAAGCTGAAGATAGAAAGTTGAGTGAGACTCGGGAATTGCTTGCTCGTGTCACGCAACTCCGGTTTTTTTTTTTTCCCCTGTCGTCTCCTAGCACTGAATTCCTCTCCGTTGGGGGCAGCAAGACACAAATCTCAGATGCGACCTGGCGAATGAGCTTCCCAACGTCATGGTGCGGCGACGCCCGGCAGTGACATGTGAAATAGGGAAAAAAAAAGGCCACCACGTTGCGCCTGGCTGTGGGTTGGGCGCGAGAGGAGCAAATCGGCGACCGCTTACCGGATTTAGATAGCTGCAGCCCCGCTTTACCTGCGTGCCATGTGCTGCGGCAGTTCATGCCTGAGAACCCAAGCACCAAGGCAGAACCTCGGGTGGATCTTGGGTTTGATCCCAAGGCAGGAACGCGGCAAGTGACAATCCACAGGTAAATGCAACCACTCACCACGGTGATTACTTAAGACACTGGACCCAGTGGTTATGTCAGCGTTGCACAATTCCCGTTGCCCCGGACAGCCATCCACACCCCAGCCGTCGCAGTGTGTACACAATTCACAGTAAACACTCAGACCCTGGCGATGCACCTCCACAGCCCCCGATTGGGAAGCGCGCAAACAAATCCCACCACCAGTGCTAGCCGGCCCAGCACCAGTCACAACCCACACCCCTCCCCATATTCAATCATAGCTGTGGGCTTTTTTGCGATTCCTGTTGCTGCATGCCTGCTCCAACTTCACAACGTCTTCTCCTACCGCGTCCAGAACCGGAGCGCTGCTCCTCGTGTCCCACATCATCATACCAGTTGTAGCTCGTCGCATCGACAGCATCCTCAACATGGACACTGCGGAGAATACGGTATGTCTCTCTGCGATGCGGACATTCAAGCTTTGGCGATGATCGCAACGGAAAAGCGCAGAATGAACCACCACCGGCTGACACATTTACCTTGCTCCAGCAACACCATTTCCGATCCTCCGTCATCCGGCCTCACAGCAACCTCCCGCGACCAGGCGCCTTCTCCTCCGGCCTCTCTGAAATGAGCGAAGCACAGAACAACGCGCGCGCGCACCCGTCAATGATTCCACCGCCGGCGTCCAAGATCGGCTCGCTCAATGCCGCGATGAAGAGGGAGGTTCCGAAGCCAGGTTGGTCCTACTACCCTCCCGGGCTGCGGTGGGAATGGTGGCGGCAGCTGACCGTGCCTTCTATAGCTGAGCATTCAGCTACCAAGCACCACAAGACCCTCGCCGAGAGGGCAGGCGAATACCCGACGAAGTCCTCGGCGGCGGCAGGTGCTTCCGGCATCGCCAGGGCGCCCTCTGTCAGGCGGGTGCCCGGATCAACATTGGCTGAGGTAGGTTCAATTCTGTTTGCGTGTGTCTCCGTGCACCTCGCATCTCATCCCGAACGTCCCACGTCGACTTCTTCTTGGAGATGGCCCCCGAGTCGACTACCGCATCCAGTATCGTTCTCCGTTTCGACGGTGTTCGGACGATCCTGTGGATAGCGGTCCATCTTTTCCGCTCTGTACGGCATATTTGGCGGGCGGTCGTCCGTTCCGTTCCTCATCCGTCCTTCTGGCAAAGGCTGCTTGTCCTCTTTCCACTTAGCTGGATCCGGACCGACTTGAATGGATTTGATGTTCGACGTACTCTGAATCACCGACGCTCTCGTCCTCGAAACGGTTCCACGGCCCCTGCCCCAACGTATATCCGCAGCGTCTCTGGTCGACTGCAGCTGTGGCTGGGATTACAAAGCGACAGCGACGACACGCGCAGCAGCGTTCGACTTCTCCTAGACGCCGAGGTACAAGACGGTGAATGTTATCGGGCCATGGAATGCGACGAGGACGACGAGACGGACGACAGGGATGAGCTGCGATGTGTACCGCCCAAAGCTCGCTCAAAACAGCCACATGTAGTGCACATGCTGACTCGTAGCAGCTCAAAAACCCAGACAATATCAGACCTCGAAATGGAACAACAACATCACGATACAATCAGAATAGCAGCTTCTCCGCGAGTGTCGGCCCCAGAGGCCACGAACGCGCAAAGTCCTCCCTTGCTCACTCAAAGTCGGTACACGGACAACCCCGGACCCGAAACGCCAATCCGCATACGAGACCGCGCACGGCATACGGTCATCGATCAGAGGAGGAATTCGATGGACCAATAGAACAACAGCATGGTACGACTCTGCAATCCCAGCGACTGAACTTTCTGCGACCCCTTGAATTTCAGCCCACCAAGGCTAGACATGCCAGTCACACGTCACAAATGCATTCGCACAGAGAAGTCTCTCTGAGCAGCCGGTTTGGTGCACTATCCATCAAGGACGACACCAGTACAAGCTCAGCACAATATGAAGATCAAGTGGTTTTCAGCCAACATGAAGACAACAGCGCCAGTCCAAGGTCGACGACGGCGAGCATCGCGCAAGTGGACAACGTCACCATGAGCACGTCATCACGCAGGGCCCTCATGAGACCGCCAGATCTGTCACCGAAGAAGAGGCAGGCCAGTCGCATGACGGATCCTGTCACGCCTTCACCAGATTCTAAGCGATCGAGGGCCATGATGGAAAGACTCGAGGAAACAATAATGGCCATCAAGGACTCCAGATCCCCTGCCAGATCCCCTTCTCCTTCCAGACTTCACTTCCTAACAAAAGATTCTAACTTGACTCAATTCGTAGGCTGGGATGTCGAGGGCAGGGTCGCAGAGCTTGACTCGCAGTTCAAACAAGTGAAGGAATCTATGACTGTCATGCTCTCCGATAAGGAGCTGATGGACGAGCGAGTGGACATGTACAAAAAGAGAAGTGAGTTCGGACGATGAACTAGCACGGACTGAACTAATTGGCTGCTGCAGTCTCGGAACTCGAAGCGGAACGAGACAAACTCGAAGACCGCAATGGAAATTTTCAAAACGAGATTAGCAGCCTGCGCGAACAGATGCAAAAACTGACCATTGAATCCGAAACGGAGAAACGCAGCCACAAGTATGAGCTCGAGGATGAGGCCCGGAAGCACCGTCATGAGCTCGACGAGCTGCGGCGCGAGCTCAAGGACGAGACGCAGCGGGCGGAGAAGAGCCACCGAGAGGCTTTGGATGCTCTCGAGCGACATTTCAAAGCAGAGATTGAGGAAGAGCGTAATCAAAAGTCCAGAGAGGTTCAAGATCTACGCACACGGCTGGGCCACGAGCAACAAGACCTCAGCATCACCCTTCAGAAGAAGGATAGAGAGGTGTCAGATATTAGAGGAGTGGTAGAGACACTCAAGGGAGATCTGGACCGCGAGCAAAGTCTCAAGAAGGGCCTCGAGGCCAGCATTTCGGAGCTCTCTGCCTCCAACGTCACCCTAGAGGCCAAGATTAACTCCCTCAAGTCTCATGTCGAGTTCCTCGAGTCCGACAGTAAGGCTCAGTCGGATTCTTTCTCCAACATGGAGGCCAGACTCCAAGAAGCGCTCAAGGCTGCCCAAGTGGCTGAGGAGAAGCTCATCAAGGAGGAGACGGAACGCCGTGTTCTCTTCAACAAATACCAAGAGCTCAAGGGCAACATCCGCGTCATGTGCAGAGTTCGTCCTGTGCTGAACCCGTCAGAAGGGGCGCCGGCCAAGGTGACCTTCCCTGACGAGAAGACGTCTGCCGAGATCGCGTTGCAGACGCAGGAGGTCAACAGTTTCGGCGACGTCTCGAACAAGAACATCAACTTTGAGTTCGACAGGGTGTTTGACCCGTCAGCCCAGAACCAAGACGTATTTGACGAGATTTCGCAGCTCGTGCAGAGCGCGCTCGACGGATACAACGTGTGCATCTTTTGCTACGGCCAGACGGGATCTGGAAAGACGCACACTATGTCTTCGGCAGACGGCATGATCCCTCGCGCGACGCACATGATCTACGACACGGTCACCAAGTTGAAGGAGAAGCAGTGGACCTACAAGATGGAGGGCTCCTTCATTGAGGTATACAACGAGGAGCTCAATGACTTGTTGACGCCCAACAGTCGCGAATCAGACAGCAAGGTACGCAAGCTCGAGATCCGGCACGATGACGCCCGCAAGCAGACGGCAGTGCTCAATTGCAAGACTGTATCTCTTGATTCGGCCGACACGGTTGAAGTGATGCTTGCCGAAGCGCAGAACAACCGATCGGTGGCGGCGACCAAGGCCAACGAGCGGTCGTCGCGTTCGCACAGCGTCTTCATCCTGAAGCTGTCTGGCTACAACTCGGCAACAGGAGAGCGGTGCGAGGGTACGCTGAACCTGGTGGATCTTGCCGGCTCTGAGCGGCTCAAACACTCGCAGGCCGAGGGCGCCAGGATGAGGGAGACACAAAACATCAACAAGTCTCTGTCGTGTCTCGGCGATGTGATTGAGGCACTGGGCAAGAAGAGCGGGCACATTCCCTACCGCAACTCAAAGTTGACGCATCTGCTTCAGTATTCCCTCGGAGGCAACAGCAAGACGCTCATGTTTGTGATGGTCAGCCCGCTGGAGGCGCATCTGAAGGAGACGGTGACGAGTTTGCGTTTTGCTACCAAAGTGAGTTTCAGACAGCAGCAGGAGCAGCACCAGCAGCACCAGCAGCAAGCAACCCCATATGACAGGATGATGCTGACGCGACGCAGGTTCATAATACCCACATTGGCACTGCCAAGGCTACGAAGAAGGCGTAGTAGACCGGCCGGCTGGCTGATGAAGGCGTTCTTGGATGAGAGTCACCGTGACGGGGACCGGCGTTGGAGGATTTATTGCGTGATTGACGGGGCATTGTTGAAGCTGTATATCCTAGAAATACGTACGAGTACGATTTCGACATACAATACAGGCCCGAGGGCACTTTGTACACACTGTGCTCCTAGTATGAGTGGGATGGTGATGCTTGTGAAGCCAATTTGATGTCAATGAAAGCATGCCTTACATTCCTTAGGTAGTTAAGGTATCTGAGGGAATCTAGGACCTACGGCAATGAGGTAAGGTTGCTGTCCTCAGCGCCCCCGCCTTCCGGGGAGACGTAGGTACCTCATTACCTACTTACCTTACCTAGGTGACCTAAGCACCTCACGCGTCAGGCGCGTCTCCCCCGCTGAACCTTCTCGGAGCCTGTGCCCATGCCGCTCCAACCCCACCATCCAACTTCTCGACGTCCTTTTGCTGAGTAGGTCGCAAGACGCCGGCCAAACCAACAGCAACATGAGACACAAAGGAGGCCGCCAACACCTCCTTTGATCAAGCATTTGTCTGTCGAATTGGAGCATCAGCAGTGACATTGTCTCTTGCAACATTCTTTCTTTCCTCAGTCTCTACGATTTATTCTTTGCGGGCATCCATCAATGCCATCGAATTACTGGGCAACGATTCGAATTCCAGCGTCGTCTTAAGCCATCTCCCGACTTCTTGGGGCGCGGCATATTTACCCTGTCCTCTCCTGATCCGCGAGGCCGAGTCTCGATTATCTGCGCGGCGATCCTCTCTTTGAAATTAGAGATTACGATTCACTGCGAAAACGAGCGGAAGAAGTAACGACATCCATCGTCCTCAGCCCACGCTATCCGGCCAACGCCCCCAGATTCCAAATGGACGCCATCTCGAAGCCCAAGAAGGGCCTTGGCAGCTCCATATGGGCCACACGAGGCAAATCCCAATACTATACGCCCTCCCAACCCTCATATAAATCCCAGCCAAAACAATCCGTTTCATCGGTCATCACGCCCGCGACACCGCGACCGCCTTCCCCGACCAAGAATGGCGCTGGAGTCCGTCCCGCTGCAAACACGCCCATGAACGCACACACGCCCGGCCCGACCTCCGCACCCGGACTCACACCCAACGGAAACGGGAATGCCACCTCCCGAACGGGCCCCTCGGCGCAGCAGGAGTTCAAGAGGTACATCCAGATTGTCCGGCGGCTCAAGTGGAAGCTGCCGTACCTGAGCCACGGGTACCACCACGCCATAGCACGGCCTGGGTCCCCGCTGTACGGGGGCGAGACGGACGCCGAGGAGGCGGAGCTCATGTTCAAGCTCGACTTTTACGAGTATTACATGCTGTTGGAGCGGGCGCTGGTGCATTTGATGGGGGTGTTTGGGATTACGATTTCGAGGGACGGGTGGGTTACCGCGAGGCAAACTTATGGGAATGGGAATGGGGCGACTGGGGCTTCACAGCAACAGGCGACGCATACGTATCACCAGAATGTGATTGCTGCGCTGGAGAAGGAGGACAATCCGCTTCACGAGGCGTTGGGCAGCGGGGAGGTGCTGTTTCACTTGTCGAGGGCCAAGGAGTTGCGGAATCGGTGGAAGTATGCCGAGGAGGGCGACGGAAAGGCGGGGAGGAGCAGCGTCGCGGGGAGGGAGAGGGCGGGGACGGCGCCGCTGGAGAGCTATGACCTCGACAGGATTTTTAGGTACATTTTTGCCGGGTTCGATGCCGGTTACGCGGTTGCTGAGAGGTGGGTACAGGCGGAGATGGAGGCTGGTGCCGGTGGTGATGGTGATAGAGGGGGAGAAGGGATTGTTGAGATGGAGGAGGACGAGTTTGATTTCATGGTTGAGGCTATGGATTGGGAGGCTGTTTAGTGAGCGGATGATTCGAGGCGGAGGGAATGGAATGTCCTGGATAGCTGCGTTGTCGGAGGGTTTGATGAGTTTGACAAGGCGAGACGCAGGACTGGGGAGCAAAGATGCTACGCCTCGGCATTGGTAGAACATTGATGCGGATGCGGAGACTTTGCATCGCAGAGTTGTTGGTGGACCTATGACGGGTCGAATGGTGGCATAGCATACATTGTTAGACGATACCCTTTTCGATAGTTCATTAGAAGTTTTCGATTCCAAGAACTCGACGTCTTGACTTGAGTCTATTCAAATTCGCTTGCTTGGAGGCACGGGATACGCGGTGATGTTGATGTTGAGAAGGACTTTTTTCCTGATTCCGGATGATGGCAGGACCGGAACGGAGCTTGGCCATCCTGGTAGACGGTGAACCGCGAGCTCGGGGTGCAGGACCTCGCTCCGAAGATGACTGATCTTCTAGTAATGTATTCGAGGTTTTGGGTTCGAGGAAGGTAAAGCAAAGGATGTTTGCAGACAGGGTTCCAGGAGCTAGCTGGTGAGTAGTCGTTTGTGGGGTTCGTATTCGGCAGCTGTTGGCCACGCGACCCGCCGGGTAGGGGGAGGAGGGGGAGGAGGGGACGGGAAGCTCTTGATTTGATGCTTGGTTTGAACGGATGGCATGGCATCTGGTCCGTCGACTTTGGTGGATGGGGGGAATGAATGTGGATGGTAGCGAAGAGATGGCAACGGGAGGGAACCGATGGTTGCTAGCTCAAATCCCGATGCGTCGTTTGTTACATGCAGATATGAAGTTTGCTTTTCGTGGCTTGTTTCCTGGATTAAATGTAATGGTGGTAATGGGCGGAGGTTGCACAAATGGCCATTGGCAGACACGGAGAGAAAGAAAGAGCGAGAGAGGAAGGGATGAGCTATGCGAGAGAAGCGAGAGAAGCGAGAGAAGCGAGGCATGCGAGCTTTGCGTTGTCAAAGAGAATCCTTCAGACGTTTGTCCAGTCTCTAGTAAATCTTCCGCATATCAGATGATGGCGGTAAGGGAAAGGGGAAAAGCTCGCCGTATCCGAGTGCCTCCCAAACGACTTATCATCAGACAACTGCGATAACCCAAACTTCCCCACGGGCGATGAACGCGACTTCGTACCCGTCTCGCCAACTTCGTTTAGGTTGCGAATACGCGAGAGGAAAGCATTCCCTTGATGGACAATCACGGCCACGCCCCAGGATGCCGATGGCATCTCCAACCGGAACGGGACACGCAGACAGACCGACCGACCAAACCCCCCCTAAACACCACCACCCCAGTCCCCTACGAGGCCTGCCACCTCTCTACGTTTGGAAAAGTTTCACTTTTTTTTGGGGGGGGGGGGGCTTACACATTTGCCGCGTACCGGCTCTTTGCTAATTAGCGGTCGATCCAGCGGGGATGTGGTTCTTTAGAGCCAACGAAAAGGCTTGGTGTTTGTTTCTCGGTCATACGTACCCTGGCTGACTTATTCTGCAGCTTTTATGCAGCTATCAGAACGATTTTGCGGATGGCAATGCTATGGCAATGTAGCAGTCGAGCTAGGCACTATGAGTGGCATGCAAGGAGGGAAGCCGATCGTGGTGAACCCTGTGCCTTTCTCCAATGAGGAGTTTCGTATTCGTGAGCAGCTCGATGGTCGAGCCTAATGTCTCATACACCCGCTGGCATCCAAAGTTCCAAGCGAACCGGCAAGAGAACCGACGAGGCGGGCGGGCGGAAGAGTTCTGTTGTTCCGCGGCCAGAGCTCTCATCCTTGAATACCTCGAGCATTTTGGCTCTTACTTCTTCTTTTTTTTTTGGTGTCACACCGCATGACATTGTCTTGACAAACCATCGTACACACAGAAATCCAGGGACCTGGTGTGGGAAAGCAAGTGTCTTGGGTGGTCCATTCTGGGTTGGCGCCCGTCGGGTACTTGGGGATCGACGCTTACATGTTTGCTCGAGATCGAGAGAGAGTGAGGGGTTGAAGTGAAAGAACCTTGAAAGGAACAAAGATTGCCTCTGGCAGCTTAGCTGGCTTCTGCCTTTGGCGCGGGAACCAAGTCATATTGGGCAAAAGTGCAGAAGTTTGTCAAGGTAGGTTTTGATGACGTTTGGTCTTAGTTCTGTCCAGTCTGGTGGTCCCCCCTTTCACCCCGTCTTCTTCTTCTCCTCGCCCGAGCGTTTCGAACGGACTCTCCTCAGCTAGGCCACACCAGTAGCATCTGCTCATATTACGCAGCCTGATATCGTTCCTGCTTTCCAGTATATTTTCTCCTCCCACTTTACAAACTCTGTTTGTTCTTTGGGTCTTCTTTCGAAGCTTTCATCTCATCCTTCCCGTCAGGCCCCGTCGGGTCTTTTGGGTGCACATTGCCAGTGATAAGAGGGCGATATTCGATAAAAGAGGGCGACACCCAACGCCGGGGAACAAAAAAGGACGAAGAACATAGAACCACAAAGCAGGAAGAAGAGGAGACTGGTGTCACACAATGTCCCTAGCATCAGCAGCCACCGCGGCCCTGCACCCGCAAAACTGGCCGACGAGCATCTGGGTCCTCCTTCTCACGGGGCTCGCCTATGCCGTCGGCTTCCTCGCCTACCGCCCGTCCTTTCCACGCAACGCGCCCAAGTTGTTCCGGGGCTATCCGGTCTTCGGGACGCCGCGCTTCTTCACTGACCGGGGCAATTTTCTGAGCGAGGGGGCGCGGTTTGGGCGGTTCGGGAACTGGAGCTTTTATTTTGGCAAGATGAGGATCGTGGGGTTGTCGGGGGACGACGGGCGGCATCTGTTTTTTGAGAATCGGGATTTCGATCTTGGAAAGGGGTGAGTAGTCTGTCTCCTCTCTGGACCTGGAGTTACGGGAGAGGTGAGGTGTCGGTTTGGGGTGGCTGGTTGGTTGGCTTGGGATGGTGTTGTTGCGATGGATTCGAAGACTGGGATGTAAACTAATACGGCACTCTCCTCCAGATACGGCACCCTCTTCAACGCGGCGCCGCGCATCGACGTGTCCAAAGGAGCCGACAGAGGAGCCGACGAAGAAAACGTGAATACCAAGTTCAACCGCAACCTCGTCAAGCTCCTCCGCAAAGACCTCCTCGATACCCGCCTCCCCCTCCTCCTCACAGACACGCGGGACACGATGGACGGTCTCGCCGCCCGCATCGGCAAGGGATCCGGCAACGCGAACGAGGGCATCAGCGACCCGTTTGAGGACATGTACCACCTCGTCTTCAAGCTCACGATGCGCATGGTGGGCTGCGACGAGATCGCCGAGGACAAGGACCTGCTGCGGCAGGTGCTGCGCATATTCGAGGGCATTGACGCGGCGAGCACGGCGAGCACGGCGACCAAGGTCATGTTCCCGTGGATGCCGACGGTGGGGCACCTGAGGCGGGTGTACAGCGGCGCAAAGATGTACATGATTCTGGAAAAGGTCATCAAGGAGAGGAAGGACCGCGGGGTGCCCGGCAACGATGCGCTGCAGTACTTGATGGACAGCGGGGACAGCACCGTCGAGATGGTGGCGTTTATCGTCGGGGCGCTGTTTGCGGGGTTGATTAACAGCGGGATCAACGCGGCGTACGTGCTGTGCTTCCTTGCCACGGAGGAGCGGTGGTACGGGGAGGTGCAGAGGGAGGTGGACGGGGTGATTCGGCGGCACCGGCGGTCGGAGGAGGAGACGCCGGAGGCGATCCTGGGGCGGCTGGACATGGAGGCGTGGGAGGCCGAGTTTCCAATGATTGATTTGGCGATGAAGGAGACGATCCGGCAGACGATTTGCGGGTGCGGGTTCCGGTACAACGGGAGCGGCAAGGATGTCGAGATTGGCGGGAGCGGGGAGGTGGTGCCGCGGGATTCGTTTGTCGTGTACCACTTTGATACCACGCACATGGACCCTAGGTTTTTCCCCGAGCCGCTGCGATGGGATCCGGGGCGGTTTTTGCCGGGGCGGGAAGAGGATAAGAAGGATCCGCATGCGTTTATTGGGTGGGGTGCTGGGCGGCATCCGTGTCTTGGGATGAGGGTGAGTCGTTTTTCTTTTTTGGGTATTTGCTTGCTTCTGAGTTCTCTTTTCCCCCTGTTCTGGCTTTGTTTATCTGGTTGCCGAGATGGTGGCCGAGATGCTTCCAACCCCGAGTGGTTTCGGGTGGTTTGACTTCCCCTTGTGTGGACATATTTGCTAACGATACCGCGGGGAAACAGTTTGCCAAGATGGAAATGGCCGTCACGACGGCGCTTTTCGTCGCGAGGTTCGACTATCGCCTGGTGGACGCGGAGGGCAACAGGATGGACAGGGTGCCGGAGAACTCGGTGGATCGGAACAAGCACTCGGCGGCGAAGCCGCGGCAGAAGATGTTTTTGAAGTATTCGCTCCGGACGTAGGATGTTTTTTGTTTTTCTTTCTTGGACGAGTGATGTTGGGTAGATCTGACACTAGATTGCACCATTTGGAGACACGTAACGAAGTGATGAAGGAAGCAATATTGTTTATAATCTTATCTCGTTTCGGTGGTGGGTGTTTTCATTTACAGTGCACTCGTCTTATGCCTCGGTTCGTTCCCAAAACCCAGGTTGTCTGAGCTTAATCCCATTGGTGAACGGGATGCTCACACATTGGGGGGTCTTTTAGATGCGAAAAGAGAGCTCTTTGATATAAGCTACTATCGCTTTCGTGTCCCATCAATTTGAACCGGATGGACAAGGCAGCAGCAGAGATCGACTCCCGACTCGGCACCAAAGTCAACAGTAAAACCTCCGAACCGGTGGGTCCCCTTTCCCCTCCGAAGACGGGACCGCCGAACGCCGATGCGGAAGGGAGACCCCGCTGCAGACTAGAGGGTCTGGGGCTGACGAGATAGTGAGCGAGGCACCTAAGGTGCCTAGGTAGGCAGGCAGGCCATTGGGCGCAGCTGCGGCGTCTGCATGTGCGTGAGACCTGTGACTGTGAGGTGGGCGCAGTAGCGACTCTGCGACGTGCGCAAATCTCATCTCATCTTTTCGTTTTTTTGTTTTCTTACTCGTCCTCCAATCTCACTTCGAAACTTGTGCCGGTGACCAGCCATCTTGCGTCCTGGGAACACTTCTTCTCTTTCACAACTCCATCCTTTTCCTTCTAGCTACCTGTATCAACTTGGGATATCGACCCAGCTGGAAAAGAGCGGAGAACAGGAATCCCCGCATCATCGTCTCCTCACAGTGAGAGAACCAGCAACTGTCTCCGATCGCGACTGCAAGATCGGCCCGCGATCCCGTCATTACACTCACCTTTCCGGACACCAACCATCCTCACAACCGACACATTTCAAAAATAGAAACAGTTCACTCAAATCTCCCTCGATCTCACCAAACACCCTCACATCAGAGGTCATATTCAAGGAGATCTACCAGAACACAAGTCAAAGAAATGCGCACCCACCCGTCCCCAAAAGAGTGCGAGGTCGTCCAGCCCGCCACCCCGCGCGGCCAGACTTTGACGCCCCTCTTCCTCATCCACGACGGCGGCGGCACGACTTTCGCCTACCACTGCCTCTCCTCCCTCGAAGGCCGCGCCGTCTTTGGCATCGCCAACCCGCGCTTCCACTCCGGCGTACCGTGGGAGGGGGGCGTCCCCGAGATGGCGGCGACCTACCTGCTGATGATCCGCAACACCGTGACCAAGGGGCGCGAGTACCCCGCTCTGGCGCCGTATTCCTCCCACGCTGACGGGAGGCCGAAGAGGAGGAGGATCCTGTTGGGCGGATGGAGTTTGGGGGGTCTGCTTTCGTTGGAGATTGCGAGGCTATTGGGAGAGGACGATCGGGATTTTGAGATTGTGGGGTTGGTCATGGTCGATAGCGTGTACCCCGTCTGGCCCGAGGGCTCTAATTTGAAAATTGGGCGATTTGTGGAGGACGAGAAGCAGGAGACAGAGCCCAAGAACCTGAGACTCGCCAAGAGGGCGATGAAGATGGCGGGCGCGATGGTGAGGGTGTGGAAGATGCCCCGGTGCGGGGCGGCGTCCGAGGCGTCGTCTTTGTCGGTTCCCAAGGCGGCTGGGTATACCGACGACGATGTTCACGAGAGTGCGACGACGACGGCTAACGGCGGAGACGTGGAAAAGGACTTTTATGTCTCCAAAGAGGAGAAGGAGACGGCCGAGATCGTGTGGGAGAGGCCGCCGCGGGCTGTGCTCGTCAAGGCGAAGCAGCACGTGCCGATGCCGGTGGAGGGCATCAGCTCCGTGGACGTTTACCGCGGGGACGAGAAGCTCGGGTGGGATGGGTATTGCCCTGGGTTTGTGGAGGGGGTGCTGCTGACGGAGGGGAGTCACTTTGACATGTTTGCGTGGACCAACATTGACGGTATCACGGAGAAGATTGCTGAGGCTTGCCGGATCTTGGAGGGGGTTCAGTAGGTGAGGAGGGAGGGTGGTTTAGGATGCGTGTTTTGCGATGCATGGCGTGGATTGGGTTTACCTGGCTAGAGGGATTTGGAGTACACGGAACAAATAGATGAGGGAGGGAGCATAGATTTGGAGAGAGCTTATCGATTTAATGTTTACTGAGGCTGAACCTATTAACACAATGAACGATCATTGGATACAGACGGCCAAATGAGGTTCAGTTGCCGGATCGTCATATGGCGAAGCCAAGCCGTATAGTGATAGATACAATAGCAAACATCCACATGATCTAGGAAGCATAGCTAGTAATCAACTCATTCCTCAAATTAAGATGACAAAAAATTCATGGCATTCATTCCTCGCTAGAAATTTCCCCCTGAGATCTTGCTCCAGTCTGCAGCTCATCCAACTCCTGGGTATGTTCTCGGGACGGCGGGCATGGCCTTAGAGGCGACCTTCAGTCAAATTGAACAGCAAAAATGAATAAACATCAAGCTATGACTATCACAATGAATCAAAAAGAGATGATTGCAACCGCCGGGGTTCGAACCCAGGTCCCCAGCTGGTTCCCTGCATGGGAGGCTGGAATGCTAAACCACTGCACCACGGTTGCCTTGGTTAATGAGAGATACTGAGAGCAGAGGACAAGGGCTCTTTGAATTGAATCGGATTGGGAAAGCGTAATATTCCATTGGTGGCAGGTAGATGTGGTTTGCTCCTTCCCTGTCCTGTCCCGTTTGCCTTCCCGGGGGCGTCGAACAGGCAGGCGCCGGAGTGGACCCACCCGGAGCTGGTCCCGCGATCCCCACGCACCCTCTCCCGATCCGAGCTTGCTCATCGCCCAGGCTTGGAGGCGGAAAGCTACAGACACAGATACCTCCTGACTTGGCCTCTCTTTACTCTCCTTCTTGCTCATCTGGCTGGCCACTCCCTCCTGTCTCGCCTTCGCCTTGACTCAGTTCGCAGGCTGCGCCACGGCCGGCGCGACAACCCTCTCCTTCTCAACGACAACTCCAGGGACCGGTGCCGCCCCTGCGGCCGCCGCCGTTGCCGGACTCCCTCCCGCCACCAGAGCAGGCGCCGGCGGTTCCTGACCACTCCTCGCCCACGTCTCAAGCGGCGTCGTCAACACCTTACGAATCGCTCCGAACGCATACACAAAGAGGTACATGAGCAGAAGATTCATCATGCCCCAGAGCGCCACAAACACCTGGAAGATGACCCAGGGGTTGTCGGCGACATAGTCGCCCAGTCCGATGCCCGCCTGCTCTTCAAACGCAGTAAGCGCCGTGGTGAAGTTTTTGCGCGCGCCTTCGTCGGAGAACATCCCTTCGCCGTTCGCCGCCGTCTCCTCCTTGTCGGCGACGTCGAGCGTAGAGGCGAAGACGAAGAAGGCGCCCATTAGGACGACGACGAAGAGCGCAAGGACTACGCGCGCGAGGTGCAGGAGCCAGGTTACGGAGAAGAGGAAGAGGACGAGGGCGCCGTGGGGGGAGCCGTAGTCTGCTGTTGCGAGCCAGGTTGCTAGGTTACCGCCGGTGGCGGCGGCGTTGCGGGCGTTTGCCGTTGTTTGCTGAACCGTCGTTGAGGGGGAGGCGGCGACGATGAGCTTTGCGACGAGAAAGGTTAGGAGGGAGGGTAAGGCGATCAGCTGGAGGAGGCCTGGGTTCGAGTCGACGGCTGTAATTCCGACACAGGCCAGGATGAGGAGGGTCCAGATGCCGAGGATGGAGACGGCGAGGGTGGTGTAGAGCCATGAGATGGCTTGGCGGAAGATATTGGCCATGGCCTGTCTCTGTGAGTTGGAGGATCTTCGCGGGGATTCCTAACGAGTGGCTGGGGGGGTCCAAGGCGAAGGTTACCGCTTCGGCTCAATTCGGCCAAAATTCTATACGCAGGTCAGTATGCTCGTCCTGTTCTGGTTGTTGCTTGACTGCTCACCTGGGCCTTGCCTCTTGACTGTTGAGCTTGACCAGTGGGAGATGGGTGAGGTGAGACGGAAGCTGGAGTGGTAAAAGGGGCTCCACTGGTAGTTGCCTAGGATTTTCGACGCCCGAAAGGGGTTTAGCGCATCTATCGGCAACTTGAACTTTGTCATAACGTCCCTTGGGCAGCGATCCTCCTCTAGTGAATCCATGGCGAGGCCCATTCGCCGTATAGGTGGCCGCTGTAGTTCTCAGTGGGAATGCCTGTGCAAAGCCGAGTCTCGGTAGGCTGCCGTATTGTTTTCCGATAACCGAGCTAGCAATTGCTTTCAACGTCTTTGCAGATTTGCAGTTGTGGGTGCTAAATCACTTTGGTCATAACCCTACGCTTGTGCGACAGTTGATCTAATCAGAGATGAGAGTTGAGTTGATAGAGGCATGGGTTATCAATTGTGAAAGGAATGGAAATCGCAGACCGGAAATCTCTCAGCCACTCTGACTCTCCAGTGCTGCCGCAGCAAATCGAGATCGCTATTTGGGTGAGATGGTCCAGGAATCCGGGAACCGGTGGATTTACGTAACATCCTGCTGGTTCTCCGTACTAAGCTTCTTGCGTGAAAGGCGTTTCCTATTTATTAGTTTGCTCTGCATGGAGAGTCAAATACATAAACCGGGGGCCTTTCACCCTTGCAATTGAGAATATTTTCCTCGTCTCAAAACATATTGGCAGCACAACTCAGTCGTTCCGTGACACAGGTCGCCCATCATGAGCCCTTCTTTCATTCAAAAGGCCGCGGCTGAGCGCCAGACACAAAATTTGACTGAAAAGACCCCGGTCAAGACAACCACAGAGATCAGCGCCGATAATGATGTCGAAGGCGAGAAAGAGGATGGCTAGAATGGTGTCAAGAAGATCCAGGCGATCACCAGGGCCTGAATTGAAGGGCACTCATCTTCACTTACAGACTGGAGAAGATAACAGTACTTGCTCTGACGTATCTGTCTTAACTAGTACCTGGGTCACGTCCTACATCCATTCGATGCAAGAACAGATGAACAGCAACCTCGGACCTTACATAACTTCGTCACTCCACCGTCACGTCCTCACTGCAACGACAGGCATCGTCTCGAGCTTGGCTAGCGGCGTCTCGCAGTTGCCGCTCGCCAAGATTCTCAACATCTTTGGTCGCATAGAAGGCTACATGTCGGCACATCTTCTCTGCTGTTTCGGTTTGATCGTGATGGCTGTTTGCCGCAACATGAAGACCTACACCGCAGCACACGTTCGTGACCTGGCTTTGGTTGCTCAACCTAATTTTAACCTTGTCGACCTAGGTCTTTTGGGCTATTGGAAGTGGTAGTATTGGCTACATCCAGACCGTCCTGATCTACGACATCACCTACATCCATAATCGCATGATTATCTACATGCTCAACTCGACGGCGTACAATGCCAATGTATTCACTGGACCCATCCGTGCGCGGCTCTCCAACAATTATAGCAGCTTCTGATGGGCCGTTGGCTCCTTTGCCATGTTTTCCCTGCCTCTGGTTCCATGGTTACAATCAGGCTTTAGTGGAACCTCCAGAAGGCCAAGAAGCTGGGTTAAGGGCCGGAGCTGAAGCAGAGCGGTCGATCCCTAAAGGAGTCCTTCCTCTTTATTGCACAGAGCTTGATGGCCAGCTCGAATAAATATCGCCAATGGAAGACCTCAGTTAACGAACTATCCTGGGATTGGCCGCCGTCGCTGGTGTCATTGGCTTGAGTTTCAGGTAACTATTTACGCACAGCACTGTCTTTAAACAAACACCGACACCTTCGACTAATTCATGGGACTCCTTGTCCCCATCCTATCTTCATCGCCAGACTATCAGCCAAGCTGGGTTCATCGGCAACATCTACACGATTGCGCCTCGCACCGAGGGTCCTATCGTGTAACTGTAAGTATTGTCTCCGTCGACAACCCAAATTGTTTTGAATACCAAAAAGTATTAGTTTGCTTCGTTAGACCCACCACTACAAGTGAATTGCCTGCGCCGCCATCTCCGTTCCCTGCCTATCGACCGTCCTCCTCATCCATTTACGAACGCCCGAAACCTACACAGGCCACATCATCATGTGCTAGATCCTCAAGGCCGTGTCAACCGGAACCAACATCATTTGCGAACAGCTGGCTGTGATGTCCGTGGTGGCGCACAACGAACTCAGCATGAAGCTGGCTCTCATCAGCCTGGCTACCTCGGTCGGCCGCTCTATCGGCCGCGCCATCTCTGGTGCCATCTGGACCAACGAATTTCTCGGCTTCTTGATCAAGCATCCACCCGAAGACAAAAAGAGCGAAGCTATTACGATTTACAGGGATATCAAGGTCCAGCTATCTTACGCTTGGGAAACCCTGGCTCGCGCTGGCATTGTGCATGCTTACAGAGATGTTCAGCGTCACATGGGTGCGGCTTTCATGCCGCTGGCGCTTGTTTGTGTCTTTTGTGGAAGAATGTCACCGTGGTGAAGGTGCACCAAATCAAGTGGGCCAATTCTTCTATGGCAATTGTACTGTTTGCTTGATTGAAGTGCGCTTAGCTCTGATGATACACGTATATGATCGCCTGGCGTTGCAAAAGAGAGACTGTGGTATTTCTCGATAGCGAATCAGCATACTGTGCTTGTTGATATGCACACAACTGGAAATCTGCCGAGTCTCTGCAGTTAAATCATCTTGGGGTAGAAGTCGAGCACAACACGGCTCCCTCCCAATGACACAATGCCTGCCGGTTTCCACCTCTTGATCAAAAAATCGTCCATAGCTACCGGAGGGTAAGATGCTAGCTCTGGTAGTTTCTGGGGCTTCCGCGACCCTATACGGCTCAGTATCCTAGTGAACCCCTTCTTCTTAGTTTCTGACGCGCTGAGCAAAAGAGATTCCAATTCTACCAGGTTCTTTGGTTTCATCATTTGGAGAATCTGAAGAATTTGAGTCAATGATATTCTGAACAATGATTTTGGTGGGATTTGGCCTTGCGATTCTGGCCTAGGATTCTTGGGATAGCCTCTATAATCGTATTCTTCAATGAGTACCTCCACTTTTACGTCTACACCGTAGCGAAGAAGCTTTTCAAGGATCGACAGCGTATGAGTCATCAAAGGCAATGGTGCTTCAAATTTGGGTCTGCAGAAGGAGCCTTGAGAGCTGATTCTGGGATGTATGCCCAATTGCATCACGAGGTCGCACAGGAAGGCCTCCCAGACGGATACAGAGACCTCTCCACTCGTCGCCGAGCTCCAGGCCGAAACATAGTTGTTTGGATTCCAACCTCTTTCGAGGAGAAGACCTACGAGATTCAGATCTGATGAGTTGGATGCTGAATATAGAAGGTTGGTTCCAAATGCATCAACCGAAGTCGGGTTATCCATCCTCGTAATAGTTTTCTCAACGTATTCGGTGGCACCATAAATGGCAGCGAGGTGAAGGAAAGAAAAAGGCCCCCATTCACGAGAATCACCCTCCCACTGTAGAGTTTGGTACATGAACATGAAATATTTCGGGATCCAAATCTTCTGCACAAGCCGAGGTGAGGAACGCGACCGCTTGCTGCTTTCTTCGCTGGAGTCTTTCACATCGCAAACAACGTCTTCCAGCTTTTGAACGGGAACAGTAGAGAAATCATATCTCTGCCTTTGCGACTTTCCGATGTTATGAAGAAACTCCAACATTTTGGTATAAATTGGGACCGAGTCGTTTGCTAGGTATGATTCTGGGCAGTACTTGATTTCTGCTACAAATAGCTCAAGTTTCGCTTCAGCCTCTCGTTGTTGGGATGAAATAGGTCGGTGTTTGATTTTAGGCAGCCACTCTTCTGTTAAAAAGTCCTTGACGGTTCGATGAAAAAAGCCGACATGAAATTTGAAGTACGAAGGATTGTCAGATATGTTCATCACGGGTGAAAGACTCGGACTTTTTTCCATACAGAGAAGGCCCTTCGTCAAGCTGTATAATAGATTTCGTGCTCTTTCGTGCTCGAAATCGATCTGAGTCTCAGTGTATCTTTCAGCACAGGAACGAGTCGGCAAACCCATGACCTCTTGCAGAATACGGGATTCATCCAGCCAGGATAGTGCCAGGGCGTTTAGTCGAGTATCGGGAAACATCCGGCTAGCTGCCAATTGTAAAATAACAGTTGATCGTAATTTTACCGATGGGGATGTATTAATGCTGTAGAGCATCCGATGGAAGAGTTGATTGAGATCCTTGGGGCATTCTTCCAGTCTTTTGCGAAGAGAAGTCTCGTCTTCGTGTTCAAGAGCCGCGTTCAATAGAGCCCTGACAACGAGACTGGCCCAGAGAAAGACGCCATTGGCGTTTTCCGCTATTATCTGGGTCATTTGCAGACATGCCGTCTGACCTTGCTTGAATTTGGGCTCCGTCAAATGCTCTTCGAATTGAGTTTTGGCAAAATTGTGTATGTCGGCTTTTGTCAAGTGGTGCAGGTTGAAGAACGTCTCGTCGGCGCCGAAAATGTCGACAATGACGTTAGATGGCCGGGCAGAGCATATGATTTTGATATTGTCAGCCCGTGCCCATGCTTGTAGCATCTTTGCGAGAATTTTCTGCTCTAAAGGATCTCCCTCATATTCGTCTAGTCCATCAACGAAGTAACAGAACAGATAGCCCGCAGTGTTCCTCAGCGACTGCAAGCGACTGAAGGCTGCCTTCAACTCTGATAATGAGATTCCCACTTGTAGAGGGGACGAGGCGGTGCCGATGGGATTGGGGAAAACTTTATCGAGCAATTCGGGGCATTGTCTCAAAGTGTGGAACAGGATGGTGCGGTAGAAGCCTTCCAAAGACTTTTGTAACGGAAGACCAGAGTTCCAGAAGAACGTGTTGACGAGAACGAGCTTCCGTCCATTTGCACATTCTGCTAGCGTTTCTCTCACGCTAGGTTGGTGGCTTAGAAACTTCATCAGAGTTGACTTTCCACTACCAGCTTTTCCACAGATGAAGAATACCTCTCCCCTAAATTTTAAAAAGGAAAGCAAGGAGCTTGACATGCCTTCCCGGTTTTGAGTTTCTGCAAGTAAAACCCTCTGCCAATGGTTGCCGATGAGTGTTTGCTTGACTCCTTTGTCTGTATCTGACAGCAAGCTAGGGGAAAGTTGCCCAGACTTTTCGGAAGAAGACGAGACTTCTTTGTCATTTGGATATTGGTTTGCGACTGGCGGAAAGCTATCGACTATCCACGCAAAGGTATCTGATGCAGCGTCGGAAACGTTGTTCTCTCTCTGAAAAATTGCATCAAAATACAAGTTCTCCAGTATCTTGTTCTCTACTTGGACGACGTTGGTCAACGATTTGAGGTCGTTGATAAGCCTGGCAAGATCTTTCAGATCGTTCACGTAGGGTGAAATTTCGTCGGCTTGGTCCGTTATGGAGGTTCCGTGGCATGTTTTGCGAGCTGTTTCTTCAGCTGGGTCGTCTCGGTGAAGTACGTTATCAAGTTGTGAATGTGGCTCATTGCGATACCAGTCTATTGGCTTCTGTTCTTCCGAGAACGGTCGGGACTTTTCTTTTTGCATGCTCTCCAGCACCTCAGAAAGTTGATTGTGCAGTGCGTCTAATTTGGCAGCGTGCTCATTCTCAAATCGACTGCTGTCGTATCGGATTCGTTCTAGTTGGGCTTTGATTGGTGATTGATCCCGGCTGCAAAATGTTCAATCAATTTCCAGTCTCTTTTGCTGGGAAACCAACCACTTACGAGATGCTGAGGGTAAGATGGAGGAGAATCTGTTGACGATACTGGTCCAACCTTCTCTCAATCGAAGCGATGTCTTTCTGTTTGCGCGCACCAACGACAGCGGCCTTGAAACTCTGAAGAAGCTTCTTTTCCCGCCTCTCGAGCCTTGCAAGAAGCTTTAATAGATCGTTGGATAAGCCTCGACACTGCTCTGACAAGTGCGCTAACTCCGGGTCATGTCTTTCGTTGGAACTTGGTCCCAGTTCGGCTGTAGCCCTTTGCAGGTCGGTGATGACATTGCTGACATGTGCGTTCTCGGCTGTAGCCCCCGTCGCGGACTTGTATATCTCGTAGGTTCCCTTTGCAATCTTGTAGGATATGTCAATGAATGTCAAGATACTCGAAGCTAGGCCAGCGGCCTCCATGATGCAGTCGGTTGGAGAGTGGTCCTGGACTGAGAGGGAAGATAATATCCAAGATAGATAAGCTGGGAGGGGGCTGGAGGAGATTGAGGGGTTTTTTTGCCGCCGACAGGCTGTGGTCAAGTCGAGCCTGCGTTCACATTTCTCATGCAGGTTTGAGGCGTTGGCCAATCCTTTTGCCCCTCGACCAGCCCGAAGCTGCCCTATCAGGTGAGTGAGGCCTTCTATTGAGGCCAACGATCCTTGCTGTACGTCCTCTTCGAGGGGGTTTATTTCTTAATTCGTACGTAGCTCTCGAGTAGATGCCATTCATATTGTTCAAATGATTTGCAGATATCGATGTAATTTCCTCGATGCCACGGACGTTGTTACGAAAAAAAGGAACAAGAAGGCGTCCTAGTATTGTCTAGGTGCGGAACGCTGTGATCGCAGTCATATGACCTAGCCGAGACAGTCTCGAAATCCATTATCCATCGCCTCATTATCTCATAGACCTTTCGACACATACTGTCTTGGGATCCCAGCTCCAACCATATTAACGACTAGCGCATGTCATCAATCAGCAATGAAGCGTCCCAGCCTGTGATGGCTGATCACCACCATTCTCCCCTTAACTGCCGCCTTGCCCAAAAGCACAGTTGAACTCGGACCAGTTATCCCCTGCATGAAAATCGATAAAGTCTCCCCATTCAACAACCTCCACCATCGCCGCCTCCACCGCCGCCTCCATCCCCACCGTTTCCTCCTCCGAAACCACCAAACCCTCTGCTAAAACCACTCCACAGTTTCTCGGTGTGCATACCATGATGATTGCCGCGGTACGTGTGCTGTTCGGAGTGCTTCGGAGGCTGTCCATCGCTCAATAGGGGCATGGGAGCAGGCAATTCGCCCCAGTATGGCTGCGTGAAGGCGCGAGGCTTCTCATAACCGTTACTGTTTCGCTTCTTGGAGCCGAATGCCAGGCACATGTTGGCAAAAACACTTAATTTGAGGATTTTTCTTTTCAAAAGTAATAGCGTGATGTGGATATTCTTTTCGCAAAGGCTGAATATGCATGGAAACAACGGGGTTGAGAGGCTGGTCCATTACAATTGGCTTTTTGCAAGGACAGAGATCGGATTTATGTGGGATTTGATATTGAAAAGAGTGTCGCGATGATCATCGCCCCTACAGGAAAGTAAGAGTAGACCTCGCTGACGTCGTGCGCCCTGTGTTTTTGTCTCAGCTGCTTCTGTATGTGAGACACTGGGACGTGACTCTAACTTGTACGACGTGATCCCTTCGCCGCTGCTCCGCCATCAATGACTTGGCAAAGACATGCAAATACTGCATTGGTTTGCGGTATGTCGAATTTGTGGAGTTTGAAGTCTTGTCTTGGTGCCTGCGGTTGCCTCAAAGCACTTAGAGGCTCTTGACGGGACTGCGACGACATTGGGCTGATGATACTGTTGATACTGGCTGAATGATGATCGTCCGTGGAATAAGCACCCGGCTCATTGATTACCAAGGTGTCCAGTCCGTAAAAAAAAAAAAAAAAAAAACTGTGATAAAAAAAATCCACTTGCAACACCCACGGCACAACGCTGTACTATTGTGATTACGGATGGATTGGGCGCATGCGATGGAAAAACTACGTACTGCTGACTATTGCTTGGGCCATCCCGCGGAACTCCGGATTATGAACCTCAACTTCTCGCAGTCGCAGAAAATCGTCGGTGGATAAGGTAAACCAGGTTGTAAAGAGTAATTGAGAGAAAAGGCTACAGCAGTTTTCTTTAAGTATAAAGCACATGCAAGATAGAACTAGTACTCTCATATTACAATGACCAAAACTTTTCATATTCTATCTGTTCTCTTTGTAGAGAACACCATTCTTGCGTCAAACTGTAGAACCATACTGAAAGTCGGATACAGACAACCAGAAACTGAAAATGTCGATTAATCAGTCACAAGCCTGGCGCATACGCAACAGGGTTCAGGGAGTTTGCACAAACGAAGGCATAGACCAGAACCTCTCGCTCGAGCAAGTGCCCAAACCTAGCCCCAAGGAAGGCCAAATCCTTGTCCAAATCTACGCCGCCTCCCTCAATTACCGAGACCTCCTGGTATTGACTTCGGATCCTGTTTACCTCAGCGGGGGTCCCGATGACGGCGTAGTCCCATTAGGCGATGGTGCCGGTGTCGTCGTCGAGGTCACTTCGCCGACGTCGAGGTGGAAGGTTGGTGATAAGGTCATCAACGCCACCAACTCGTCTTGGAAAGCTGGTCAGACTCAAGCGGCCTTTGACAATAAACTTGGACTCGGCGGGAAGGACGTTGATGGGGTCTTGCAGCAATACGCTGTCTTTGACGAGGATGCGCTGGCTCCTCTACCCTCTCACCTGACCTTTGAGGAAGCTGCAGCGCTCAGCGGTCCGTATGTTTCGGCCTGGAATGCACTCTTCGGGGGTCCCCAGCAATTGAAAAGAGGAGAAACTGTGGTGATTCAGGGTACTGGCGGTGTCAGTGTGGCCGGACTGCAGGTAAGTTGTGCTCTTGATCAAACAGCATCCTTTTTCACTTTGACTGACGCTCATCAGATTGCCGTCGCTGCCGGGGCCGAAGTCATTGCCTTTTCAACGTCAGAAGAAAAGCTCGGTCTCCTCCGCAAACTTGGTGCCAAACATGCCATCAACTACAAGAACAACTCCAACTGGAGCAAAGATGTTCTCGACCTGACGGGCGGGCGTGGTGCTGATCAAGTCCTTGACGTCGTCGGTGCTTCGACCATTGCAGAGTCGTTGCGTGCCTTGCGACAGGATGGCTTGATATCAGCCATTGGATTCATGTCTGCGTCTGAAAAACACGACCTGGTTTCAGAGCTCATTTTTGGTGCAAAGACCAGTAAGACACCATCTCACAACTCGGAAACCTTTTCGTCTAACTTTTTTCCTGTAGTTCGTGGCTTGATGTACGGCAGCCTGGGCATGCTCCAGGACCTAAGCGCCTTTGTTGAGAAACACGAGATCAAACCGATTATTGCTGAAGCTTTTGAATGGAATGATGCCAAGCTAGCCTATAAAGCCATGCTTGCTCAAGGCTTTGTTGGCAAGATTGTGGTCAAGGTCGGTTGATGGCAGACCAAGCGAGTTACACACATGAGGGGTTGGTAGCGTGATGCATTCGAAGATATTATGTCTAAAACGATGAAAAAAATTGACACGATTTGACTGTCTGGTATTCAAGCTAACGTTCCGTCGCTTTTGGGATGTCAATTGCCCTCATCAGAAAGCTACAAGTACGGCCATATGTACATTCTATCCGAACATTGAACCTTAGATGTAAGATCCTGTCGCATCTCTCTTTGAGGATATGTGCTTCCTTAGTAGAGAGCAAACAGCTTGCGCTGAGACGCGGAAAGCAAGGAATTGCACTGCTACCGGTAGCAGAATGGTATAGGTTGCCTCATGTGCACAATGATTAAGTAAGTATGGTGTCTGTTGTTGTTCGTCTCTATCGAACTCTGCCTCATTCAGCTAGCGCGTAAGCCAGCTACCGCACAAAAATGCTGCCTGGGATGAACTCCGTGTCAGCCCGAAAGCCGGTAGGATCTCAATGACGTCGTACATTTACAGTGTGTCTGCGTCTGTTGCGTAGAAAGATATCGAATGCAATCACGCGTTGACTTATAAAAAGCTCTTGGCTTCTTCGTCCGGCCTTGGCATTGATTAATTTGTTAGCAGTATTTCAAACCAGTAATCCGATCCTTATGGCGCCTCTCAATGTCTTGATCGTGGGCTGCAGCATTGCTGGACCGACGCTAGCCACGTTCTTGCTCATGTCGCCAGTACCTACGTCTGAAAAGCCGCGAATCACCGTGTTGGAGAGAGCATCCGTCTTTCGACCTCAAGGCCAAAACATCGACGTCCGCGGCGCTGGTGTAACCATCATTCGTAAGCTCGGCCTCGAGCCCGCCATCCGGGCAGCTACCACTGGCGAAGAAGGGGTGCAGTTGGTTGATAGGGAGAATCGAGTATGGGGAGCTTTCGAGGCGGACAAGAGTGGAAAGACGCAGACGCCGACGAGTGACATTGAGATTCTGCGAGGCCGACTGGCACAACTGCTACTCCACCGGAGCCAGAAAGTCAATGAAGAAGTCCAGGCCGACGGCGGCGCTGGCATCGAGTACATCTTTGGCGATTCTCTTGATCATCTGGAACAAGATGGCGACAAGGTACACGTTCACTTCGCCAAAAGCGGGGAGAGGCGCACTTTTGATTTGGTTGTAGGAGCAGATGGTGTTCAAAGTCGAACTCGAATCCTGGCGTGGGGCGAGGACGGCGAGGAAAACAGGAAGAGAAGGCTCGGGTTATACGGAGGCTTCTTCAGCATGCCTCGTGGTCCAACCGACACGGCATGGCGTCGCTGGTTCCATGCACCTGGTCGACGGGGCATCATGATCCGTCCATCTGGTACGGAAGACAAGACAACTGTGTTCATGACCGTCGTCAACGAGAAAGACGAACGGCTGCGGGCTGTCTTGGAGAAAAAAGGTGGAAGCACGGATGCTCAAAAAGCCATTCTGAAAGAGTATTTTCAGGGCCTCGGATGGGAGACGGATCGCGTCATCAAGGAGATGATTGCCACAGACGACTTCTACTACGACGCAGTTTGTCAGATCAAGATGGAGAAATGGAGCAAGGGGAGAGTCGTGCTCTTGGGTGATGCTGGGTACTGCGCTTCTCCTCTATCCGGCATGGGGACGACTTTGGCAATGAGCGGTGCTTACAACCTGGCGGGTGCGATTCTACGGCACCCGGACAATCTGGAGGCCGCCTTTGGCGACTACGAAGAGAAGATGCGCCCTACTGTTGCTCGCGCACAGAAATTGGCGCCAGGTATGCCTCATTTGGTCCATCCTGAGACGGCCTGGGGAGTCTGGTTTCTGAACACCATCGTGTTTGTTATCTACTGGTCAGGGCTGTTTTCCTTTGTGGGAAAGTTCATTGGACCGCCGGCAAACAACGTCCCGGTTGAAGAATACGGGTTCATATCATTGCCGAATTATAAGGATTAATTAGAGACTTCGAGGCGTTGAGATTTCTGTTGCATTGTAGAGAATCACTGCTCATTTTTCAGCAATCGCATATACTAGATCAAGAGACCTGCGGTTGTAGTAAAATGTTCACTGAACATGGCTGAATATAATGCAGTGAGCGTCCAGAATGCGTCAACGAATACCTCGTCTTGTGACATGCAACCCAGTTGCACAAGGCAGACTTTACAACCCATGGAACCTGTGTCACTTGCATTAAATGGACCTTAAGGACTTGGTCGCCTTGCCTGCGCCGTCTGAAAACGGGTTGACTTCAATGCGTGCGAACTCGGTGACAGAATAATTGCAACTTCTGCAACATCTAGAGACCCTTCATCGCGAATGATTTTCCATCTAGGTTCTCCTAAGTTTGTCTAGCAATTGATTGCCTCCTGAAACTGAACGTAGGCGTGCTGGGCTTTGAACACAGTCTTGACTTTCTTCTTCCAAACACCGTCATCCAAGTCGATATAGGGCAATCATGATCATGTTAGTACTCTCAACAATGATCACGATAAAAGAGTTTGACCGCCACATGTTGATACAAAGCGAATTATGGCGTGCCAGACATTGAAACCCTAAGTAAGTAGCGGAGGTCCGGGCAAATTATCTGAACTACTTTTTGCTCCGACGGAGGCTTCAGAGTGGCCATTGACAGTGTATAAATAGTCATTGGACCCATTACTTACCAGGTTGGGGCAAAGTATCCAGCCGACCGCCCAAGAAATGGCCGGGTCGCGCGGCCACCGAGGTTGTGTGTTAAAAAGAAATAACGATAAAAAACGAAACATGTGCAAATGCTTCCAAGTTGGGCGAAGGCGCAGTGTCAGCAGTTCTCTCATATTTCGGGACCCGACCTCGCCTCTTCCGACAACAAGACATGCCAATTTCCCACGCTCTTTGCTGTTCACTCCTCGGCTCCCCGCATCGTCTGATTACAAACCGAGGACTCGCCTAACAGATCGACGAGTGGCTGAAGGACCCTTGCTATAGACCTATCGCTTAACGGAGGGGGGAGACATGGACGACAGCCAGCTGGACGCCAGTGGTCATGAGGATGGGCCTGACGATGGGCCTGAGCTGTCCTCGGCGAATCCTCAGATTGCGATTCGTAGGGCTGTAAGTGATACAGGATGATTTTCGAAGCCTTCTTTTCGTACTGACTGCATTACCTAGTGTGATGCTTGCCGTGCTCGCAAGGTGAGTTTGCTTGTGAAGAGTCATTTACGCACAATCCTTTCCTTTTGCCCACCACCTGAGGTCAACAACAACGTGGCGTGGCATTCCCAAATCTTGGCGCAAACACTTATGAAGCAAGGGTCATACTGATCTAAGTCTAGATCCGTTGCAACAGAGAATCTCCATGTTCATATTGCACCCACGCCAAGATCGAATGTACCCATGCCGATAATAAGCCCAAGGAGAAGCGAACGAGAATCCTCATCACTCCACAATAGTAAGTAGGCATTTCACTTTTCAATCTGGTTATCAGTGCGTACCAGCCTGCAGAAGCACACCGCAGTGTGTAATCTCAACGCCAGACGCTGGCTCCAAACGATTTGTATGAATTCCACTAACATAATTGGCACAGTGAGCGTAAGATTGATCAGATTGACCGTCGGCTCGAGACGGTTATCCACCTCCTGCAAGACATGAAAGTGAATCCATCTACAAATTCAAGTCAAGCAGAATTACATAATTCTACCACGTGCACGCCTCAAATCGAAGTCGAAGGCCGACGATGTTCCGCTAAACGGGTCTCGCCCACATCAACGGCTGCAACTACTGCAATACATTCAGACGACGGCGAGGGCGGCATAGTCGAGGGAGATTCTTCTCTCGCAGCACATTCCGTGTTTGCAACTGAATTCCTCCAAAAGGTTGTGAGCACAGAGTCACTGCAGGATTCAAGTCTAGACCTTGGCGAAACTCTTGATGCATTGTCCCAAATCGTCAATGCTCTGAAGCAACCAGCTGCCGCAGGGGAAATGACGTATCCTCATGCGAAGCCTCTCACCCGAGTTCGGGCTCAGGGACTAGAGCTACCACCCATCGAGAAGGCCGTACATACTATCCGAATAGCGAAAAGTAAGATGATATGCCTAAGATTTACGATTATGTCAATCCTCGCTAACCGCATGAACGGTAAATAGGTCAACGTCTCACGGGCATGTCCTGGATCTATGACTTCTTGCCTTCCCGCCGATTCCCAGATCTGTGCCTCAATGTCTACTTTTCAGACAATTATTCAGAGTATGATTACATCACTGTGAACGGCGGGCTGTTTTCGCTGTTCACAGACTATGCCGCACAAGTATCCGTGGATGAACAGAAAGAGTACTATGAATACGCCAAGTAAGTACAGTCGATGGACTGATCGCTTGAAAAGCGACGGGAACTAACTCGTAGCAGGATATGCCGTGTGAATCTGGAGACCTGCTTGGCAAACCTACCGCTTCATCTACCGGCATCTTGTGACGTGATTGTCGCGCTTCTATTCGGAGTAAGTGCAGAACATTGTCATAGCCAGGCAACTAGAACATAACTGACTACTCGGAAGACTTTCCACGCTGTCGAAATGTCAAAACCCACCCTTGCTTGGACATTGTCCTCCAAAGCATCAGAATTGTGTCAAACGCTAGGCTATCATCGAGCAGAATCTCTCAAGAACACAAATGATGATGGCAAGCCGACAGTTCATGGGATGCACTGGCATCAATTCCTCTTTTGGAACGTCTACTACATTGACAAGAGTCTCTCTCTTCGTCTCGGCAGAGCATCCACGATTCCGGACTGGCACATCAGTATGCCTCTACCGTCACTCAAAGAGCCCACAGCAAGTCCGATTCTGCTGTATCTCTTGTTGTGGATTCGGACGGCAAAGTGCCAGGGTCAAATTTACGAGCTGCTTTACAGCCCCGACTCAATGATTCAGCCGTATCACGTACGACAGACGCGGGTGCATGAACTAGTTTCCTTGCTCCATGACATTGATATTAAAACACAGGAGACGAACGTAAGTGTGAGACTGCCACTGGAAAGTCAACATGGCTAATAAAGTAAAGGCCTACTACCAGGCGTTCACCAAAAATCCCGTAGAAGAGCACTCTACCGAGTTTTACCTGTCTTCCGACCACGTCCTACGTCTCTCACTTCTCACTCTAGTTTACCGGGCAGCCCCGCGTGTTGAGGGTTCACCAACAACATTCAGCCCCGAGTGCATCAAGGCCGCACGAGCAGCACTTGAGAAGCACCAAGAATGCGTTGCCGTCATGCGCAAGTCTCAAAATGTTTACTTTGCAAGCTATATTCATTGGTCAGTCAACGCAACATTTGCACCAGTGCGGTTTTTAATCCAGTTTCTTCTTTTGTACAGGACCGTGCTTTTTGCACCATTCATTCCGTTTATTGTTCTGTTCTGCCAAGTAATCGAAACCCAAGACAAAGAAGACTTGGCACGCCTACATTCGTTCGTTGTATTCTTGCAAGAGACATCAACCATGTCCGATGCTGCAGCAAAGATGTGCCGCCTATTCCAAGTCCTCTACAGTGTTGCTCTCCGTTTCGTGGAGTTCCGTGCGTCAACTCCCCAGTCTCGGCAGACGCAAGCGAGCGCCGAGATGGACGCGTACCTGGCGGCCTTGGGGTTTCCGCCCAAGGGAATCGCCGAGGGGGGACAACAGCAACAGCAGCAACAGCAGCAACAACCTACGGCGTTCGCCCAGATTACGAGCACGGCGCCTGATGTGATGTCCATGTCCGGGATCGCTGGCGTGGGCGTCGATGCCATGGATGAGAGCTTGCGGCCTGGGAATCCGATGATGTGGATGACGAACGCCGCTCAATTGGAAGATTTCTTTTACACCAATACGGCGATGATGGAACTGCTTCAAGATCCTGGTTTTGAGCCATCTCAACAGAACTAAAAGCTAGAACAGCTTCACCAGACTATATTTTGTTGTTCTGCGGGCTGTTCGAGACAAGCATGACCATGACAGCATCAGATGCATCTTGTGCATTCGTCTCTAAATGTGCAAGTTACAGATAAGTATAATGGCTGTGCAGGGCAGACTGCAGTCGCCCAAGGGGACCAAAAGCGCAAAGACCTGGCGCCAGACGGTGCAAGCATACTGTGCTCTGAATTTGACATTTTCGAAGGACACATGTATCTTTCCAGCTCTCTCCGGCATTGCGAAAGCATGGAATGCCAAGTATGAGGAATTATATTGAGCAGGTCTTTGGGTGGACTCATTGCATCTAGATCTTCTATGGCTCGTCTACAAGCCTGAACGGCGTCCCGACGCACGGAGGGCCCCGACATGGTCATGGGGGTCTCTTGAGTATCGTAATGATGAGTTCATCCGATTTGGTTCTAAGTCGGACTGCAGAAATCCAGGCAAGGGAAGCTGGTTTTCGTTGGGGAAGACAGGGAGCGAAGATTATACCCCTGTTGCGGATATTCTGGAGGCAGTTTGCGTCCCGGCTGGTATTTGATCGATCCAACTGGAGAGCTCAGTTCTACCCATATCTTGCTGTCAACATTTACGGTCTCCGGATCATTAGTAAAATGGCCTGGTGTACTCGTTAAATACGGTGTCAGTCCCATCTGGCTCGTTGTCGTGGACTAGTGGATTAGCCAGGGCGACAGCCACACTAGAGGTTTGCAGCTGGATACCCCAATCATCGGGGCAAACGCCGCGTGATCAATTCCTGTTTACATAATTCGCATAACAGACGTTGCTCTCAAGACCAGCGAATTTCCTGAGATGGCACGTTTCGTTATCCGACTGAAAGAGGCAGCAATGGTAGACGGCGAGGTTGAGTATGAACGTCTGGGGTACATCCGGTTTGTGGAGCAGCGGCTCTCGCAAACGCCTGTCATACCGAATGAAGAACAGGATTTAGAGCCGAGCATCCAAGGCTGGCTTGTGAGATACAAGGAGGATGTCAAAGGTATAGACAGGCCAGAATCGAAAACAACAGTATCAAATCTGGACTGGAGAGGCTCAAACATCGCTTCGAAGAGCCAGTGCCCCATACTTTTAAAATAGTGTAGCCCTCTCAATCTGTTTCCTGCCTACATGTACTTATGTATTCAACAATAAGACTTTTCACTAGTCTCTCAAATTTTCCCGGCTTTGCACCAATGAAGTAAGTCTTTCTTCACATCTCACTCATTAGTAGATTGTGAGAGATGTCTCCGGCTTTGCAGATGGTTCCCACACATGTCGAAACCAACCCTCCCTTTCTGTCCTATCATTGCATATGATCTCGAGTGACCCAACCCGGATATAGGAGCTCGTTGCATCTTTGGAAATGACTAGGAAAAAGTCTCGAGTGCGTTTCATACTGTTGTCCCTGCCACCTAATCCGTACCCTTTTATATAGAGCAACTCAGCTGCAAGGAAGGCGCAATGCTTACACACTTTTGGGTAATCCGCCGGTTTTTCGTAGCGTATAAAACAGCAGTCCATTCGTTCGACCGAAGGATCAACCCATAATACTGGTTTGGCTGGTCCGAATTCAAGAGGCCCATCGCCCGTTGCTGGCGCACAGTCTTGCCGCTCTCCCCCATCACTCTGGGCGTAGAGGCGGTACTTACCATAGATCCGGTCTGAATAACGCCTCTTTACATCCCAACGTGAGCAAGCTCTGTGTATTTTGATGGACATATGCCTTGCCCTAACCCTCAGGAAGCCATGGGACACCGAACCATAAGGATCAGCCCCGGCAGGTGGACAAGTCACCTGGACTGTCTCTATAATCCCAGATGTTGGGTATTCTAACTCCTGGGCGCCTTGGAAAACCGGATAGCCTACTTTGCAGCCACTTCCTGTGGAAGCCCAAGACCAAGTCGGGGCTATCCATCCCCGTCGCAAAATTTTGGCACGCTGCGCCACCCAATCCGCCACGGCCACGACACGCCACATGAGGTCTTGTTCAAAGTTTCGTTTCCACATCCCGGCTAGGAATGTGTCTTTCGTCACCTCAGCAGTCTCGTGCGCCAGGCCCGATAGTGCCGGTAGCATGTCGCCTGTGAATGTGAGGTTGAGGCAGGTGTACTCAGTAATCACACCATGCCATCTCCCATAGGGGTCGATCTTCCCGTCTTTTGTGATGATGGCGGTGGGAGGTATGATCTTTGGCTTGTTCAGTAGTGCTAGATAATTCGACTTGGACTGCAGCGGCGTGTATGTACCGGAAAGGCGTATGAGATTGTGCCAGCTGTAGTGTTGCTTCCCGCCACATTCGCAAGTGTACCCGCTGGCACAGTCAAAAGCCATCTCCCCATAGTTGCAGTGAATAATTCGTCGCGAGAGAAGGCGTTCTTGGAGACACCAAGCCCTGTTGAAAAGTGGGATGTACTCCTGAACCTTGGCATACTCTGATAACTTGTCTCTCTTTTCGCCAAAAATCAAGGAGATGAAGAATTCGTCACAATTGTCGTTCTCGATCTTGAAAAACTGACATGGTGTTGTACGAGAATAGCAGCCTCCATGAGAGTTGTGAGACCAGCTTACGGCAATAGTCGCGTATGAGTTCCGGTAGACATTTACCATTTCAGCTGCCTCTCTCTCCCAGTCGCCTTTGTCATCTTGTATGATGCATAGTGAATCAATCCAAAGATAGCGGACCCCAAGCTTCCTCGTGATCTCGACTGCTTGTTGGAAGCTAGGTGGAAGTAGGCACCAAGGAATGAGGTTAAGCCGCCTCTTGAGGCTATGAGTCTCCGTTTTGGATTTGATCTTGATCTTTCCCCAGCAATGGCTTAGACAGATGTAAGTGCCTGTTTGTCCAGACGTTTCCACTAGTCGGACTCCAAGTCTGTCTCCAGGCTGCCTCACATCGATGAGTCTTGTGGGCAATCTCGTGTCTTTACCCTTGCCGCATTTTCCGTGCAGCTCACAGTTGTTTAACCAAGCCTGAATCCTCTGGAAACTTGTATCAGAAGAAGTGTCTCCGGTCACACCGTTCGTAGTTTCTAGCCGGCGAAAGACGTTGCTGGAACCCGCAAGGTTGAGTAGTCTCACAAAATACTCTTTGCCATCTGGGGCTTCCAGCTCTAGAGTACCGCTGTGACGGATGGTCCACCGGATGATCGTAGACGGAATGAGTCCTCCAAAATGCTTGGCAGGTATGCTGTCGAGGAAAGTTTTGACGGCCTTGCAGCTTCCACATCCATTGACCGCGGAGGCATCTAACTCCTTATACGTGAAAGCCTTTCCCCGAACCAGTTTGTACTTTCCGTGCTTGAGGAGCTCCTCATGGTCTGCTTTAGATTGCTTGATGGCTTGTGGAGATAGAGTTTGCCTTGACCTTATAACCGCGCACTGTTGCAAGCAGCCTGCTGTCCCAAATACGTCGAAGAAGTCAAAGGATCTTGGTTGTGTGTCGCTCTTTGAGCGGACTTTGGGAGCATCTTCTAGGAGCATAGGTACGATCTGCGCAGTGGCCATCTCGTTTTCAGTCGATATTATGGGGTTAAGCAAGAGGTTAATATCAAGGTATGAAGTCTTTAGATCTCGCAACAAGATTTCACGTGGGTAGAAAACCATGAGTTGCGGCCTGTAGGGATGGAAAATCTGGCTTATGTTGTCACACCTGCAAGCCTGCGCTATTTTCTCATCATCTGCATAAGTTATGCACCTCTGCTCCCCAACATCTTAAACACCAATAAGCACTAGACATCAGGCAGCCAGTTACAGCTTCTAGCCATTTTCAGCTAAGAGCCAGGACACCTCGCCGAGAATCCACGTCGCTCCTTGGCAACACAACACAGCCTGACCTCTCCGACTCGAGGCTTCCGTTGTATGCAGAAACACAAAACTCAAAGTTCCATGCGCCTGGATACAGAAACGTGATGCTGTACTCTGTGGAATCTGTCTCTCCATCTTCTGTAAAGCCTGGGTTCTCAGCGCGGTCCCTAACCCACACGCGGTATCCTGCCGCACTCTCCGAGCGTTTCCACTTGAGTTGTACGGTGTTTATTTCTTGGGCTTCAATTCGCAGTTGAGTTGGGACTTGTGGCTTGCCGCAGCCGGCTATGAAGCTCCGGCCTCCAGCCGGAACACCGCCTCCGTACTTTGTCCAGGTGCTGATCGCCAAGCCATAACGATGGCCTCCCGGCAGGTCATTGAATATCGCAACAGTCCCTCTCACGCCTGTACTTGCTGGGAATGATCCTGGTAATGACAGATCCACGAGGATAATCTCGTACCGGTCTACTTGCACTTTTTCCGGCGGCTCTTCCCACATGACAATGATCTTGTCCGTCTCCGGTTTCGTAGTGATATTCCTAGGCCCCGGAGCAGTTTTGGGATGGGCAATCGCCGAGACCGTGGTCGACCAGGCAGACTTGAGGCTTTCTCCATTGCAGGACCGAATTTGGTATTGGTACTCATCTCCTTCTCGTGTCCAAGTCGAGTCGTACTGAGCCACATCTACTCTCGCCTCGTTCCACGACAGACTCTCATTTTTTTGACTCCTTACGTCATAACCAAGGGCTCCATATGTCGGATCCCATGTCACCGAAATTCCGTATGGAACTGCTTCTGCGACAACATTCGCCGGCACTGGCGTCGGCCGTTGAGGAACTTCTTGCGGTATACTTAGTTCTTTTCTTCCAGACCGAAATTGCCGAAAGAGAGTCTGTGAGAAGGCTCTCGCGATTTGATATTCGCCCAATGCGTTCGGATGTAAGCCATCATAGCTTCCATGCGAGCAGTCATAGCCATGTCGGATTTCCACTAGTTTGGCCGGGGACTCAACAGTTGTCCAATTTTCGATTGATATTTGTAGAAGCTGGCTGTATTTTTCCACCATGGGAGGGAGCGTCTCTGCCCCATCCATTGGGGTCCGCATCGGTACGTCAGCAATCGCGAATTTGATGTCTGATTTTGCAGTGCGCGCGTTATTAACCAGTTCTCTCATGGCACCGAGAGTGTTTTCGGCGTCCGCAACTCCCCAGCCCATGTCGTTGAACCCAAGCATAACTAGCAAGTAGTCTGGACGGAATTGCGCCACCTGATCCTTGATGAGGTCCTTGCATTGTGTCGCCTGTCGGCCCCAGGCTGAAAAGTGGTGAGAGTTGAAATGCACGCCGGCGGCATAGCCTCCACGGTCGATTGCGACATCAGCTCCTGTCGGCAAGTCGTCCTCCAGAGCAGGTGGTTGCGGCGGGTGAGGTTGATCCGGGGTCTTCGTACCCCTGTAGGGGCCGACAAATTCGAAGTCGATACTCTCATGTTTGAGCCATTGCCATAGTCTGTATCGCCATGTGAAGTCCCCTTCGTGACCGTGAGACATGGAGTCGCCGACTATCATGATTCGAACTGGCCGATTGGTTCCTTGAATCATGTCGTCCATTTTGAGATTTCTATCGAGCCTGCACCTCAGCCGGCGGGAAGTAGCAATCATTCGCCTCGGCTATAGTGGAGGGCAGATGTTCATCTTTGGCTAAACTTTACATGAAGTGCAGACCGTGGGAAACCTTGATGTCGTCATGACACGGACATCCGCATCAAGTAGCGAATCGCATCAAGGTCGTATTCGGAATGGGATTGACTGTCGTCCAGTAACTCTCAGCTCGTATACCAGTGACAAGAAAGACTTGCTAGACTAGCTTCAGAGTCAACAAAAACGAAGTCGAAGTAATGAGAGCGGTAGTTTGGCTAACATGCGGATCCCTGCGCCGTTGAACAGGGCCAACCTGGGCAGATCTGGCTGACAATCCGGATGTGGGGTGCGGAGAGAGAATGTGCACCTCACCTCGCTTTCGATTAGGGCAGAATCACGACCCACCTTAGGAATATAATGAAAAGTCTTCACAGACCAAACATGAACATCCGATATGGTGTAGTGGCCAACATGATGCCCTCTCATGTCCTTGAGAGGTTAGGCATAGCCCCGAGTTCGATTCTCGGTTTCGGAAATCTTTTGTTTTTGTCACCTTTCCCCTGATATTTTAAAGAGAGATAGGTAGGTAGAAACGACTTGGTCCAAATGGCTGCTGCCTACTTCCATCTTCGATTCAAACATCCCAATAGGTAATTAAGGAAGTAACATTCTACACGCAGCATGCGAACAGATGCCAAGATACATGCTTCAAAGTACTATGATTCGCACTTCTAAAGTTCTGAGTCTCCAAAAGGCTTTATCATGTTCCTTCTTACTAGCTAACACTACAATGTACGCATCCCTCATTCTCTCGCATCTTGCAGTCATCAATTATTCATGGCCTGCTTTTCTCTTCGTGAAAAGCTTCCCTTGACTTTCTTACTCCTTCGAAATGATGTGTGGGTTCGTGGGAGGTCCATACGCTTCGACCGTGTCTCTCTTGGTATCGACAGCCGGAATATGCGGATTCAGAGGCGGGCCGTAAGCCTCAACAACAGTATCCCTCTTCGAGATGATATGAGGGTTGGTGGGAGGACCATAGGCCTCGACGGCATCTTTCTTCGAGATGATGTGGGGGTTGGTGGGGGGCCCATAGGCTTCGACCGTGTCTCTCTTCGACTCAACGGCCGGGATATGAGGGTTCAGAGGAGGGCCGTACGCCTCAACGGCAACTGGCGCGGCGTAAGCAAGCGAAGCACAAGCCGCGACGGCGGTAAGAAGGGTCTGAACACGCATTTTGAAGTGGCGTGAGAAGGTCAATGAAGTTGAGTTTTCAAAGCAGTAACACTGGTTGGGAGCAATGTGGACTGGTAGTGACAAGACTTTCATCGTCACCGTACCGGTAGCCTTATATGTCTTGTTTCTCATTCCATACTCCCGCTTCTCCATGCCTCTTGTCCGGCTCGGCAGGATCACGACATACCAGTCGGAAGCACCCCGTGCGTTGACAAGATACAATACCATTGTACGCCCGCAGAACGCACAATCCGGAACAGAAGCCGTCGATGTAACAATTAAAAATCCTTCGTTCCATTCCTTCGGCTGAATATCGCGCCTCTCATCCCAAACACTCCCTGCGTGAAGCTCAGATGAAGCAGTGAAGCCATTCGCGCCTGGCCAGACTCACTTCTCTACATTGTGACTGGCTGGTCCAAGTTCAACAAGGGTTGGATATTCTAGCCCCATATAGAAGGTGTGGACAAATCTCATAATGCCAAGCACGGCGTAGTCCAGTGTTCCCGGAAGGTCTGGGCAAGTGGAAAATAGTGTAACTTACCAGTCGAGTAAGCATCTGCACCGCAATTCAGCTCTTTACAGAGCTAGCGCCACCTCTATTCACCCCCGGTCCCGGCCCTTGCCGCTGTGTGACCAGTTAGTGTGGTTCCGGAGGGATGTTATCTCTCTTTTCGCCCCCCTGCCCCTCACTTGGACACGCTATGCAGTTGCTGACTCCATGGGACTTCATATCCACCAGACAGAAACGAGTGATCAGTCCGCTCAAGTTGCCCGACTTTGAAGCGAACCTTCTTTTTTCCTCGCCCCAAGGCTTTTGCCGAGGAGTCGACCCCTCAGTTTCGAGCAATAGATCTCAATCCGTACTTAATCGTCATTATCTTGGCAGATCCTTCTCGCTCTTGGCGCATCCTTCAGTGATCCTCATGTGTTACTTTAATTCGGGCCCGCTATACCATCCTAGAACGAGAGACTAGCTTTCATAACAACTGCCAGAATTTGAAAACGAGGCTTGACAGTATGCGGCAGGTGGTTTCATTGCAGCTGACGATTACAATTGATCACGACATCATCGGCATAATCCTTCTCTTCGGGATCGAGCGTGGAAGACCCGACACACTGCCGACATTCTGTCTGAGAGCCGGCTTCAATACGTCGAGTTGAAAAGTCCTCTTGAGTGTAAATTTGTCTTCGGCACCATCTCCGTCTTTGACGAAAATGAAGGAAATCTACCAGAGTGTCCCAGACCGAGACTCGGCAGAAGATTTGACCAACGAGGTAAGCGAAGCAAAATGCCCTCTTGAATCGAATAAAAGCTCAATAACAGATCCAAGTACTCATCATGGCGTGATTTTCGACATCAATTTCGAGGGGGATGGAGCCTTCAGTCAAAAATCATCTCTGCGATCAATGCATTGTTCTTCCTCACATCGTGCGGTGTTCTGCTCGTCTCTTGGAGATGGCTCAATGACCCGGTTCGACTAATGAAGCGGGTGTCGCCTTACAGTAAGCTGCTCTTCGTTTCTTACCTGAACCTAGATACTGACATGCACTACAGGTCCTATTCTTGACGATCTTCCCATCATACTAGAAACGGTCGAAGTCAAAGGCACGCTGTTCAACGATTATTCACCTCCACGTATTTGGCGTGGCCCACCTAGCGAAGTGGTCGACAAAGCCTGGGATGACATGGCACGTATTGAGTACTTCGGGGTAAGTGGTGATGCCCTCAGGAAGATGGGCAAGGATCCGAAAATCTCTGTTTCTATCCCGGAGGAGTGGGGCGTCGGATCGGACAAGTATCTTGTCGAGATCGATATGCAACATCAACTGCATTGCCTCAACGCAGTGCGCAAGTATGCTTACTTTGACTTCTACTACGGCAATCATTACAAGAACATGTAAGTTCTCTCGCAGAAGTGCCAGAAGGCCAACGTGTATTAACAGTTACGCCAGCTCGATAGCACCAAGGAGACACCAAGCACACTTGGAGCATTGCGTAAGTCCAGACTCTGCAGAAGACAACCGAGCCGAATTTGTTGACAAAAAAAACAACAGATAGATATACTCCTACAAGCTCTCACTTGCAACCCGAGCTTGGACTTGATCTCACATAATTGGATGAAGACACAAGAAAACCCGTACCCGGATTTCAACATCAAGAGGCAGTGTGTGGCACACGATCCTATCCTGAAGTGGCAACACAAGAATGGCATCTCAGAGCAGATTCTTAAATACAAGAACCTTCCGAGACCAGAGGGGTTCCCGGAAGTAGAACCGGAGCCTTCTATCTTGATGATCGGAGAAGATCTGGGCCATCACGAATGAAATGCTTGTCTCTTCGGATTGAAGGATTTGGAATGAGCCGGGCTTAGATGCTTTGAGAAACCTTACTCTATCTATCATGGATATCTGAAGAGTAATTGATTCGAGCAAATTCCGGCCAGATACAGTTGCGGAGATTGTTAATTCGCTGCCAAATGAAATAGTTTTGGAGTCGACAACCACTGAACTATCCATCGAAGTCCCTCGCAAAACTCCGTACACGGATTCTGCCAAATCACTTGACCAGCCAATCTAAAGAAAACTGCCTTTCTAGCTCGTCGCCAGGGACTCGACGTGATCTGCGCCAGTTCCGTGGGCTTTGAATTTCCAAGTATTGTGGAAGCAACTCTCGGCGCAGTCTCCTTCGTGAGTCGTGTGAGGGTCATAGTGCTCACGGTTTTTCCTCAAACAAGCTTCCTTCAGGTTACCATGGTTGTTTTGTGGCTGATAGTCGTCATCGTTATGAAGACGTCGGTGTAGAGACTCGTGCAAGATTGCGTTGCGAGGGATATCTCGTGGTCCACCCCCGTTGAGCGGGAAAGTAGTGAGTGCCCAACCGCCATTCTTATCGTCAAGTTCCCATCTTTTGATAAGAGGGCAAAATTCTGCAAAAGTTCATCAAGTCAGCCGCCTGGTCGAGATATGGAGATGTTGAGAGGTTGAGTCGCTTACCAAGGAGGTACCACATGAACGGCTTGAAGTAGCCCATCCCGTTTCCAAACCGAAGGAGGTCGTGAATCCATCCTTTCAGAGCCTGCGTCTGCTTCTCCTCATTCTGGTAGATGCTCTCTTTGAATCTGTTCAAGCGCCTTGGTCGCCATTTCAGCCCTGTCTTGCCTGTCTTCTTCTCATATTCCTGGTCCGCGAGTTCCAGCTCGCGGATCATCCAAGAAAGGGGAATGTCGCTCAGCTGCATCTCCTCCGTATCATCGATTTCTTCCTCCTCCTCTCCCAGCCCAATGAGTCTCAAAAACCGGCCCCAAATAGTGGGGTTGTCCAAGGGGTAGGTATGTTCGTCGGCTCCGGCCTCCTCGCCCTCCAACCTTTGAGCTTTGATCCTTTGAGCTTCCTTGGCTTTCCACGTAGGATCATCCTTGATTGCTGACCAGCCACCGCCGACATCGCCATGGTTGCCAGGGAACCACACCTCCTTGATATCTTCAACATGATTGTGCCTTTTCTTGGAAGGTTTGGTGACATCTTGTGCAAGGAGCGCAGGCTTGAACTTGACCCGGAACTCGTCCACAGCGACAGCATGGCGGACAAAAGTTGCGGTACCCTTGACCGAGGCCGGCTTGTCGCCGGCCTGCTCGAGTACTTTGACCGAGTTCACGCAGTCCCACATGCCGAGAAAGAAGACTTTGATATTGTCCTTTCCATGGTCACTCTCTTCCTTTCGGCAGAACGTCTTGCTGAAGGCCTCAATCTCGTTTCTCTTGCCCCTCCTTACCTTTCTGCCCGTGGACTTTGGGCTTACATCACCGGGGCTGGTGACTGCGTTCGGGAAGGCCTCGTTGATAGGAGTGTCTGGCGGGCTCACGGGCGTCTCCATGGTTCCGTAGGTACCGTTAGTGTTGGCTTTCGTGACTTGGGCCACGGGGACATCGCTAGTGTTGGTTGCCCCGCCCTCTGAGTTCTTCTCGCTCTTTTTGACATTGGCTAGATGGTTCTGGTAAAGCTTATATGCAAAGGGCACCATCTCTTCGTTGCCTTTGCAAAGAAGGCCGACAGTGTTGACCATGCGGGCCAGGAACCTGGCTGTGAAGGCTCCACGACTGAACCCGAAGATGTAGATTCTGTCCCCCTTCGAACGGTCATCAGCATCATGGTCTCAGGTCTCGATGATTACGATATCACACTTACAGTCTCGTAGTAGCGCATGAGGAACCGATATCCAGCAATTACATGGGCGTCAAAGGTGGTACCGAAGCCCATGTCGATTTTTTGAGAGATGTTGCTGCGCATCTCCCCAGCCCATCCCTTGTTGACACTGGTGTCGTCGACATCGTAAGTTCCGATGCCAGCTGATTTTGAAGTCGCGTCAGAAAACGTCCAAAGAAGTCTTGCGCATTAAATGTCCCACTCACTCTGATAGTAATGATACTGGTGCTTGTCATTGCGGTCAAGCATGCGCAACAGTTTCACCACGTTCGTGTCGGAGCCGGAGCCAGTGAACGAGTTGCCTGTGCCATCGAAGCAGAGGACGAGCTTCCTGCTCTCGTTCGAAGAATCAGTCTCGACAGGAGCCATTTTGGTGCTTGTCTCCAGGTTATGGACGTAGAGAAAGTATTCTGAAAGAGTCTTGGATTATGTGCTGAAATTTGAGAGTTCCCTGGGGTCGTGACGGCTCGGAGAAGATGTGCACGAAGCAAACATATATGCAATTTCAAGACCACTGCCAAGTAGAGACAATTCCGTGTGAGTTGAGTTCTCGTACTTTTTTTAATGTTGTCGCTTGCAACGGAAAACATCCAATCGCAAACTGGAACGCCGCAAAAGTTCAGCCATCTTTCCACCATTCCTTCTTCCCCATCCTGAAAACAGCTGGGGTTCTCAGCCCTGTGTCACCGTCCCGAAGACTAAAATGTCTTACCGACCCTGTCCGCTCACAATGGATCGCAAACCAAATTGCGTTTTCAGAACCCGGTTTCTGCATGTGGGGAAGACCTCCCGCTTCAACGCTTCAGCTGGCCACGCCACGGCTTCGTTGGTCTCAGAATCATACCTTCTTCCGTGCCTTTGCAGTTCAGCCTGGCGTTGAGACAGCCGATGCGAGAGACAAAATAGGTCTGTGAACCCCGGCTTATCTCAACCTGGCAGGATGTCTCGTGCGGACTTTGTCGAATCATGAGGGTCCGATTGGCGTTGTCTCCTCCTTTCCAAATGCGATTACAAGAAGCAGAAACAAACTGTCATCAAGGTACGCTGGATCATCCCGCGGGCCGGATATTGCGCAAAAAGGGAAACGGCAAGGTGATGTGCCTCACCTTGAATTTTGGCTGTGGCAAGTCTCATCACCTGTTGTGATTCACGCCGCTATGAATCTCTGCTGTCCTGAAAATGACCGTAAGCTCAGGGTGAGACATGAAACTCGGAAATTGCACGTCTTGGAAGCAATCAAGAGCATACAGTTAAATTGTTAGGAAAGCTACTGGCAGTGAAGGATGCAAATTTCAAAAGACAACATGTTCAGATGACCGGCCCGCAACATGGAATCCAACGTGAAGCCGAGCTTTTACTTGAAGACACAAGCATTCCTCATCTATTTCAATTTATCAAATCAGATACCTACACTGAACCACTTCAAATGTTATCCTCCCCAACGGAATGAAATGCGACTCGAAACCCAAAAGAGTGTGGTTCAGTGTAAACCGTACGTGCCGTGGTGCAAAGTAGCGTGCGTTGTCAACCTCATTTCTTTCCACTAGCAAATAGAAATATCCATCCCTACTGAATGGCAGCAAAAGCAACGCCAGCGGCTGCAGCAGCAACCAAAATCATGCCGGTCTCCCGCGGAGCAGCGTTTGTTGAGCCGGTACCGGCAGTAGCTCCGGGAGCGCTACCGGTATCAGTAGATGCAGCAGCGGTAGTAGTAGCCGCAGCACCGGTAGCAGTCGCAGTCGTCGTACCGTCGAGGGCGCGACTGAAGTCCAGGGCGGCCGAGCAAACCGGGGACAGTCTACCAGCGAGAGAAGTGATTTTCTGGACGAAACCCTCATCCTTGCAAGCGGACCACATGGAGCTGAGGTCGCTGCTGTGGGCACTCGTCCAGGAGTTCAAATCGGAGGTGTACGAGGACAAGGCGTCGCCGGCCCAGCCTGTCAGCGTGGGCAACTCGCACGGATTCGTGATGCTCGGGATATCGTCGCTGTTGACGGTAGTCGGCAACGCCGTAAACAATTCAGGAAGATCCGTGGTCACGGATCTGTGATCCTTCACAACATCAGCGCATGCCAGGAGACCACGGTTCTCGAGGCCGCGAACGGCTCTCTTCGGGATCATGTCTGAGAGACCGGCGGCTATGGCTCCAGAGCTGGTGGCGATAAGGAGAAGGTTGGTGTAATGCATCTTGTACTAGGGTTGTTTTCCGTCGTGGGATAGTCGAAAAGGTTAAGAGAGGACTTGTGGACGGCTTAAAGACTGTTGGAAAAGGGGCTTTTAAGGAAGTTGGGATACTGAGGTTTTCCAGATGAAAGGATAACGAACAAGATTTCTTCCGAGTTCCTGAGTTTCTTGTCCTTAATTTATACTGAAATTGGGAGGGTCCTAGACCAAACTGAAGCTTCATGTTCCAACACCTTGCGTGTGGTCCTACACTCCGCCTCATTTTTCAATACTGCATGTATTTCCATCCCCACCCATTGCATGCTAAGTCTTACTCTTCAGGATCCACAAGATGTAAAGTTGTGATAGCCTGCCTTCGTTGGATTCTACACCGCCGCGACATGGGCCTCAATCCTCACCTATTTTTAAAGTGCAAAGTCCATTTGTCCTAGATGTGTAGCTACAGCAGCCTCATTACCGTCGCAACGGCGCGAAGTTGCCGTTGTCCCCGATATTACCATTGCTTCTCATTCGTCCTCTTCTGCACTCGAGAGATGTACAAGATACTTTACTTTGCTGGTAGGATCTTGCTCGATAAGGTGCTATAGCGCCTGATCCACTCTTATCACTCACGTATGTTACTTACAGCTGTACAGGCGAATCGTTCCGGTCATTCAGACCCGCGGCTATATCGGCCTGATCACCCCGGCGCCGAATTTGTCATCTACGCCTACATAACTCACCTGTAACATTCATGTAAAGTCCTTCTGCTCCCAACTAACTCACGTGATGGACAAGATACCTGGTTGCGGAAGCCTACTTGGTAGGATTCTCAGCCTCACGATCCAGTCCTTCCTTTTACATACCTTGTCTACGCACCCGTAGCCGAAGTCCTTTCGAATCATTGAGATGTACCGTTGCATTAGCCTGACCACTGCGGCACCGGCTTATATTTGTCCTCTTCGTCTACATAATACATCAAAGTCACCCATGCCAGGTCCTTCCGTCCCCAGCCAACTCAAGAGATGTACGAAATCTTCGCTTGCGTGAGTCTGCATCGGTAGGACTTGATGCCCATCCTCATCGATGAACAAGGCTAGAGCCAAAGACTTTTGTTCTCAACTCGTGAGATGTAAAAAATAACTGCAATAGTTGTGCTATGGCGTTGGGATCTGTCCGCCCACTTACGCTCCAACATGCGACTTTCTTCTGTTCAGAGCCAATGGGACGCGCAGCCGTCGTAGCATAATTACCGGGGGCATCAATCCGAATCTGCCTAGGTACTGATTGCATGCGCAGTTCTTTTGTTCTAAACCAATAAGATCCGTGGTAACGTTGGATGCGGCTCAGTCAGTGGAGCGGTCCCCGGACCCTGGCAACGTTATCTCGAAAGCGTCAGCAAGGCCCCCCCTCCTCTCTCCCAACTTCAAGGTTGGCCCAAGCACCAGGCGGCACTTCTTCCAATCATCAAACTTGTTCCCTTCGTTCCAGCCCATACCGTGATTGTCGAGAATGTATTCCACCTTTGCGAATAGTGAAACCCCTCAGGGCCCCGAGACGGGTGTGGCGGCTACTCTGTATGGCAACGATGCGGAACCTCACTCGACCGGTATTAGCCTGGTCAAGAGGACGCCGTACGCCACGGAGGAGGTCTGGAAGTGCATGCAAGCCACCATCACCCGACTCTACCAGAGCGAAGGCAAATCGTTGCGGGAGGTCATGGCAATCATGGAACGGGACCACTTCTTGTTCGCCACGTGAGATACCTATATGCCTTTTTGGCAATCAATGACTTTCTTTGACTTTTAAGCTTTGAAAAAGGTAGCTGACCACCAGGGTATTCTGTAGAGAAAGAATGTTCAAGTCTCGCATCGTTCGATGGGGACTGGACAAGAAGTTGAAGGAGCAAGAAGTCCTGCACATGCTAGAGCTCAAGCGGAAAAGGCAAGCGACGGGAAAGGACTCGCGCTTCAGCATCGAAGACCAGGACGTCGACTGGAACCGCGTCGAGCAGTACCTGAAGCGCAGGCCGGACCTGGAGAACAAGAGACAGAAACAGCACGCGCCAAGCAAGAGCACTACCGTGAAACGCAAAATCACCTGCAGGACACCCTCGCCGGCGCCAAGCCCAGTCTTGACCACCGAGACCCCTGGCATCTTCATCGTCCCCGTGCCCTCCCTCCTAACGCCGACCCTAGAGGTCGAGAGGCAAGAAGACATTATGCGCATCTTTAGCGCGTACCACACCAGCGCCTTCCAGACCGGCCTCTGGGTCCTGGACGACGCCCACCTCTGCGAGCACGACTTTATCCACGTCGTGCAGACCTTGACCGAGATTGGCAAGGTCCCCGGCCTCCTCAAGCTGAACCAGACGGAAGCCGGCCTCCGCACCCTCCGCCGCGCGCTCGGTTCCCTGCGCCACGTCCTCCGGATCCGGGAGCCGCGGTTCTACTACTCCATGCTCGTCAACATCCTGACCCTCCGAGGCACCGTCTTGGAGTACTCGATCCGCTGCATCCACTGCATCCACCGCGAGATCCTAGGCGATCAGCACCCGCTGAGTATCGTCTGGGGTAAACTCGGAGACCTGCCCCCAAACATCCGCCTCGAGACGCTGAGAAACATCTTTGCCATCATCTGTCTCCACTTTGAAGACGAGAACCACCGCGCGTACAAGAGCGAGCACGCCCTAGACGTGCTCATCATGCGGTGCTCCCTCCTCCGACTCCTCGGCAACGTGGGCGGGGACGAGTTCCTCGCCGTCATTGCGGGGTACACCGCAGCCGCCACCGAGGCCCTGCAGCAAGGCAACTACGAGCTCTCATGCAGGATCTTGTTGGGGGTGGCGACCGCCCTGCTCGACGCGGGCGACTTTGCGCAGGCGGAGAGGGCCTTGTTGCAGATTGGGGCTACCATCCAGGTCCGATCCGGGATCGCTGGTGCGTGTGCCACCACCAGCTTGGGGCCGCAGGTGCGGGTGCTGGAGAGTCAGCAAGAGGACCGCTGCGCGACGAGTCCGCTGTGTTCTCGCGCGAGCCGCTACGGCCAAGGGGCCCGCGAGACCAAGATTATTTACGGGTATTATAAGGGACATTGGGAGCCGTGGAGCAGGTGGTCACCCTCGGTGGTGAGGAAAGTCCTTGATACTCATCGTCAAGCGCGAGAAACAGATGTGTTGGCTGCAAGACTGTGGGCTGACGTTTTGCTCTCTGTGAGGTGAAGTGTCTCGCAGCTCATGCATGTCAAGTCAGGCAGGTTCAACGGGGGTGAGGAGGGGGTGTGTCAACAAGCTCGAGTTGATAGCATCAAACATGCACCTACGGGGTTGAACACTATGTACTCCATTCTGTATCCAGAGATAGAAGCAATGTCATTGCAATATCACCCCCTACCTTGCTTCAGTAATGGAGGGAGTGGTCTGTTTTTTTCTCATCCACTGATAGAATGATACCAAGGTTGCTTGAAATCAGCATGTGAGACCAAACACAGCTGTTACTGTCGAACGGCAGCCGCCAATGTCCGAACTACCTTGAGCCTTTCATCCCATCTATTTCGAGCATACACACTACGAATGGTGAGCCAAGCTGAGGCGGCGACGTTGACAGATCGCGGGAGATCCAATGGAAGCAAACAGTGCAATACCTAACGAGCTGGAAATGACCGTTACTATCGCATTCCTGTTACACCCTATCATATCCTCCTCTTTCGGGATACTTTCTTAACAGCCTCGGCCAGAGTTAGGTAAATGTAGCTATGATAGAACAAGTTCGCATGGAGTAAAACCCATGTCGCCTCAGCTTATACACCTCCAGCCAGCAGCCGACTCGTCATGAGCAAAAACAAAGAAAATAACACGCATGAAACCTTTTAGAATATGAAAGTCATCTCAAAAAGGTGCGCCGACCTGCCCTCGACTGCCTATCTGGTTCAACTCTGATGGCCCAGGCTTCATAATGCAGCATCATGGCAGGCATCAGTAGTTCAGCCGCGAAGATGTTCCCTGAACCATGTTACCGAGCACCATCCAACAGCAGATAGTAATTGGCCCAGAATTGCCCCCGAGATAAAGTAAGCAAGCTAGGTGCAACAGTATTCATGCCGTGTTAGTATACTCTGGTACTACGTGTAAAATGATAATCGCCCCAGCAAGAAGCGCAGGACGACGCCACCGTGTTATCCAAATGCTCGTTGAGTAAAATCACGTTCACGCAGGGAAGGGCTCTCTCGGGTGGAGGCGCGGTAAGTCAATCTAAATATTTCTTGAATTCCTTTTTCAAAGCTCCTTGAAGAAGACGGACATATGTCAACACTGCATGCTTGCAAACTTGACGAGTTCCTATTTCTCATATCGATCATGGGGAGTCGGCAAAATTGCCGCTGCCTGCGTAACCAAGCGTCTTCGGCCATATCCTATAATCCTCCTCTTGACATTGCATGCTCTTTCAAACGCCCGAAAAACTCCAGTTCCTATGCCCCAGCCGGGAGATGCGAGAGTGCCCAAGACCCTAAGCCTATACAAGAAGTTCATGTTTTGCGACGTAAATCCCCAAACCCATGGCACCTAATTTTTTTGTTTTGCTGCCATCCCCGCTAATCCTCAAGCGGCGGCGGTATCAACCCGCACCTCATCCCAAAGATGATGGGATTGATGCAAGAAACAAAGATCTAAAAGTTGGTAAAATATCATAGAACAAGCCAGCGCTTCTGACAAAAGGAAAGTGGCTCGACCTTAACATCAATGCCATGCCCAAATTAAATCCAATTCGAGCACATGACATTTACCAGCACTGAAGCATTCACCGCAAAGAGTTGAAGTCCATCTCTGTACTTATGCTGGATAGACCGGGCATATCCGAGTTGGCTCGCTGAAGTGCATGGAAGTCCCCTACGGTGCGTGGTATCGGTTGTTGCTGAATAGCATAGCTGCTAGTACGCGGAGGTTGCTGACGCGGTATGGAGTTCATCAAACTGTTTCCACCCGGACCCATAGGATGGGACGTAGGCATTGTCTGCTGCGCCTGGACTGATGGTGGGCTGATATTACCCATGTTTTGCCCTTGCTGAATGTTGTGGGTATGGTGCTGACTCATGTTTGGCTGCATTTGCTGTGCCGTCAGACCATGATTCTGAATCATATGGTGCGACTGCTGGTGTTGATGCTGGCTATTCATGTTGCTTTGACCATTCATTGCCGATCCGTTTTGGCCGGTCGGGCTCATAACCATGTCGGACATCGGCGTACACCCGTAGTCGTTCATTCCGTTGTGGGGATACTCCATAGGTGGAGACATAATGGCGGGAGAACTACTAGCGTAGGGCGAGTTCATGTCCGCAGTAGTCGCTGGAGGAATGGAAGATGCACCGGCAGACGTGGCAGGTATGGTATTGGTCTCGCTGCCGTTGCTGTTCAGGTCGGATACACCATACTTCTTTTCGTAATCCGCGACGGGAAATTTCCGTTCATAGTCGGTATCCATCTGCATCTGCATCTGGGAGGGCGGCTGTGCCATGCCTGCATTGCCGAAGCCATCAAAGATATCAATGTTGCTGATGTTGGAATTTTCGGGCGCGTTCTGCAGCATGGGGTTGGTCAGGCGTGGCATGATGTCGGCGACCTTGTTCAACAACAGCGGCAGGAAGCGATGGTCGCCGTGGCGGAGGACGGCAACGATGTTGAGGGTCTGGTTGAGCTGCTCCCTGGGGCCGACAGTGAAAGGGTCCCGGGCGGCGGGCTGAACAGCGAGGAAGTCGGTCATATTACAGCTAATCTCGAAAAGCTTTTCAATCTGCCCACTGAGTCAGCAACTCCGGGGTAACGAATGAGGATCAGAATTTCTTACCAAGCCTGAGCTCATCAACTCCATGCCTTGACCAGGGAAGTGAGAGGCGAGGGTCATCAAAAGCTCGCGGGACAGATCGACTGGGTAGTTGAAGTTCATGTTGTCCTCGTTCTGCGAGTTTCCATGGGTCAACTGCCAGACAGTAGTCTTGAGCCATTGCTGGTTGGTGCGGAGGTCGGATAGCTGGCCATCTTGGCAGAGGTAGGTGGGGAGGACCTCGTTCAATTGCTTCTGAAGGTTAGACACATAGAGGTTGGTACGAGTCTTATTCCAGATGGCTGTAAATGCGTCGTCGAAGGGCCGGAAGAGGTTCACCAGCATGATGAAGCTGTTCAGCTGGTGGCTAAGTGGGTCGCTCGGGTCATCGGCGGAGTTGGGCGGATTTATGGTGGCTTGCAAAGTCAGAGGTCGTTGGCGTTGGATGGCGTGAGATCTACATAGACAGCGGTTAATACATGAAAAGATGTGCATTCGTTGCTTGAATGCATGACAAAAAACAAAACGTTACCTTTCCATGATGTAAAACAACCAGAAAAGCCGCCTTCTCCGAGACGATTCGGCGTTATCCCATTGAGGGCCATGGTACGTCTCCTCTTTGATCATGCCATTCAGGTGCATCATGGTAGAAGCCTCTCGGAGATAGAACCAAGCCTTGTCGTGCAATTCGATCCCGTGGTAGCAGCCATAGACGAAGAAGTTTGTAGCAAGGGTGTTGAAGCTGATGTTATCGAGATAATCGTATCCCTTGCGCACCTGCAGGGTCTCCTCCAAAAGCAATTGGCTTGCAACGATGGTGGCACCAGGCATCACATCGAGATTGAAGGGGTCGCCTGTGGGCATTGACATTCCGGGCTGAAGCATCATGAATGCGCAGAGCGAGGTGAGTAGGCAGTATGTGTCGCGGTTCTGCTCCATGAATGGGAGTTGCTGGTCGATCTGGCGTCGGTCAAGGATGGGCATCTTTTCGTAAAGGTTGGCAAAGTAAAAATCGATGCATTCTTTGACGAGTTCGCTCGAGAGCAGACCGAGGGTTGGAGCCAGGCTGACGGGGCCTGGAGGGTTCGGAATGCCGTTCATGCGATTCTGGACCTTTGCCGACAAACTGGTCTGCCGCTGTGTTTCCCTCAATTCGCTAATGACCTTTGCACGGGAGCCCTTTGGGCCCTTTTTCTGTGGGATGGCATTGTAGGTGCAGGACAGCTGGGCAGTGTGGCAATTGCGGCAAGGGTTGACACCGTCGCATTTGACCTTGCGGCGATGGCAGGCGTCGCAGGCCCGCTTGACGGCCTGTGTCATATTGGCGACGTACGGTGAAGACGTCGTGGCGGTTGTAGTCGTCGGGGGTCGACGGTCGCTCTGAGACAAAAAGGTGAGAATTATTCCGATCGACGGCGACGGGTCAGTAGAGGCGCTGGCATCGACAATGAAAGTCTAGCGGGCGTTGATTGAGTTTTGCGGGGAAGAGGATTGATAAGAGAGGGTGCAGAGTGATGGAAGCTGCCGTCTCGGACTCTGAAAGCGATCCGTGGAGTGTGTTGGTGTGTTGGTGAGCGATGGAGAGTGTATTCGGCCCTTTCTGTATGCAGTCGCTGGGAGGGAAACGCGGGGGATGGTGCCAAAATCCGGGGCTGCGACGCCCGTTACAACCCTTTTGGTTTGTCTGTGCAGAAAGCCTGCTGCGTGGAAAGTATGGCCAAGATTTGAATGCGGCGATGGATGTGCACAGATATCGTCGCCGCAGGGAAGAAGAAGTCGTAGATCGAAGACGATCAAGGCGAGACTGAATGGATTTTTTCTCGGTGAGGATCGGTCGGTCGGGGGGGGGGGGGGGGGGGGGGGAGGGGGGGGGGGGGGGGGGGGGGGTGGGAGGGGGGGGGGGGGGGAGGAGGGGGAGGGAGGTGGTGGGGGAGGGTTGTGCGGGGGGGGGGGGGGGGGGGGGGGGGGGGGGGGGGGGGTGAGTGAGTGAGTGAGCGAGTTGCGGGTTTGAGAGTTGCGTGTTGGGTGGTGTGATTGAGTGGGCAGCGGGAGGAAGAAAGTGGACGGAGGGAAAGAGGAGGAGGAGGGTGGACTAGGACGGGAGAGCGAGCGAGACGAGGAGGGAAATGGGAGTGGAAAAGAGGCCAGGGCAAGAATTGGGATGGACTTGCGAGTGGGAACCTGCCGGGCAAAAAGAGACGGGAGACTCCCGTCGAGAGATGACAAAACAGCCACGGTGCAGTGCTCAATGCTCAGTCCTCACTCCTGAGTCCTCCCTCAGTGCTCACGAGTCGCCTGTAGCCGACAGGTAGGCACAGAGAGGGCCTCTTGCCTTTCTTAGGCTGTTAGGTGGATCTCGCCTGGTTTTGCTAGGCCCATTGCAGTGTCGGAGCTAGCCTGAAATAGGGATAGCTAGCTTGCAAGATGAGAACGGGCCTCCATCTGCACTGTGTGGAGGCATTGTGGACATGCGGTGACAAACCACAGAAAATCCTCGAAAATGGGCAGAAACAATGGGCAAAGGACTTGCAGGAGCACCATCTCATGACATGTTTCCCCACAGTGAGGCATCGTGGGCTTACTGTAAGGTACCTAACAATGTACTGTCATCCATCATCCACCATCCACCGTCCACCATCCACCATCCACCATCCATCATCCTCGTATACTTGGCGAGTTCCTCACTTTCCAGGCATCCCCCGCGTACGTTGGCGCCGTCTATTATTCCCTTCTTGTATTGTCCAGCACGCAGCAAATTTCCACGGTCAATGCAGAGGATCCCAGAGGCAACAAATTCAACAACAAACCAGCAAGAGTACCAAACACTGTCAGAGTCTTACAGACCGCCAGCCAAGGGGCAGGATCCGAAGTGAGGTGACGACAACACAAACACACGGAACACGCCGCCTGCAACGTCGTACGAAGGCTGGGGCGCTTATTGTCCAAGACGACGAATCGCTGGCAACGCCCATTCCCAAACGAACAAGCCAATACTAGAGTCCGCTTTCGTCGGTGTCCGTTCTGCTGGAAAATACCGAGGCACCAGAAACCAGACTGTCGGTTGGCACACTGCAGCCGGCGCTGCGCTGCCACGCTGCCCCCCTCTCCCTCCTGTGGAATGGGATGAGTTGCATTTCGGACGGAGCCCGCCAGTCTCAAGTACGTCTCCACCACACTTCCCCGTCACCCGGTACCAATACCAATACGCCTGCCAGCTTGAGGTGCCGTCTTCTGCTCTCTCGGCCGCTGGCAGATGGCTGCCGTTGCCTGCCGCGTTGTTCTTGTTCTCCCGCGGTACCCGACCAGTACGTTTCACTCGCACTCGGCCGACGCGCATTCTGTAGTCGACCTGAGGTTTCCCACTCGCCTCACTTGAGAGCTTTTCCATCCTCTGGGTGGAATACTTTCTCCCTCGTCGGTCGGATGCATCTCGCGCTTCACACTACATAGTAGATGTATCTGTCATTGTCTTGCCTGTCTACGACATGCACCTCTGATTGGCAGGCCACCTGCGCTGACCGTCGTGACGGTCTCGTGAGGGTCCTCCACTGTTCCCCGAGTTCGCCCAGTCCGACTTGTCATCACCGCCAGAACTAATTTGCCCACGACGCCGGCATACGAGGCACCTGGCAACTGCACACGAACGAGCCTTACAAATACCCCAGTGCGCCACGCCGTCTCTTTGTTTAATTGGGGCCAAATCGCTTTGAAGTTTGCCGCTCATTGTCTGATCTGATCTGGTCTCACGGCGCTGGATCCTCGGGACTTGCTAGCGGTAGTTTGTCGTTAGCTTGCTTCGTCCCTGTAATGATGCTAATAATTACAGCGTTCCACCCGAATCTCCCGTGCGAGGCGTCACTGCCAGCCCGTCTCTTGTCTCTTGTTTTGATGAGACTCTAATACTTGAAAATTAGAGGTACACGAAACAACTGTGCGAGGGACATCCCTCATCGCACCTCGGCGGCCTCGACAGCAGCCACAAACACGGCGCACTGATCGGTTGCCCATGGGGTTGACCTACGCTGGGACGCTGGGGCGCTGCTTGTTCCCCTCAACCTTCTGCTTAAACGAACAGACGACTCGCTGCTGGCAGCGTCAATAGCGCGCGGTACGGATGGAGCCTTGCCAGGTTACGTTCCCCAAAAGGCCCATCTCAATACCGGCGGTCTCGTCTTTCGATGGGGCTCGGATTCAAGCCGCCCATTCTCGAGGCCACTATTTCCCAGTCGTTTAACAAAGCATGAACTTTGTTGGCCTCGACAATATAGTGATCGTCCGACACTTGGGATGGCTGGAGGCGCCAGCTCAGAGCAGCAACGTGCACAGAGTCTATTCCCACTGACTGGGCGATACTTTCCTGAAGAGTTGGTAGGTTCGGGAGCAAAATAACCACATTGCCTCTCTATTATATAAGCATGTGTATCGCACTACCCCTTGGTGACTGCGGTAGGCATGCTACGAGAATCCACAGAACGGGATCGAGATCTTTCTCCTAACCAATACCGGCTACGGCTCAATAGTTAATTACAGATGGTCGGCTCTCGTCTAGCGGTCGCGGCAATCTTGAAGACGCCCTGATGGGCGTTTGTACGTTCCAGAGAGACTGACTTGGCAATCTTGAAAATGGCTAGCCATCTTGCCCAGTCTTTTCCGGATTGAGACCTCAGGGACTTTCACTTTCCACCCTCAATCAATTAACCCATGGGCCTGCCCTCCCCCGGATCGTCTTGGGGTTACACAGTACTAGGGAACCTTCCAAAGCGTCTTCTACCATGCTTCTATTCGCTTCAGCCCACCTATCAGACCACGACCCCCTCGGCGGCCACCTTCCTTCGCCAATGCAGGTAGCCGTTTGCAGCTCAGCTTAGCCTAGTCACCAGTACACGAGTTTGCTCAACTCGCTATCGCCGCTCAGCTGTTGTTTGTCCCCAAGGAGTCCTTTCATATCGGCACAACGTCGTACTTATCCCTTCAACCCAATCAAGCGTCCAACTTGAGCCCCGATGTGTGCACACGACACCGATCTGAGAGGCGCTCAAGTCTTGTCAATACTTCAACGGCAGCTGTTTGATCGCAGTTGTTGCAGCAGCAACAGCCCCGTTGTGGCGGGGACCAGCGATGCAGCTTTTGAGGCTACAATGTTGGCTGCCTCCGCTTTAGAAGCGGTCAACGCTAACATGCAACAACGCTGCCACCATGTGCAATCGCCGTCGTACCGGTACACCCGCGGCCGAGGTAGGAAGACGAGAGCAAGGAATTTGCTCATGTCAGCACCAAAAAGTTCCCTCAGGATACGCGCAGCAGTTGGATCCAACACATGAGACAAGGGGCGACAATACCACTATTCTCGACCACTTGCTTTGGAAGTTTGGTCACGGCCCTTGCTTTGGACAGGTTACATCGCACTACGTGCCCTCTGGTAATAACTGGCAGGGCTGAAGAGTCTGCCCGTCTCCAGCCCTTGCTCTTCTCACCTTGTCCACCTCGGGGCACCGGAACTGGTGATACCCGCCCGCTGCGGTTTCCCTGTGTCTGTGGAATGGAATTTCAGGTACGTAGCCTCAGTAAGTCGACAGCGATCTGAGCACCAGAACGAGGCGACCAAGGAGCCCATGCTCTAATCGTGGTCGATGTCGATGACAGCGCCCAGAGAAATGGCCTGCATTTCGTCGCTCCTCCACCCCGTCTCAAATGCCGGCAACGAACCAGCGCTCAAGCAAGCGCCCAATGTCGGGGCTGCGGAGGTGTCTTGACAACTCGTCAACTCCGAAGAAAGCCAGGCACGGCAGGACGCTGTACGTACGCCCAATCATATCATGCTGTGCTTCCGTCTTGACCCACTCTCTCACCTCCACATGCTCTAATCCGAATCGGCGCAAGCGTGCGCTAGTTTCGACGGTCGGTCCGATAAGGCATACATCAGTATTCTTCAGCGCCTCGCCACTCGGCAGCATCATTCTCTTGACGGCTGCATGCAAGGCTGGCACGCTGGCAGGGACAAATTTACCTTGTAAGGCTCAATCCTTCGCGTCGAGCCTAGAAGCCGTGGATCAGGCCGGCACACGTGCGAAATAACGCGCATTGTCATTAAGAGGTGCCGCTCGGTGGCTGAGGTCGAATTTCGGAAAACGCCGCTGTAGACGTCAAGAACTGCACCTGGCTCCGAGTTTGGGAGAAACAGCCATCCAATATGCGGTTAGACATCATCCCATTTCAAAGGACTGTTTCAAGTTTCTCGTCGGTATTCCAGCCTTGTCGGCGTTAGGCTATCCGACAAACCCCACGGACAATTACCTCCAACAAGCAGGCTGAAACACCAAAGTCATTTGCCGTCGGCTTTTTGAATTCACAGTATCGAAGATGATCGCATCGGCGTTACCGAACATACCGAGGTTTCTGATTAGTAGATTGTTACAGCTCAACGGCCAGAGACCAACACTCCAATTCTCGGTCCCGGACAGAGAGGAAATCATTGATGATCCGGCGCAAACTCCTCCTTCCCTGCCCAAACGCCCTTGAAATCCCCAAACCAAAGGTCCCAATAGGAAAAGCTAATGTCCAAAAGCATCGCCAATGTAATATCCGCAGCGCTGTCCGAGCTCGACAAAGGTTCTATAGTTCCGCGTTTGGGCAGTTGCCCTTACACTTCTTGGGCGGGTACCTGACCTCCTTGGCACAGTTATTCGCATCACCATGATTTCCCAGCTCGCCGGCGGGAACAAACTGTCCCGTCTGCAGGCTCCCCTTTAAGAAGTAGCTGTACCACGCCTCATGAAGCACGTCGCGCCCACGGCCGGAGCATCGCAGCACCACGCGGCCGCCGCTCAAGTCCTCCAGCGTCTTGGTGACGTCGGCGAGAGCGTAGCGCTTGGAGCTCGAGGGTGTGATGCCGGCTCTCTCGAGGGCCGTGAAGGTGTCGAGTTGGCGGAAGAGGGAGAAGGCGCGGGTGAAGTAGTCGACGACTTCGACGCCTGGGTTGTATGCGGCGTCGTAGCAGGATGAGGAGAGTGTGTTTATGCAGCTTGCATGTTTGTTGTACTCGTGGGCCCAAAGGTGGTTGTTTGTGCCGCTGTAAGCGTTGATTTGTTAGCGTAGATGTCGAGGGATGGTCGGTGATGGGCCGGAAGAACCCACGGGCCTCGAAGGGGGGGAAATGGGGAAGGGGGGACGGGAGCCTTACTATGCTGCTACCCAGTATCTTTCCATCGAAGCTAAGAGGTCGTCTTGGCCATGATGCTTCAGGATGTCGGTGATGTTGTTAAAATGAGGTGTCATGCCGCAAAACGCCTTGTAGCTCCCGTCGCAGAGATCGGGCCTATTTCTCGCCCCCGGTCAGATATCACAAGCTTGGCTTCCGAGGGAGAACTTTACAAGGAGGCCCCATTCGATCCTGGTACTTGGGGGAGGATAGGAAGGCGAAAGACTTACCATAGCCCGTGAACCGTCCAGTCCTCCTCGGCGCCGCCGGCGTGCACGGTGTCGTCCCAGAACTGGGTGAGGAGGAGGCGGCCGGAGGGGTAGACGAAGCAGCAGGCGTTTTCGACGGGGCCGGTTGCGTTGTGGCAGCTTGTTGGGCCGTCGATTGGGCACGAGGGCGCTCCGGAGAGGGGTTCGTAGGGGGTTGTCGGGTTTGTTGGTGCGTTGTGGAGGCTGTTGCTGACGCTGCTGGTGATGGGTGTTTGGGTGTTTGGGAGGTGGGGGAGAATTGAGGTTAGGTGGTTTAGGAGGGCGCGGAGGGAGGGCGCCATTGCTGTGGTGGTTTATTGTCTTTTTTTTTTCCCTCTTTTGCTTGTAGGTTCCCGTAAGGTAGGGTAGGTATTATGATGTTGATGGGAAGGGAAGATGGGAAGATTGATTGTGGGATTGACGGTGACGTTGGTTCGCGGATCCCGAAGGCTGCGCGTTGGGGAGGTTTGCCCCGAGGCGGAGCTTGTCTGGGGATTCTGCCGCCGTCATGTGGGGACGTTTGTCGGAGCTAGCTGTGGCTTGGCGAGCTCACCGCCTTGTGATGGGGTGTTTGATTGGTTGGTGACGCAGGGGTATCTGGGGAGGGGCAGATCGTAGGGTGGGGATGGGGTGGGTCCGGTGACATGCTGCTGCTTGCGGTTTGGTTGCTTGCTTGCTTGAGCGCTTGCTCTACGTTCGACGCTGGATTCGCTGATTGGTAGCTCGTGGATTATTTGCGATGGCTAAGTTTGGAGGTTTGGGACCTTGAGAATTCTGGTCGAGAAGCTTAGCAGTTTCTGATGCCATAGATGTATAGATACCGAAGCATCAATCAAACCAATGACTGTTGTGGGTATGCGGATGAAGGGTGTGTTGCGGCGGTAGGCAGCGCATGCGAAGCTAGACTTTGTTAGGTATCAAGCAAGTCAGGGGAAATTTC